TAACAAAGTTGGCGTGTTAGAATTCATTTTGGGGCTATTAAGAAGAGAGCTCCTCGTAGAACCAATGGTAATTAGCAAATTTAGAGACGGGGAAAGATGAAAAGAAAGAGAGATCTCTATCGCAGGTGCAATGACTCGGCTGCCTGGGAGCGTTCTCTTTCAATTGTGTAACGTAACCCTAGCCGTAGACCTAGCCCTAGCAGCTAGCCCTAGACCCGGCACTAGCCCTATTCTAACGCCTGGCCGGGTTCAATAAACTAGCTGGCACCTTTACGCATGGCAGCCACAGACGGACCACCTCTCTATAGAGCTCCAGCTCCATCTCCGATCCGATCCCGTCTCCAACTCCGAGACGGGTCATGCCAAGTCAGACGCTCTCGCTTGAACTAATACTTTGTATAATTATCGCTTTGCTGATCTTCTGCACATGATGTATGGAGTGCCCGTGTGAGCTAGCTGGGCCATTGAGTTTTATGGCTTTCGGCTGGAGTTGTGGGACAGAACACGCAGCTTTCCGCAGCCAGAACCTGGAACCTGGAACCTGCACTATCTCCGGTGTCCGATCATTAGCTAAATGCCATGCCGGCGTGGGAGGAGATACTATATGCTAGATACGGAATAGCGAATTCCAGATACAAATCGGCTAAGGGAGACCGAGAACCGGGAAACAAAAGTCAGCGAGCAATTAGCGCTCGGAGTGGCACTTAATTGAATCGCGGTTCTTCAGCCAGGAAGGACACCAAATCGTGAGAGTTTTTCCAGTGCAAATTAATAAACAGTTACGCATGCGCGGCGGAAAACTTGTTGTTGGCTGATTGCCGGGAACGGTCGCTCCATGGAGGCATCCATCACCTGTCTGTGGAGCACCTCCATCTCTCCACCATCCAACATCCGTATCTGAATCTGAATCTGCATCGAAATCTCCCGTTGGTCGGGACTATTATTTTGGCAATTGCTGTAATCAATGCGCTGTTATCAATAACAGCTAGCGCTGTAATAATTGAATGGGTAGCGTAGCGAAAACGGCTCCTCCCATCTGCAAATTGGGGCCATAAGAATTTGTCTAAAATTGCGCAAACAAAATTATGATATATTTTCCTGCACTAGATACAAGATCCTCTTCAGACTGGCTGGTCCTCCCAAAGGCAGTGATTAGCTGGAGTCAGGGCAGAGTGCTGGATACTGACAGCCGGACAGATTGATTGCTGGCAGGACAGAGGGAGGAGAATGGGAGGGGGCCTTCATTAAAGCCATGCTGGGGCAATGCAAAAACCATGTAAAAGCCATCAAAACAAATCAAAGACAGGACACTCGAGCACTCTAGGGCTCAAGGAATATGGGAACTGTGGGAAAGAATGTCGGCTCCTTCGACTCCTCCCTTAACTGCTTAATTACAGCGCCCAAGGCCAGACTCATTATTATCTATTAAGCAGTCAGGAATACTAGTTGCTAGTTCCACCGACCTGACAAACTGACAAACAGACGCTGACTCTCTAATGACATTGGAGAAGCAGCCAGGCAGCCAAGCAGCCGAGCAGCCATAAATATGCATATGAGATGGGCTCGAGGAGCCTTCGCAATTACAATGTCCACATATAGACGGGCGGAATAGGCCTATACCTCGCCGATATTGCCCTAGCCTTGGTAATTGTTTCATATGCACGCCGGCAGCAGCAAGAACAGCCTTCGACTGGTGCAATTTCATGGCATACCCATCCCCATCCTCATCTCCATTCCCGGCATCATGACCATCGGGCATAATTTACTTAGAAGGAATCATGGTCTCGGCAGGAGGCTCCTCCAGTTTGGTAATAAAACACAGCGTCACGCCAAGGTAGCGCCCTAGCCTGCTGGCCTTCTTGGACTTTTTAGCCTTGCGCAACTGCGTCCAATTTGGACGCAATCGAGGAGCAACAGCAGCAGCAGCTTCGATGTCTACATTGCTACCTTGTCGCCGACATAATCATGTTAAATTACTCGCAAATTCATTTGGTAGTGAGGCCTCCTCCGCCGCTTTCAGTTGCAGTTGCATTGTTAGGGCGCCTGCCGATGTTGCTAGTTGCTGGTTGCTAGTTGCCAGTTGCCAGTTGCTAGTTGCCCGCTGATGTTGCTAGTTGCAAGTTGCTGCTGCCTGGCGGCTGCTTTCAGCATTGATGCATGGACATGATACTGGGACCCCAGTCTGTTGTTAGCTTGTCGCTCACTCCATATTGATCTGCTCGGCATTATGGAAATTATGTGATCAAGGCCGGGGAAAATGGAAATTGTTTTCGCTAGAGGAGTCTGGCAATTACAGATCGATTTATTGCTCCTCTGCCCGAAGCATTGTTTCTCTTTTTTTTGGGCTGCATCTAATTAGAAGCCAGATAAACGCAGTCAGGCTGGGTGAGAAATTGCTGCAAGACCCAGTCGAACTCCTCCTATTCCAACTTTTTTTTTTTCGGAGAGGTGGGTGTGGTCAAGAAGTGGCTGATGTTGCAGCTGCAGAATAGCGGTAAAAAAAAGAAAAAAGTTAAAAAGTAAAGAGGCAACGACAACGCATTTGGGGACAACGAGACGGCAAAGATTTGTGTTTATTTTGTAATCTTTGAAATATTTGTGGCATGACAAATATTTTCACTCGCCTGCATTTCCGCATAGCCAGAAGTGGTTGCCTGGGAATGGGGAAAGTATGGCTATCAACGGTAACATTTGGGAAAACTTCCACTTTTTCGCATCTGCCCCAGGCAGCAAGTCCACCTACAGCACTAAATAATAAAGCGTAACCAGCAAAAGGCGTGCCTCACTCGGAGTTTGGGTTTGGGTCTGGGTTTGGGCCATGGGACCAAGTGGCTTTGGCCAGAATCCCAGAATCCAGAATCCCAGAGCCCCGATGCCAGAGCACCTAGGCCTACTTATGTAAGTAAGGCTCTGCCAGTGCTTGTGGCTTGTATTTTATGGTTTGTGTACACATTTTTGCACACATGCGCGCCGGGTCATTCAACTTGTTGTGGCAGAAATCCATGGCCATGGTCAGGTGGGTGGGGGATCACCGGGCGGGACAGGAGGGGCGGGGTAGGAGGGGCGGGGCAGGAGGAGCGGAGGCGGTGCGCGCGCGCTTTCCTAGAATAAACAAAATGCACGACTCTGCCAAGAGCCGCCAACAACTTTGGCTTTGGCTTTGGCCTGGCCCGCTGCTTGGCTGCTTTCCTGCTTGAGCACACGAAGAAGCCGAGTTGCTGCCGTTGCACTGAGAGAAAAATCCATTTGAAAATAATAAACTAGAAAGCTTAATAAAGTGTCGAAAATCAGCCGATAGCCTGAATTAATTTCTGGCACTCCAACTGAAACCATTGTTCTTGATGACCTGCTTCGTTTAAATTCTACTTATTTATTTAAAAATATTCGCTATAAGTTAAAGAAACTACTGGGACAGCAAATCAAGGATTCAATTCCTGCACTGCAAAACAAAATCAGTTTAAAATTCAGTTGGGATTTATTCCCTCAGTGTGCTGTTGCTGCTTCCACATCAACACCAGCAACATGCGGCAGCAGCAGCAGCAGCAACTTGGCTGACTAACTGACTGACTGACTTCTGTTTGTTGGACCGACACGACCATGTTTGATGTGTACCATAGTCATCATTATCATCATCATCTTCGCCAGCCAGCCAGGAACTCAGGCGTCCCCCATCCGATCGTAATGATGATGTATATGTGGCTTGTTTTAGTTGTTGCACTTGTGCAGCGCAGAATTGTTGCATAAGTTTGCATTACAAGGCGGTCGCGGCAACTGGGGATTGTCTAGGTTTGCTGGTTTTCTTGGTTTGGTTGGCTTACTGGGCCTACTACCAGTTGCTGCTGGCCACATGATTGACTCCCATTGCCAAGTTCGCAGCCAAATTCTGCGCACTGCCAAGGCTCGAGTTCAGTCAAGTGGAGAGACTTCCCTCGCCGGCAATCCTTAACAGTTAATGTGTGAATTTTTATGCGTTGCCAGGCTCGGTCGTGTTGTTGTTCTTACCGCATATAATGTAATTTACATCCGTTAGCTTCGAGTGAGACGGAGGCTCCTCCATCTGCTACAGCTCGAAATTGCTACTCTGATTTGCGGCTGCCGTTCTGAGTCTGAGTTTCAGTCTGACTTTGAGTCTGGATTCTAGTGCCAAGAGTCGGCCAAATTCATGCTTATGAGCACTTGCCGTTAGGATTTTCATTGTTGTTTCGCCTGCAATTTGTTGCCAAATTGTATGGGCCAGGTCTTTGCCTTTGCCTTCGGCTTCAGTTCAGCTTCAGCTTCGATTTAAATGTGGATCCCGGCAAAGAGTCGAGTCATCGGGAATGGGCCCCGCAAGTATGCGGAAATTAAAATGTGAAATATTCGAGAAATTGTCAACCCTTCAACTAGACGCAATTAATCAAAGTTGAGGCCGCCAGCAGTAATTCATAAAACAGCAATTTGTCAAATCATTTCTGCAGCAACAAGTGGCAGCAGCAGCAGCAACTGGCCTTCCTGGCCAACTGTCAGCTTAGACAATTTGTTTGAGCCATTTTTGCAGGGGGGAATCGTGTGGGACACACGCAGCCAGCTTTCTTGGCCATTTTCCTGGTTCTAAAGCTGCTGCTGGCTGGTCGGTGGATGTTGCAACTTGCAAGCCAGGCTGCATTTTGATGATGTGGTAATAACACGTTGCATGCATACAAAGCCAAGTTGTTGCTGCTGCTGCTGCTGCAATTTGGTGTTGCTCTTGGCTTGTAGACCCTGTTATCACGCCGGACAAGGCTATCAAGGCTAAAAGAAAAGCTGGCCTACGCAGCTTCCCGGCCAATTTCAATTGCATGCTGGCACAATTAGAGTTCGGCATTCGCGGCAATGGATAAATTAATTAATTATGGTCATGGCGATGGCGATGGCGATGGCTAACGGATATGGCCATCGTAAAAATCCCGCCGTAATGGGGGAACTGCAAGTATGGCATTTCATTAAATAATAAACATTCCTTCCACCTTTTCCCATTGCAGCCCCAGTGCAGGAGTACACGGAGATCCAACAGTATTCGGGTAAGTCGGAGTCTAGAGCTGATTAACTGGCGGCCATAACCGTCAAAGAGCAGGAGCCTAATAAAATTGCATTCAGATCACTGTTTTATGGTGATTACGTTTTCGTTTCGCAATGCGGAAGTGGCCGATTAATGGTACTCAGCCTTTTCATATTTACTTTGAGTGCTCTCCCGCTCGCTTTTTAAATCAATATTATAATTGAAAGCCATCAATATTGTGATCGATTCGGGGCCTAAATGGTTAATTAGCTAACCACTTGACATAAGCCGCTAATCGGGGTCCAATTATCGGCCAATCGCCGTCATAAAGCCGCATTAAAGTGAGGTGTGAAGACAGATGGAGACAAAAATAAATAAGCGCTGCCTTTTTACGAGTTATGCTGGAAACGTGAGCAGAGGCCCAGACCCAGAGATTTCAATCAGAAAACGGTCTAGTAGTCGGGGTTCACAGTAGTTGGGGAAACTGGCGCGCTTAACGTGTTAATGATGTGATGTGAAATTTATTGCGGGTGGACGTCACTAAATTAGAAACACTGGACTTGCGACGTGCGCATATTTTAAGACTCAGCTAGACGACGACGACAGTTGACTTTGGTTTTGACGACACTGATGAGCAATAAAATTTGTCTATAGCCGCACGTATTATGACAGCCGACTGGCGCTAAGCCCCGATTTATGGCCCGAACGACACAGTAGCACACATCGCGGGGAAAATCACACACAAAGTTAGATATGGATGGCCCGCTTGCATAACTAATGCCTGGAATTTATTAGCCGGAAGAGTGGCATTGTCTGGGGCTTTTGGTTCCCAGATGCTGCGCCCCAGATTGCAAGAGCTTCAACATCGAACCCAATCCTATACTTTCAGAGGGCTGCTACTACAACTATGCGCACTACCAAGAGGGCGACCGCATCATGACCAATGAGCCGTGTCTGAACTGCACCTGCCACAACCGCATGCTGATGTGCTACCTGCGCGTCTGCCCCTTCACCAAGCCCATTGGCCACGACTGCATCGTGGAGAAGCGGGAGGACCAGTGCTGTCCCATCATCACCTGCCCAGAAGGTGAGTTTGCATAGGAGGAGTGTTCTCAATACCCCAGAGTGTTTATACTCCCATTTTATCCCGTAGTGCCCGTGGACGTGCCCTACCATTCCCCCGAACCCGGAACCGAGCTGAGCATCCCCGAGAAGTTCGGCTGCAGCATCGAGGAGAAGTTCTACCCGGAGGGCGCCCAGGTGCCATCAAACCCCAACAAACCCTGCGAGCTGTGCTACTGCATCAACAACCAGACCAAGTGCGTCATGCAGGAGTGCACTCTGCACGTGGACGGCTGCCTGCCCATCTACAACAAGGGATCGTGTTGCCCAGTGCGCTACAGTTGCGGTAAGTTATCAGTTGATTGCCTTTCGCAGAAAATCCATTTGAGTTAAGTTATGCGGAGTTTGAAGTCCATTTAACAAGTTAATTTGTAAAATGTATTAAATGTAACAATTTCCTTTTGCAGACCATGAGAACGAACTGGACTTTGTAGACCAGTCGACCACCACGACCACCACCACAGTGCGCCCCACCACCGGATTCATCCTGGAGAGCACCATGACACCACCAACCACCACCGACTGCATCCACGATGGCGAAGTGTACGCCGATGGAGCCTCGTTGAAGGGCAAGAACGCCTGCGAGCACTGCTACTGCATGCGTGGAGACATCGTTTGCGCCGTCCAGGAGTGCGAGGTGCCCATGATGGCCGCCAATGGAAAGTCCTGCCGTGCCATGCCAGCTGCCGAGGGCGAGTGCTGCCCGAGCAACTACGTCTGCGAGGACGACAGTGCCACCACTGAAATTGTTGAGGTCACCACGGCGGAGAGTGTTACTTCGGTGCCAGCCAAGGGCATTCATGCTGAGATCCCCAAGGAGGATGTGGACCTGCAGGAGCACATCGATGACGAGGAGAAGGAACAGGATAAGGATAAGGAGAGCGCTACCGATATTCCCTCCGTGGAACTGGGAAGCGGCGATGTTGAGGACGAAGAGGAGGAGGAGAAGGTTAAGGCCACCACGGTTGCTCCAGTCCAAGTCACGGACGAGAAGGACTTCTCCTTCGAGCCGGAATCCTCTACTGCTGGCATTGCCTCCGATTCCAGGATCGATGTGCCATCCTCCACCGAGGAGTCCAAGGAATCGTCCACCGAAGCCGCCGATGAGGAGATTGTCAAGATTGTCACCACTCCGGAGCCCGAGGGTAGTGGCGAAGAGGATGTGGCCAAGCCTGCCCAGATTCCCGAGAAGGAAGTCACTGAGGAGGAACTTATTAAGGTCAGCACTGCCGCTCCAGCCAAGGCCAGTCCGGAACTGGAAGTGGTCAAGGCCACCACCTCGGCGCCAAGCGAAGAAGAGGAAGTTAAGCCCACGCCAGCCGGCGAAACCAGTGAAGAGCCTACGGAGGAAGGAAGCGGGGACGAGGAGAAGGATGTTAAGGTCACAGCAGCTCCAGAGGAGTCTCAAGAGGAATCCAAGCCCACTTCCGCTCCAGTGGCCAGCGACGAAAAAGAAGAGGAACTCAAGCCTACTGAGGGAAGCGGTGAGGAAGACCAGGCAATCAAACCCACTGCCGCTCCAGTGGAAAGCGTTGAGGAGGACAAGGAAGTCCAACCCACTTCGGCTCCCACGACAAGCGACAAAACTGAACAGGAAGCAACTCCGGCTCCCGAGGAAAGTGAGGAACAAGAGGCTGGCAAGCCCACTCCAGTTCCATCAGAAATCGATGAAGTGGAGCCAGCCAAGCCTACAGAATCGGCAGAGGAAGCCAGCAGCGAGGGAGAAGAGGAGATCGTCAAGGGAACCACTCCTGCTGGAGAATCCAGCAGTGAAGTCGAAGAGGAGATCGTCAAGGGAACCACTCCTGCTGGAGAAGCCAGCAGTGAGGGTGAAGAGGAGATCGTCAAGGGTACCACTCCTGCTGGAGAAGCCAGCAGTGAGGCTGAAGAGGACATCGTTAAGGACACCACTCCTGCCGGAGAATCCAGCAGTGAGGGTGAAGAGGAGATCATCAAGGGAACCACTCCTGCCGGAGAAGCCAGTAGCGAAGCCGAAGAGGAGATCGTCAAAAGTACCACTCCTGCCGGAGAATCTAGCAGTGAGGCTGAAGAGGACATCGTTAAGGGCACCACTCCTGCCGGAGAAACCAGCAGCGAAGCCGAAAAGGAGATTTCCAAGGAAACCACTCCAGCCGGAGAGTCTAGCAGCGAAGCCGAAGAGGAGATCGTCAAAGGAACAACTCCTGCCGGAGAAGCCAGCAGCGAAGACGAGGAGGAGATCGTTAAGGGCACCACTCCTGCCGGAGCAACAAGCAGTGAGGATGAAGAAGAGATCATCAAGGGAACCACACCTGCCGAAGAAGTCAGCGAAGAGGAAGTCGTCAAGGCTACCACTCCAGCTACTAAGACCGACGGCGACAGCGAGAAGGAACCAGATTCTGCCACGGATGCTCCAGCGGAAGAAGTCGAGGACTTGGCTAAGCCCACAACGCCAGTCGCTGAAACTGAGGAAGAAGCCATTTCCGCCACACCCATTCCAACTGAAGATGTCAGTGCTGAAGAGGAGATTGTTAAGGCCACTACACCCAAGTCCTTGGGAGAGCAGCCTGAAATTGCCCAGCAGTCTACCGAGTTGCCAGAGGAAGAGGGAGATCTTCCCAGCTCTACCAGTGTCCCATCAATTGCCTCCTCTACCGAAGGTGTCCAGGATGCTTCGGCTGAAACGACCAGCAGTGCACCTGCACGAGCTGGCGACAAGGAGGAAGCCGGAGTCCCTGCCGACAAAGATGACAAAGAGTCCGGAGAAGTCGAAGAGGATGCCACAGATCTGCCAGTCGATGATGCTGTCAAGAGCACAACTGCTAAGCCCACAGCCACCGAGCAGACCGAAGAGGAGTCCTCAACGGAAGCTGAGGCCGCTGAAGTCGAGTCATCAACTAGTGCTCCCGTCGACAAGCAGGAAGTGCCAACAGCTGAGCCTGCAGACAAGGATCACAAGGAGGAGGATGTTAAGGAGACAAGCACTGAGCTTCCAACTAAATCTGATATTGTTCCTCCGGTTGAACAAGCCGAAGCAACTACCAGTCAGCCCGAGACCAGTGATGAATCCGCCACAGATAAGCCCACCGCCGTTTACTTGCCGCCTGCCGGAGAAAAGGATTCTACTGAGGATGAGGTACCTGCAACGGAATCCTCTGTCCAAGAGGAGCCATCCAAGCCAGTGGAGACCAGTCCAGTGCCCCAGGATGTCCCATCCAGCACTGCCGCAGTTGACAACCGTAACGACTTCGAAGCGGAGAAGACTACCCAAGCCCCTAGTGGCGAGGAGCCCCTGCCCGCCATGGATCTGCCCGCCGTCATTCCCGGCGAAGGTGACTGCCTGGTGGAGGGCAAGACCTATGCCAACAACACCATTGTGCCCGCCACCGCCCCCTGCGACGTCTCCTGCAGATGTGTCAGCAGCCTCGTGGCCTGCCAACAGATGGAGTGCAAGTTGCCCGAGAACCTGGAGAAATGTACCGTGGCTGCCGATCTTTTGGATGGTTGCTGTCCCACTTACAACTGCGATGAGAGCCCAGAAAGCGCTGAAAAGGAGCAGGACTCTACTGCCAAGCCTGACGACAAGATCGACGAGGATGTCTCCGAGATCAGCACCGAGGAAATTCCCGAGGACGTTATCATACCTACTGGCACTACTGAACAGCCTCTTTCTCATGTCAAACCCGATGAAGAGATCCAGCCAGTGACCTCAGTTCCTGTCCAAGTTGATGAATCTTCGCCTGCTAAGGCTGATAAGAAACCAATTGAGGAATCCGAGGAGGATAAGAAACCAGTTGATGAATCCGAAGAGGATAAGAAACCAATTGAGGAATCCGAGGAGGATAAAAAACCAATTGAAGAATCCGAGGAGGACAAGAAGCCAGTTGATGAATCCGAAGAGGATAAGAAACCAGTTGAGGAGCCCAAGCCCGAGGACGAAAAGAAGACCGATGATGATTTCGTTACAGCCACTAAGCAGCCAGAGACTTCAACTCCCTCCCAGTTTGCCGACGATGAAGAGAAGGAGACTGAAGACAAACTGGCCACCACATCTGCTCCCACTTCAGTTGAAGAAGTACCCAAGCCGGTCGATGAAAAGACACCTTCAGAAGAGAAGAAACCTGCTGAGGCAGAGCCAATCCCTGATGATGAAATCCTTGCCACCACTGCTCAACCCGAGAAGGAGTCTCCAGAGTCCTCGACTGAAGTGCCAACTGCTGATATCGGCAAGGAACCAGAGGCGGAGGAACCAGCTCCAGCCACCCAGGCTCCAGAGTCTGATAAGATTCCCGAGGTTTCGACCCGTGCTCCAGCTGGAGATGAGATTGAACAATCTGAGGAAATCACCACTGTTTCTCCATCAAAGGCTTCTGCTTCTGACGAAAAGGAAACTGCTGGGGATGAGGATATCGTTCCTGCTACATCTGTACCCATTGAAAGCGAAATTGAAATTAGTACCGCGAAGCCAGTCGAGCAGGGACCACCACTACCAACTCTGGCCCCAGAAAAGAAACCACTCGAGGAGGACTCCTCTACTGAAACTGATATCAGCACTGAAGCAAGCATTGGAGGTGAAAAGGAAACCGCTGATGAGACATCGGAGGCCGACAATGAAATTGAGGGTGATGCTACTCCTGCTCCTCCTTCTGCATCTGCTGATGACGAGAAGACCCCAAGCACTGATAAGACTATCGAGGACGTTGAGGAGGAGGCCAATCTGCCCAAGCTACCCCAGGATATCTTTGAAGAGGAACTTCCAGCCGCAATCACTACCCCTGCTCCAACGATGGACGAGGATGAGAAGAAACCAGTCCAGGAAGGAGAGAAACCAGTCGAAGGTGAACCGAAACCAGTCGAAGGTGAACCGAAACCAGTCCAAGAAGAGGAGAAGCCAGTTGAAGATGGACAAAAGCCAATTGAAGACGATAGCACTACAGCTACTCCAGCTGAAAATGAGATCGAGCCTGAATCTGATCGTGCAACCACTGCTGCTCCTGCTAAGGAAGAGTCTGTCGAACCATTCACTGGAGCTCCTGCCTCTGATGAGAGCGAGGAAACCCCCGAATCTGATGTGCCCACAACTGTGGCTCCCGCTGGTGAGAAGATTCCTACGGGCAGTATCACTCCCGATGAGGAATCCCCTGCCACTTCTGCTCCTATTGCCCATCCGGACGAAGATGTGGAAAAGGAAACCGGCATCGAAACCTCTACAGGCCTCCTTGGCTCTTCTGAGGAACAGGATAAGGAAACATCCACGGATGAGGCTCCTTCCCAGGTGGCCGAAGAGAAACCCGAAGCTCCTGCCCAGACTCCGCAGGAGGAAACCACAGTTACAGCCCCAACGGCCGCCGATGAGGTGCCAATCCAGAAGCTGCCCGAAGAGGTCCTTGCAGAGATTCCGCAATCCTCTACTGAAACTGACATTGAAAAGGAAACCAGTGCTGCTCCAAGCATTGGCGAGAAGGAACAAGCTGTCACCTCAATCCCATCGCTTGCAATCGATCAGGAAGCCACCACAGTTGCGCCTACTTCTGAGAAGGACGAAGGACCAACTGAAGAAGACAAGCCAGTGGAGTCATCTGAGGAAGAGGAGAAGCCCACGGAACAGGAGACATCAACTGAGACACCAGCCAAGTTTGCCACACCAGAAGATAAGCTTGCTGTATCTACTGATGCTCCCGAGAAAGAATCAGAATCATCTGAAGAAGTTGCTTCATCAACTGATGCAACTGCAGATGAGCAGCCCTCGAGCACGGCCCAGGCACCAGTTGAGAAGATTCCCGATATCTCCACCGAACTGCCTGTTGAAAAGATTCCCGATATCTCCACAGAACTGCCTGTTGAAAAGATTCCCGAAATCTCTACCGAATTGCCTGTTAAAGAGATTCCCGAAATCTCCACCGAGCTTCCAGCTGAACATGCCGACAAGGACGCAACCATTGCTCCTGTTGCCGCCGATGAAGTTACCTCTGCCCCGTCTGAAGAAAAGATTCCCTCTGATTCTAGCGAAGAAGACAAGATTCCAGAGGTCACTACTGACTCTCCCCAGGCTGCAGATGATGACACCAAGAAATCGTCGGAAGTGGCACCATCTTCCACTGAGAAAGTACCAGATACTACTGATAAGCTGCCCGTGGATGAAAAGGAGGCTGAAGATAAACCTGAATCTGAAACCCAAGTTCCTGATCTGTCTGAGGAAGTGGCAACGTCGTCTACTTCAGCTCCAGTTGCTGGCGGAGATATCGAAAAGGAGGAGGATGCCACTCCTGCCCAGGAGGAGGGAGAAGAAATCAAGCCAACTATCGCCCCTGCTGCCGAAAGTTCGAAACCTTCCGAAAAGGAACCCGCCTTGGATGAACAAGAAGTGGAGTCCACAACTAAGCCCAGCACTGAAGAGTCTGACGAGCAACCCATTGATGAACCTGCGTCCGCAACTTCTGGACCCATCGAGGAAGCTTCCACAGCCGCTCCTGCCAAGGAGGAATCCAGCACTCAATCTCAGGAGAAGGAGGATATTGATATTACTACCGATGCTAGCCCAGCTTTGCCTGCTGTTCAAGAAGATGACACCAAGGGTGCCGTCACTGAACAACCAGTGTTTGATGATAAGGAAGTGGCTGCTCCCCAGGACGACACCAAAACACCTATTATTGTGTCCACCGATTCTCCCATTGCCCAAGAGGATGAGGAACAGAAAACCGATGCTCCTGTTGCACCCACCACAGTTGCTCCTACTGCATCGCCTGCTGCCGATTCTACTGCTGATTCTAGCACTCCTTCAGTGGATCTTCCTTCTGCCGAGGAGATCGACAAGAAGCCCATGGAAGAAGTCATGTCTCAGACTATTGCCCCGCATGCCGACGAGTCTGCGTCCACATCCTCTGAGGATGAAGAGCAGTCTCCCATTACTGTGTCTCCTCAGGATGCTGACAAGACTCCAGTTACCACGGCTCCCCAGGATGCTGATAAGACTACTGTTTCTGAAATTGACAAGACTCCCATCTCAGACGCTTCCCAGGAGGCTGAGGAAACTCCAGCTACTGGATCTCCTCAAGATGCAGATAAGATTCCAGTCACAGTGGCTCCTCAGTCCGCTGACGAAATCCCAGCTTCAGTCTCTTCCCAAGAAACTGATGATACCCCAGCCACTGCTTCTCCTCTGGATGATGAGAAGATTCCAGTTACAGCGGCTCCCTTGGATGGTGAGAAACTTCCTGCTTCAGTTGCTCCCGTTGCTTTTGATGTGGAGCCAAGCAGCGAGCAGCCTTCTGTATCTGAGGATGTTGGTGAAGAGAGCACCGAACCAGCTGTCGATGATGCTGAGGATACCACTGATGAGCCTAAGGCTGATGCCAAACTGAAGCCTCCCACTCACGCGCCTGCCGTTCCATCCGAATCTCCAGTCACAGAGGCGGAGATTGTGCCGGAAACTGCGGCTCCAGAGGTGGAGAAGGAGGTTCCAGAGAAGACCACGGATGAACAAGATCTGGAGAAGGATGTGCCAGAAAAGACCACGGAACAGCCAGAACTGGAGAAGGAAGTGCCAGAAAAGTCCACGGAGAAGACGGAACTGGAGAAGGAGGTGCCAGAACTGGAGAAGGAGGTGCCAGAAAAGACCACGGAACAGCCCGAGGCGGCTGACGAGAAGACCACTCAGGAGCCAGTCGTGAAGCCCAGCTTAGATTCCACCGAGGAGGGTGAGGAGTCCGTTGAGTCTGAGGAGGAGCATGCTCCAGTTACGGAGGCAGCTGACAAGGAGGACGAGAGCAAGGAGACTGAGGAGGAGGCGGCCGACGCCGGCAAGAAACCAGAGCCGGAGCAGCCCGAGGTGCCCGCCGTAGTGTCGGAGATTCCCCAGCCAAGTGAAGAGGCCGTCCCGACCACTGTGCACCCACTGTTCTCCCACCTGCCCAGCAGCTCCACTCCAAAGCCAGCCATCGACGACCGCGTTGGTGAGGAGGATGAAGAGAACACCACCGAGAAGTTGAGTAGTTCCAGCAGCACCACCAGCACCACCACCTCCAGCACCACCGAGGCTCCTGTGAGCAGTGCTCCGGCGACGACGACGGTGGCCAGCCAGCAGCAGCCCATCACTCCACCGCCCTACGGCCACGCCTCCGAGTACGAGGACGAGTACGACGAGGAGGAGGTCTTCGGACCCGGAACCTGCCGCTACGCCGGCAAGCTGTACGTGTCCGCCCAGCAGATTCCACGTGACGATCCCTGCGACTTCTGCTTCTGCTTCCGAAGCGACATCATCTGCCTGCAGCAGTCATGCCCGCCGCCAATCGCCGGCTGCCACGAGGAGCCCATCTCCGGCTTCTGCTGTCCGCGCTACGAGTGCCCCGTGTCCATGGCCGCCGTGCTGAACATCACCACGAGCACGACCACCACCAGCACCACCCTGCCGCCCCACTTCCTCCACTACTCGCACGGCGAGGCGGTAAAGCACACCGGCTGCCTGATCAACGGCCGATCCTACCGCGTGGGCGAGCAGATCGAGTCCACGAGCGGTCCCTGCATCAGCTGCACGTAAGTATCCTTATAAGGAACCCAAGTTACCTGATTCATAACTAACCTGGATCTCTTTGCACCCATTTCAGATGCGGCGGCGACGGCAAAATGAAGTGCGATCCCCAGCAGTGCGTCCCCGAACCCACCATGCAGCAGGTGATGGCCGCCGTGGCATCGGGACGCAAGAGATGAACCACCAGCCATGCTCACTAAATATAATTTAACTAATTCTTAAGCACTGCAGACAACAATCACGAACCGACGAACCAACCAGCCCAGATAGCACCACTCGCCAACTAGCAGCAATAGCAATAGAGATCACTATTTTAGCCAGAAACCAGACACCAGAAACCAGAAACAGAATCTCGAAACCCGAACAGGAAATCGAACAGGAACAAATCGAAATAGAATAGGTGCCAGAAGCAATAGTGAACCATGACCAGAACCTGATGCAATAGTGTTAACTTTGGGTTTGCCGACACATTCGCACTCTTTCAATTGGATTACGACCACTTGTTTCGGATTAGGTTACGGTGACGAAGCAACCAGTGATATTGTACTGTATACATAGTATAGGTGCAATTAATTTAGACGCGCTCACTTAAAACGATTACTTATTTGTATGTGTACTAGTATTTTGGGCTTGTGACCCTAGTGACAGGACATATAGCCACCACAGCAGCCGACGTAGCGCGTGCCTTGTAAGGTCGTTCATTGTGTGCCCGCCGCCATACAATCGCTTTCAGGAGACTCTCAAGCACCCCACATATTGACATATGTATAGCGAACATATTCCGGACCCGGATCGCAATCAATGGCGTTACGAAGCCACGGCATTCGGCCGCCGGACCGGTTTCTACACTTGCCCCCTCCGGCGGCTCACTCTTCTCCAATGCGCTTTTATAGTATTTTAGTCACCTTATTTTAAACATTATTATTTTTGTGTATAATTGTTGCTTCTAGTCTTCTTTTGTTGCAAGAGCAACGGAATCCGCCTGTAACACGCGCACAACCCGATCGATCGATCGATCGAATCAGATCAGATCAGATCAGATCGGATCGGACCATATGAATCAAATTGAGTTGAGTTGAGTTGAGTTGAGAAACTGTATCTTCTATGAACTATTCCAAGCTTTTATACTTTTATATACAAAATACGTGTAGAGTCGAGAAACGAACGAACTAGTTTTTATAGCAATTTTACAAACGAACGCACAAATTGCATAGTTTTAACGGATTGAATTTGTACTTCGCCCGCTGCACCTCCAAATGAGGTGGCCAAACCGTAGTCTACATAGAATTTTTAGATCAACTGAAACTGAAACGGAAACTAAATACGGAACCGAAAACACACTGTTCGGCCATGGCTACTGCTCGACTGACTGAAAATCGCACAGACCGGAGAGAAGTTAACTTTGTAAACTATTTTTTTAGCCGCCAGCTGCCGCGCTGGCTATTATTTTTTAATAGAACGAAACGCCCGGATATTCAATATTCAGTCACTTGAGCCTTAGCAATGCGCCGTAATCTTGAGGCGTCTCATCGATGCCGAATGAATACGAACATCAATTAGATTTATATAATCTCTAAATATAGTTGTAGCTCTAAGTATTTAATTTTAAAAATAAATAAATAAATTTTAATTTAGATCTTATTTATTTGATATGTCTTTTAAGAACAGCTCTTGTGTTTCCATACCTTATCATAATTTATATGCAGCTATTCTTTGTAATCTAATAAATAAATACAACGCTTTTTATTGAAATGTATACCGGGAATATTTCTTTAACAAATGGGAGGCCATAATTGTTAACACGGTTAAATTGTGAAACATCATTTTGCTTATCCAAAAAAATTTTAAAACCACATAAAAAAGATATTGATTACGTTAAAAATGATGTACCGTGGGAGACAACAATGTCTAAAGCCCAAATATACCAACTTAAGTTCAACTTTTTTAAACTTTTTTAAGTATTTGAAAAAACGTTACTCACCAAGATGACTTTGATGTACCGTTCGGCAATATTTAAATTATCTTTTGTGCAGGTTACTTCCGTGTGGTATTTTCTATCAGTCCAGCGGCGTTCACACTTCTAGCCGGCTGCCAAATAGTGTTTAATATTTTCCGCTTATGGCCTCAATCCGATTAAACCCCTGGACTTCTCTATATATAAGCTCCTCCAAATGGTGAATATATCCACCATAAACTGGCTCTTTGTCTGCGGCCTGTCCTTCTGCCTGGGCGGAATTGCGGTGCTCAGTTTCATGCCCCTGGGATCCGGTGCGTATGCGAAATATGAAGACTTGCTATACATACTGACCTGACACTGCTCTTTTTATAGACTGCGTCTGCCCGCTGTCTAATCCGCTGACCAGGCTGACGGGCGTCGGAGGAGCAGGTGCGGGGCAAAAGGAACCACTGGCGGAGAAGTTCCAGCAGCCGCATGACCACGGTGCATCCGCTCACAAGATGGCCCTGCTGGTGCCATTCCGGGACCGTTTCGAGGAGCTCCTCCAGTTCGTGCCCCACATGACCTCCTTCCTGAGGCGCCAGGGCGTGGCGCATCACATCTTCGTGCTAAACCAGGTGGACAGGTTCCGCTTCAATCGCGCCTCCCTCATCAACGTGGGCTTTCAGTTTGCCAGCGATGTTTACGACTATATAGCCATGCACGACGTGGATCTGCTCCCCTTGAACGACAATCTGAGGTACGAGTATCCCAGCAGTCTCGGCCCGCTCCACATCGCCGGACCCAAGTTGCATCCCAAGTACCACTACGATAACTTCGTGGGCGGTATCTTGCTGGTGCGCCGGGAGCACTTTCAGCAGATGAACGGCATGTCCAACCAGTACTGGGGCTGGGGACTGGAGGACGATGAGTTCTTTGTGCGGATCCGGGATGCAGGACTGCAGGTGACGCGGCCACAGAACATTAAGACTGGCACTAATGATACATTTAGGTGATAAAAGCTTTACAGCAATCAAATTAGCAATGACATTAAGTACTATTTTCCCTCAGCCATATCCACAACCGCTATCATCGCAAGCGGGACACCCAGAAGTGCTTCAACCAGAAGGAGATGACCCGCAAGCGGGACCACAAGACGGGCCTGGACAACGTCAAGTACAAAATACTCAAGGTGCACGAGATGATCATTGACCAGGTGTCGGTGACCATCCTCAACATTTTGCTCGATTGTGATGTTAATAAAACGCCGTGGTGCGACTGCTCCGGAACGGCAGCAGTGGCCTCGGCGGTACAAACCTGAAGATGGGTTGTGTTTAACCAAGATCCTATGTTTATTTCGCTAAATAAGTGTTCTGTGTTTTGTAAATGCGCTAGTACACGTGAACCATTCCGTAGAGGAATGTCCAGAAGAGCACGTAGGTGCAAAGGCCGCCCATGAACTGGTTGGTCAGCAGATTTCTGCGGTTGATGAAGAACTTGCGCCACTGGGTTCCAGACTTGAGAAGCACCAGGATCCAGAGCACGAACACGGATAGGAAGTAGAACAGGAAGCCTAGGGTTCCGCTCAAGCCCAGAATACCTGCAAATGGTGGTGTTAATTCAGCTGATCAACCACAAATTAAGACCAATTACCTGCAGCGCAGCCCGAGATGGCGGCCATCGATGTCCGGCAATACTCCACGGCGGAAATGTTGTTCCGGATGGCGACCTCGCTGTAGGCGATTATCTCTCCCGTTTTGGACTGTGTGGTCTTTACTCGGTTCATTTTAATTAATTAATTTATATCCTATTTTCTGTGAAATCTTCTTCGGCTGTGAACTCCGATTGCTGTATCGATTGGCAGTGCCGATGACCGATAAATGTCTGAGTGGCTCACAATTGCGTTTGCCATTCGCCCGGGCACGTAGCTTGTTGTTATTGGGATTGGACTGGAGCTCGGACGGACAGTAATTCATTAAAATATGTGGTGATAACGCGAGCAGACGAATTCTGCGTGCGATTCGTGCGTTTGACGTGGGTACTGCTAACTACTATGTTGTCGCTCCCTGACTTGCTTTGATTCGCGGAGTTCCTGCCCCATCACACACCACCTACCACCCACCTAGTACCTCCTTCTCCGCCAGCTGCTCCACCACCAGGAGGGCAATTAAAAAATCAATCAGAGGGCCCTAATTGAAAGCTGCCTCCGCAGTCGACATGTCGCCGCCGAAGAACTGCGCGGTGTGCGGGGACAAGGCGCTGGGCTACAACTTCAACGCGGTCACCTGCGAGAGCTGCAAGGCCTTCTTCCGGAGGAACGCGCTGGCCAAGAAGCAGTTCACCTGCCCCTTCAACCAGAACTGCGACATCACAGTGGTCACACGCCGCTTCTGCCAGAAATGCCGCCTGCGCAAGTGCCTGGACATTGGGATGAAGAGCGAGAACATCATGTCCGAGGAGGACAAGCTGATCAAAAGGCGCAAGATCGAGACGAACCGAGCCAAGCGTCGCCTCATGGAGAACGGCACAGATGGCGGTGATGCTGACGACGGCAACGGAGATGACCACAAGGCGCCAGCGGACAGCAGCAGCAGCAACCTGGAGCTCTATTCCGGATCACAGGACTCGCAAAGCTGCGGCTCAGCGGACAGTGGCGCCAACGGTTGCTCTGGCGGGCAGCCCAGCTCCACGGGCACACAGGTCAATCCACTGCAGATGACGGCCGAGAAGATCGTTGACCAGATCGTATCCGACCCGGATCGGGCCTCCCAGGCCATTAACCGGCTGATGCGCACCCAGAAGGAGGCTATTTCGGTGATGGAGAAGGTGATAAGCTCACAAAAGGACGCATTGAGGCTGGTGTCGCACTTGATCGACTACCCAGGTAGGTGCTTAACTCAATTGGCGGCTTGGCCTCCATAACACTTGTTAATTCGTTGTAGGCGACGCCCTCAAGATCATCAGCAAGTTTATGAACTCGCCTTTTAACGCGCTGACAGGTTAGTTTACTTAAACATAAATAATTCAACATAATAACTTAGCAATTAATTAATTGATTCTTATTTTGTAGTATTCACCAAATTTATGAGCAGTCCCACGGATGGCGTGGAGATTATCTCGAAGATAGTCGACTCGCCGGCGGACGTGGTGGAGTTTATGCAGAACCTAATGCACTCGCCGGAGGATGCCATAGACATAATGAATAAATTCATGAACACACCGGCCGAAGCGCTGCGCATCCTTAACCGTATCCTGAGCGGCGGTGGAGCGAACACAGCCCAGCAGGCCGCAGATCGCAAGCCACTTCTGGAAAAGGAGCCGGCGGTAAAGCCTCCTCCGCCGGCGGAGCGGGTGGACACCGTTATCCATAGCATGCTAGGCAGTGGAAGCCCGCCGATTTCGCCCCATGACGCTGCCGTGGACCTGCAGTACCACTCGCCCAGTACCGGGCAGCAACCCAGCACCTCGAGCAGCCACCCCTTGCCTTATATAGCCAACTCGCCGGACTTCGACCTGAAGACCTTCATGCAGACCAACTACAACGACGAGCCCAGTCTGGACAGCGACTTCAGCATCAACTCGATCGAGTCCGTGCTCTCTGAGGTTATCCGCATTGAGTATCAGGCCTTCAACAGCATACAACATATGCCATCGCGGGTCAAGGAAGAGTCCTACGTGGGCGGTAGTCAGTCCTCATACGGCGGCTGCAATGCTGCCGGAAATACCAGCCAGCGGCACCTGCAACAGCCCATCTGCGCCCCCTCTACTCTGCACATGGATCGAGAACTTAACGAGGCCGAGCAGAATAAGCTGAGGGAACTGCGGCTGGCCAGCGAGGCCCTCTACGATCCCGTGGACGAGGACCTCAGCGCCCTGATGATGGGCGACGATCGCATTAAGGTAACCACCAGCCTACGGTATTAGCCTATCGTTCTTTCATTTATAGCTCCAACACCACGGCTTATCTAATCGGAGTGTGCGAGCGACGATATATGTACTTTCGGCACCTGGCAGTTTGTGGCCACTCGGTGATTCAGTGCGTATCTTGATGATGGCCTGTGTGCCAGTGTGTCTCAGCCAGCCATTTCTGTGCTCCCAGCAATGCGTCTCCCCCAAATGCAAACATCATTTTCAATAGGGTGGCTCAGATTTTATAGTTCAAAGAATCTTGGTTGGGGAAAGAAATTCATAAGTTATTTTTCCTTGAGCTCTTTATTAGGGTTAAAAGCATTTTAGTTTATGCACACTTGGGTCTGCTTTTATTAGAATTTTAATTTTGTTTGTGTGCGAAAGAAACTTACATTTTGTTTACGAAAATTGACCTAAAACTTTGAACTTAAATTAGGCAAAGTTTTTATTTAAAACAACAAGATACTTATTAATAGTACTTGCTTATCTTTATGTTTGGAGATGTGTCAACAATTCGACTAGACCTTGGATTCCCCAGGCGAAGTGGGTTTTAGTTATCCAACCATGATTCACCGATTCCCCGAATTGTTGTCTAATAAATCGAGCCACCCTAGCTTCAATTCAATCAGAGCGTCTGGGCTATCAAGAGCAGGGTAGACAGTGGCTTTATCAGCCTCGTGCTGGGCGTGCCAATTGTGACACTATCAACCATTATCAAGACCGCCAACAGGCGCTCATGAGGTTCCAACCGTCGACTTGGCCGTTTATTGTCGCTTTAGACTGTTTACCGTTTGCGCCTCATCGCAATTAGCACATTTCAGTATTGTTAATTAGGAAAAACGATACAATTTTGACGAAATATGGAGCAGCCAGGTGTTGGACGCTATGATAAGCGGTGCTCCACCACCCGATTGACTCACCTTCCAGGGAGAAGCCTTTACGATTATAGCGATAATAATGGCCACCTGTGCATTCTGTTCCACTTTGTTTGTTTTGTCAACCACAGCCCGACGACACTCGCCACAACCCGAAGCTATTGCAGCTGATCAATTTGACGGCGGTGGCCATCAAGCGGCTTATCAAGATGGCCAAAAAGATTACAGCATTCCGTGACATGTGCCAGGAGGACCAGGTGGCCCTACTCAAAGGCGGCTGCACAGAAATGATGATAATGCGCTCTGTCATGATTTACGACGACGATCGCGACTCCTGGAAGGTAACTTAGGTGGGAAGTCTGGTTATTCGATTGCTTTAATATGATGTGATTAACAGGTACCCCACACCAAAGAAAACATGGGCAACATACGCACTGACCTGCTCAAGTTCGCCGAGGGCAATATCTACGAAGAACACCAGAAGTTCATCACTACGTTCGACGAAAAGTGGCGCATGGATGAGAACATTATCCTGATCATGTGCGCCATTGTGCTCTTTACCTCGGCTCGATCACGAGTGATACACAAAGACGTGATTAGATTGGAACAGGTGAGTGTTCTCTTTCGTTTCGTTTTACAAATGTATTACAATCCTTTCTAACTATAGAATTCCTACTATTATCTTCTGCGAAGATATCTGGAGAGTGTTTATTCTGGCTGTGAGGCGAAAAACGCGTTTATCAAGCTAATCCAAAAGATTTCAGATGTGGAGCGTCTGAACAAGTTCATAATTAATGTCTATTTGAATGTTAACCCATCCCAGGTGGAGCCCTTGCTGCGTGAAATATTTGATTTGAAAAATCACTAAACCAATTCGTGTCGGGCATTTAATGCCGATGTCGACGCCGATGCCCAATGATAAATGATCAGCGAGCTGTAGTTGTTGTTGTTGATGTCTGTTTTATCTGTCGCTTATAATGTTAGATTTTAATCGAATGTGATTGTTAGATTTGCATATACTGCATAGATTTTATATTTCTACATCAAAGAGAGCATATTTAGGATACCAAGTGCAAAGCAACACAATCTATATGTAATGAACACCATTTAACTAGTTTCAAATAAACTAAACACTGATGCAATAAATAAAGCCTTTAATTCAAATTTTTTTCGATGTAATCTTTAACTGCCAAGTTTTAATTTGTGTAGATTTTGTGAAGATTATGTCTTGAAGCAAACACAAATAAAAATAAATATTTTTCTCTATATCCAACTGCCTAATAAACCTTTAAATAGCTAAATAAAAAAAATGGTTCTCAGTCAAGATCTGAAAAGGCTTTCCTATATTGTTGATTTTTATATTTACCACACAGCAAAGAAAAGCAATTGAACAACAATCCAAAATGATTTAATTTTTTCGAAGGTCACAAAATGTACAGTTGAAGAAGTAAGAAAGGACAAATTAGATAAGTGGAAGCCAACGTGATGTGCTTCGAAAAAGCATCACCGCGGGGAAAAACCAGACCATCCGCGGCTGTTTACCCGTGTCCAGTCCTCAGGAACCCACGTCGTGTACGTATCCGCGGCCAGCGTATGTGTCCGAATCTGCCGACCACGACATACATAGTCATTTGTGTATAATGTAGGTAGTATAATAGTTCGGGCTCGCTCCGCACCGCATCTAACGGTGGGCAAGTCCATTTACATTGTTAGCCGGTCCACTTGCAATATAAGTCGACTTTCAGGTTGATTCGCGGCAATCCTTTGCCCACTGCAGGAATTCATCCAACGCGCTGACAGCCAAATTCCGAGACAATGCCTTGACTCGCAAATTGCGATCGGTGGTAATGAGCACTAGCTCCGTTTGAATAAAACACTTCCCATCTAAAGAAGGCATACTGTTAGCACTGAATTTGAAAAGAAAGTTGAAGCATTCTTACCTGTGCATTGTTCAGACTTGGCTGTTTTCGATACAGCCACTGCAGTCGCCAGAATTTTGTCGTCGTTGGAAAGATACTCTTCCTCAACTAAGGCAAATACCGAAGCGTTAACAAATGAGCCCTTTGTGGTAGCACACCTGAAAAGAAGTTTGTTAAGCATGGCATACGAATGGCTAGAAATCAACAATAGCTTACTTCACATTACTCTTGGCCGACTTAATGAACTCAAGCGACTTTTTGGCCCGCGATGACACCTCGTCAAAGTGGTGGATGCGCTGAGTCTGCTTGGAATTGCGGTACGAGTCCAGCTTAACGCCCTTAGAGAGGCCATCCAGTTCCTTTACAACCGTCAGCGGTATGATGAGGGTGTAGCGCTTGAACTCTGTTGACAGTTTCTCAAAGTCTTCCAGACAGTCGATGAAGCAGTTGGTATCGGGCAGGAGGTAGCGCGGGCGAACCTCAATATATATTTTAGTGTCTACAAACTTAAGGATCTCCTCCAGCTTGGTGGTGCATATCTGCTTAACCTTTGCCTTGGCCTCCAGCTCCTTCTTAAGCTTGCACAGTTGCGAAACATCTGCATCAGTGGAAGGACACAACAGTTCCTCAACTGCTTGACACTGAATCTTTGGTACATTAGTCACGAGGCCACAACTTTCAGCATCGAAGTTTTCCAGAGCATTCTTCATGGCTGCGTTGAGATCTTCAATAATGAAACTCGAGTCCAGTGGCTGTTGCAATGCATTTTGATGTTCGGCGTAGCAGTGCTGGAACTGGGAAATCCTACGCAAGCGTTCTAAAAACTGAATTCGTTCGGGTCCTCGCTTGAGGCAATCTTTGCCCAACGGTTCACGCCCCAAAGGATTAAAACCGCTCAGTGCAAAATCCTCATCCAAAACTACTTCTTTCTTTTCAAGCTTCTGCTTTCCTAGCACACACTCAATGTGCTCAAAGAGGGTTGATAGCTCCGCCCAGCAATCGACGAAAGAGTGTCTGTGGGGCAAAAGGATTAAGATTTAATTAATATTCCTATATTCCAATAATACAATTCAAACAATACATCCTTATTGCTAGAAACAGTACTTACTCCTCTGTTCTGACTGGTTCCCATATGTCCACATTAATGCTCAGCCAATGAACATAAACCTTAACATACTGCAGATATGTGTTGACACTTGTAAAGCTAAAATAAAAAGAAAATCAACAAACCAATCTTTAGGTCAGCATTGGTATTTCCTACTCTTCTTCTGGAAGACACTGGATATTTGTAGAGGCCTCCACAAAACCGGCCATTAACTGGTTTGTTTTCTTCAGCATGAGTCCAAAGAATGAGTTTGCAAAATTGAAGCTGTGATAACGCATCTCGCGACGTGACGCTGTAGAAAAAAACAAGCCATTAATTTTAGCCATGATTAGGCTTATCAATCATACTCTTCCGCTTGTTGTGTTCCACGACGAACAGGTTCAGTGCCACTATTTTCAGCAGTTTTGAGCGTGTCAACAGGTTGTCATGCTTGACCGCCGCTCCCATTTGAATTTGCAGTTTTCTCAACAGCGGGTATAACGAGTCCACACTGTGAATGATTTTAAAGTTTGGTGATATGAAAACCTGTATTTTCAGCTTTCACAGAATGAGTTCGACTTGAAGCCGAAAGTGAAAGACTTGACGATTTAATATACTCACTCTGTGCCTGTGTAAAGCTTCCCTATCAAGTACAGATAAAGGGACACAATGCGCGGGAGCAGCTCCTCCGACATCATCTCACCGTAGCGACTGACTTCGGCCAATGTAGCCTTGTTGCCCTTCGCCTTGTTCCCCTTGTCATCGGTGCGATGTAGTCGTCGAATTCCGTCTGGATAAATCCAGACCTCCTTGCGCATCTGCTTGGACTTCTGGTTTTTGGCCGATATGTAGTGCATTGGCGATTGCTTCATCTCGGTCTCTTCGTACTTGCGCCGAATCTCGTCGAACAGATCCAGTAGGCTTTCCTTGGCCGTCTGTATAGAGTTCGAAGTCAGCAAACTGCGTACATAGTAGTAAACGGCGTCGAACCGCTTGTGCTGCGGAAGATATAGGTAAATGAAAGGCAAAAGGAAAACCTTTCAATTATTCTTACGTGGTAAATGGAAATGACCGCCAGTTGGTTGTAAGGTGCTCCATTGCCGGGGACTAGTTCCTGAGCACGTTGATAGTATCTAGCCGCCTCCATGTAGTCCGTAGCCTTGACATGGTTCACCCGGTAACGCGACAGATCGCCCAGACAGATGAGAAGCCGCTGGGCCACCACCTTAAGAGCGCTCTCACAGCGCGACGAAGCCACGCATTTGGCCATCAGCTTATCGTAGGCCAGGCGGTAAAATTTAATCGCCTGTTCGATCAGCAGCAATATATGTGCGTGCGCTTGATCAGTTTGCTGACGCTTCAGGTAATCCCTCACATTGTAAAAGAGCAGTTTCCAAAAGAAGACATCAACCTTGTGCTCGCACACAAACTTTAGCTGCTCCAGAAGAAGCTGCTTAAAGGCGTCCTGCAGCTGGTCGTGAATGTAGCAAAAGTTCTTCCAGTTCTGGAAAGGTTATAACGATAAGGAAATCTCCTATGGGTGTATAATATATACTTACTATCAGTACGAGATTTCTTTGATGAAGAACCATTAACTGATCGTACAACTGTACTATGTTCTTGGCATGGGGTAGGTTTAAAAGCGGCTCAAACCAATCCGGATGCTCGGTGGTCAAGCGGGTGCGCGTTACTGGCGACTGCGGAGCGTGCTCCTTGTCCTTGCCGGGATGATTGCGACCCCTGCGACGGGCATTATGTCCAGATTTACCTTGGCCATTGGCGTTCCCGCCGGCCACTGAGGTGGCCACCCGTAGGATGCCCGGAATCCCGCATTCCCGCGGCAGTTTCCCGCTGGTAACCAAAACGGGATGGGGCTGCGGATTCTGATTCGGTTTTCCTGCAGCTGCATTGCTCAGGATGGTGACTGCAATGAGTGGTGAAATCGGGGAATACTACAGATGTGACGCATTAAGTTTGTATATATGTAGACTCACCTGGCCTTGGGTTCGTAGTCGCAGCAACTGGCTCCGCATTCTCAGCGTTTTCTGTCTCCGCCGTTGTTGTTGCTTTTGCTGCGTGGCTGCAGCTGGCCGCGATTTTATTCTGTAGACGTTTCGGAAGCGTCCCAATTATCAGCGATATGTCATTTTGATCTCGCGTTCCCTTTCGACTCATATTTGAAGCGATAGCGATGCTTTTGCTGTTGCATTTATACCTTTTTGTTGAAATTTTGTCAAATGTGTAGTGGGAACAGTGTTACCAGATGGTGAAATTAAAATCACCCAAACGCTTTCCATGAATTCGCACTAAAAAATCGCTTAATTTAAAGGCGCGCCTAGTTTCAAACATGTTAATAAAGTAAAACATTATAAAGTCTTTATGGGAATAGAAACAATGAGAAAATGCAGTGGGACAGAATAGAATGATATTATTATATGATGAAAAACCCCTAAACTAGGGGGAAAACCCCTTTTCGGGAAAGACGAATATCCAAGATTAAAGATGGGCGCGTGAGCAATGTTTCTTTACGCACCACTTGACTCACGCTTGTCGGGAAGTGTGACCAGGCGGCAGATTGTGCTATTTCGCCTGCAGTCAGTTGCTTCGACATCGAGTTTTAATTCTTTTCGCGTAACGAGCGATGGTAAAAACTTAGTTCAATGGTAAAAACTTAGTTCAAAATATATTTCAATATAGACGAGTATTCACGCAATAAGAAAATTTAATTATTGACAGATGATTCTACTTTATCGGCATACTCGATTGAAGCAAGGATCGTTCAAGTATGTTTTAAATTTAAATTTAAAGAAAGGCCTAAGAAAGGTTTTTATGAAATCAAAATTTAAGTTAAATAAAAATTAATGTTTTCGTGGATGCGAAGTTTTTTTGAATAAATATTTCAGTTTAAATATTGAGGACTCAACTAAATACTTACCACTTGAGCACAAAAAGACCCAGCAGTAAACATCCGAATACTATTAACCGTTAAATAATTTATAACCTGACTAAAAAATTAATTATAACTCCGTTATCGATTAGCATATAATCTCAATTGTTACTCCACTTTGAACAAACCCTTTTTACTTTTCGTGTTTGCTTAATCTAAAAATAGTAGCTTATTATTCAAATATGTCTTCGCATTCAGAGTATGAGTTCGCTTTATGATTATAACTTTTGTCGGGTTTAATTTGGTTACGTACATGACTTTTTTTATTATAGTGTTTCAGTCTTCCACTAACGTATAATTATTGGATAGCGCTGTGAAAGTAATAGTATTCGGCCCATATTGCTTTATGTTTAAGTATTATTTAGAAAATACTATTTTAAGCTTGTTGGAAAGAAAATTTTTGATCAATCTCTTACAAATAGCGGATTTATATTAAGAGATGTAGGTAGTTTAGTCAATGAGTAAATGATGGATTGGTTACTTTAATTATATTATACATACATAAGTCGTGTACACTTTAGATTCAAATAAGTTGTATAAATTGTTACAGTGCAACTACAAGGAATGGCTGAAGCAGACTCCTTGGTGTTTATAAATGTTGTATATATCGGCAAAATCGATCATTAATTTTTTATGAACTGTTCAATGTGAGCGTCAATAGATTTATATAAATATTGTAATAAATAATTACGTAAAAATGTTATCATATTTTAATCATTAATCCTAGTTCCCACATGTTCGTTTTATATGTTCTTCATGAATCGGGATTTTATCTTGTACACGCAATGGTTAAAAAATCTAAAAATTATAGTTAAACGTCTCTAAGCAATTCAACGGATTGTGGGGGTCCATTCAATATCATTTAAAAAAGAATTCTACCGCAGCTCAGTTAATTTATGAATATTCATTGCTTCGCATTTTATCCTTGTCGGTGTCCTGTAAAAGGAAAAAACGTAGTTAATAACCGAATGCATTGAAAGATCAATGAACTCACTCTTGCCAAATCCTTAGATGCGGACAAACCCACCTTAAAGCGCACGCCGATTTTTATTTGTTCAGTACTGAAATCACGATCACGGGTTTTTAACCTGGTCTTGTTAGCATTGTTCTGTTGATATTCGTTTTTTCGGTTATTGGATCCGTAGTGGGCTCCAAAGTCATTTTCTCTGTCAAAGTCCAAGCCGTCTCGGTCTTTAAACTGATAGTCGCCGCCTGATTTCTGAATGTCGAATCCCCGGCGATACTCGCTGTAGTTGCTGTGTGATGCGCCGCTTCCGGCACCGCCCCTGTGACCTGGATTACGGAAACCTGCTCCGCCTCCAGCGTTAAAGTGTTTTTGTGACATGCGTCCGTCACGATCCCTATCCTTGTCGTCCACCTGGCGGTTGAAACTGCGGGCAAGTGGGGCCTGCACTTGGTTGTTTCCATCGGGAACGTGCATTGGCGGACGCTTCGAGGAGACCTCTTCCTCCTGCTTTTTTTCGTAGTGGAAAAAGTCATCGAATATGGACGTTGAATGGTTGTATGAGTGCAATATCTGGAGCACTTCAATGCCCTTGTCGTTGGGCACTTCCTGGGTGTCCCTCGAGTTCGTCACCGACTTATTGTCATTGTTCTCTAGTCGAATGTGGCGCAGCTTTCCATTAGGCACATCTTTCACATAAATCCATTTCACCTTGAACTTGCCCCTCCACTTGTCCTGCGACCAGACGCTTGACGTTGAGTTGTAGTCCACCGCCGTCATCATTTGTGCCATGCCACAAAAGTGGCCGGATCCGTTTACCGAGAAGAACAGCATGATGTTGCCGCCCTCTTTGTGCCGTTCCTTGAAAGCATCGTCCAATCTCTTGTTGCCATGGTCGGTTGAGCACCAAATCTCATACTTTATACTGCGGTGGATATCATCTTCGGAATACGATTTGATGACAAAGAACCTGAGAAATTAAAAGGGTTAATTGGAACTGCATTTTTGTTCAATCGCATGTAGAATATTTACCTGGCTGCCGTGGCTTTGTTTAAGTCCACCACTTTCGGGTTATAATTGTTTTTGTCTTTTAACTCATCCAACAGAAGTTGGGGATCGACAGGCACCTCCTCGGTTGTAGATGTGGCTTCCACCGGTCGTGATTGGTTCTCGTCCCGGTACTCGAACTTAGAAGCGTTCTCAAACTCGCTGCTGCGGAAACTGTTATAGTTGCCCGAGCGCTCTGAGTTCCGGCTTGGATGTGGCACGCCATCGTGTCGCCTGGCGTTGGGTGGCCCAAAGGGACCTGGATTGGTTGCTGGACGAGGAGCTGCATGGATGACCGGCTGCTGGGCTCCCAGATTCCGGCGAACGGGACCCGTAGGCGAAACCTTGGCTCTGCTAAAATTATTATTGTTGCTGCCCAATCCCTTGTTCTCGTACTTCTGGAAGTTCTCCGTGTCCTTGTGCACCTTCTCGGTTCGACCGCCCAGTGGCGGTGCTGTGTTGCCCGATATGGAGAAGTCAGAACTTAAGTCAGAGTAGCCCAAGTCGATCGGCGAGGGAGGAGAAGGTACAGGAGGAGGTTTATTGTTCGGCAAGTCCCATACGTTAACGTCTAAATTGTGCTTTCCTGGAACCATTGGTGGTGGTGGCATGCCAGGACCCTTTTTCTTGTTATTGGAAGTGGTGGACGCTGCCTGTTTACGTAGCCGGGATATAAATGCATTCAGGTGGTGGGAAAGGTATGAGAGTACTCACTCTGGATGTTAGTTTGGCCGGCTGGGAGGCAATAGAGGCCCAGGTTGTCTTCTTGGGAGCGGCGACAACTTCTTGATTTTGTGCTTCATCGCTTGTTCTGTTGTCCAGCTTTGTAGACGGGTGGTCGTTCTCATTTCGAATCGACTTAAGAAAATAAAGAGGTAAAGATTTTTTTAAGTGCTAGCCCCAAACTTGTAAAAACAAACAAAAGTTGATTACAAACTGATAATACAAAAATGGGTTAAACAAATATTTTTTAAAAAATACTTTTAAAGTACCTGTGCTGCTGGTTTCCTGGAATTCCAAGGATTTACTTGGTGCTCGTCGCGTCTTGTGTTGTTGGGAATACTATGGCCATGTCTTTTATATGAATCTAAAAAGGGTAAGAAACTATGTTTCAGAATCATTTGTACAATAAATAAAAATATTCCAAAATTATTCGAGGAATCATGTCCTTATAAATATATATATAATATGCAATATATTATAATACGCAAACAAACTTGCGTAGATTGTGAGTTTATATGCATTTTGACAAATTTAAGTAGGCAAAGCAACTTGAAATTACATTTTGAATTTTATTTCACTTTCAGGCAGATTTTAAGAAAATATCAAAATTTCCGTTTTCGATGGAAGAATTGGAGGTAAAGAGCGAGGAGGAGAGGGAGACCATCCCAATTAAGATTGGCATAATTGGGGAAGCCAATCTGGACAGGCCCATCTATTTGGCAGAGCGCATGGAATATGCTGTCTGCACGCCCTTCGGAAAACCATCGGATGTGATCATAGATGGGCAGATAGAAGGCGTGAATGTGTCTCTCTTATCGCGAAATGGTCGAAACCACGACATCATGCCGAGCAACATTAACTACCGGGCTAATGTGTGGGCCATGCGTAAGATGGGGTGCACCCACATCCTAGTGACCAATACGTACAGCTCCCTGAGGGAGAACTTTCAACCAGGACATCTTGTTGTGCCCCACGATGTGATCGATAATACGACAAGGCGGGCCCAAACCTTCTACGACGGTGCTGTTGGGAGTCCTTTGGGCGTCTGTCACGTTCCCATGAATCCTGCCTTCTGCGAACGCACTAGGCAGCACCTCCTGAGTGCCGCTAAAGAGCTGGAGTTCCCCACCCGATACAGTGGTACGGTTCTCACCCTCGAAGGACCTCACTACTCCACGGTTGCCGAGAACAATATGTTCCGCAAGTGGGGCGCCGATCTGCTGAGCATGACCCTGTGTCCCGAGGCCACTTTGGCCAAGGAGGCCGGCATCCTCTACGCCTCCTTGGGCCTGGTCACCAACATGGAGTGCTGGTGCGCCCAGCAGCCGAACGCAACCACACACGAAATATTCTACATCTTCAAGAAGCAATCGGAAAACCTCCAAAAGGTCCTGACCACGGCCATTAAAACAATAGCCGCAGAGGATTGGGCTGAGGATATATTGAAGGCAAAGGTAATGTTGCTATTGAACGCTTAAAGATGATAATGAATCTAAAATAAAAACCCTACAGATTCTTGTTTGCAGTAACTTCGCAAATAACAAATAATAACATGAGCATTTTTTAAATATTTCGTTTCCAAATTAAAATGTAACTAAATTTGTAAGTACAAGCCGTTTCAGTTATTTTTAGATATTTATCAGATGAAAATTAAAACATCTTGGATATTTTTCACAAGTATATGCCTTAAAACTGTAGCATAGATTACACAATTAAATCTTCTTAAAAATTGTAAAGTATATTCTTTTAATAAATCAATTGCTTTCAAGAAAATAAAAATCTTTAAAAATGTGAGTCCAAAAATGGGAATGAAATCTGGTTTAATATGTTAACTTAAATAAAACTTTTGTATTGATCCGGGGATCTTTGGTGGTAAAATATTAACATGGGTGGCGGTTTAGTTAGATATATAAAACCTCAGCGAGTCCAATCGGAAGCTAATCGGACGACTTCCCGATGCACCGACTTTGCATATTCGCAGAGTCGAAAAACCAGTTAGTGAGAACGATTGCACACTGGGTGTAAGTACTGCATAAAAACAACTATACATACCATGGTTGGCGCTTGCTTTTCGGCCCTTGTTCATATTATTCCATGGAGTGTTGCAGTTCTCCTTAAAGTTGAACGGCGGATATTGGAATTGCATGGAGCTTTCATTGACTGGGGAGTGGGGAATGGATTGGAGATCTGGTGGGTTAAATTATACCAGAGGCCTACTTACCAGAGACTTCATCGTGAGTGGGAGAGGGTAGATTTTCATAAGAGGCCTCATCGACTTGCTGGCTCCATGGTATGTTGCGCTCCTCGACCGATTTAGCTGCATTTTGGAGCATTTTTGGGGTAAACAGAGAAAATGGCATTAAAACCGCACATTAAGCAGGAAATACGATCGAAAGAAGGTAGTTCCTGTTTGAGAAAACTGAGAGCTCTGTCTGTGGTGGTAGGTTGTTATATACCTGTGTTTCCTGGTATTTTCATCTGAAACAAAAACACGGCAGGTTAATAATATAACTCAAGTGTATGCATTATGTGTACATCATTTTGAGGTCGAAAATCTTCCTGCGGAACCCAAATAAATCGAATCGAACATATGTATGTACATATGTATGCAAAATACAATTACCTGATCCACGCCTGACATTTGCTGCACTTTTTGCCTGCAAATAGGAAATAACTTAATATTGCCGTTCGGTTTCGATGCACTTGGATCCACTATATTACCCCTTTTAAAATAAATGATATAAAAACACAAGGCAGGCTGAATTTGTTGCTTAAAAGTTTTAATAAACTCCGATATATTTTTTACTTAAAGAACCACATACACTGACACCACACGCACATTAACCAATACACTGATAGAATTCTTAACGCTTCCGAAGCCGTGTATTTTTACGAACGGCGTTGCGGACTCAAAATGCGATGTTAACAACACTAAAATAACGGCTGTTGGATTGAACGGTTGGTTTTGGGGAAAATATATCTAAATTAAAAAATCTGTTTTAATGTCTAGCTCTGTTTTAAACTTTTTAATTGCTAAATTTTAAACAAGCTAGCTGCGGTATTTTTCCAACACTGATTATCAAACATACCAGGGCTGATCGACTATCGATATCGATACTAGCTCCCAGCTAGGAAGAAGAAGACAAGTAGCCACCTCATCTTTGTCAGCCGTAGATTTTATTAGATTTAAATTGTTGAGATGGCGAGGGCGGCTTTTATCGTGTGCCTTTTGATGGCCAGTGCCTGGAGCAGCAACGCCGTGATGTTCAAGCTGAACCCGAACACCCAGAAGTGCCTCAAGGAGGACATCCAAGCCAACCAACTGGTAATGGGCGAGTACGAGGTGTCCGACGTGCCCGGCCAAATCATCGACTACATAGTGAGTACTCTACTTGATGTATATATTTCCCCACGGATTTAACCCGGGCTTTGTGTCCTACAGGCTCGCGACACTAAGGGACACATCCTGGTGCAGAAGGAGCACATCACCAAGGGCAAATTCAGCTTCATGTCGGAAGTGTACGACGCCTACGAGATCTGCTTCACATCCAAAGTTCCTGCACGTAAGTCATGGGCTTTATAATGTTCATTACACAGGCTGACCTGAGCTTCACAGAAAATATCTGTACAAAATTATAATTAAATAATGACATCTATCATACACATACGAAGTGGACTGGATTCTAAAAACTCCTCTGCCAAAGTTGCAACATTTAATATTTAACTTTAAATTTCAAATTATAATTATAACATATAAAATTTTCCTATGATTTATCAGATCAACGCGGCGTTGTTCAGGAAGTATCGCTCCAAACGAAGAAGGGCGTGGAAACCAAAAGCTACGAAGGCGTAAGTACACTTTAATAGCCCTTTATCTTTCATATTTTATAAACCGATATTTTTCAACTCAGATTGGCGAAGCCTCCAAGCTGAAGCCATTGGAAGTGGATCTTAAGCGATTGGAGGACCTTTCTGACTCCATTGTTCGCGATTTCGTTCTCATGCGCAAGCGGGAAGAGGAAATGCGCGATACCAATGGTATGGTTTATACCTTAGTAACCAATAAGCCCATCTGATCTTTATTCTTATCCTTTCTCAGAGAAAACCAACAGCCGCGTCCTGTTCTTCAGCATCTTCAGTATGTGCTGCCTGCTCGGCTTGGCGACGTGGCAAGTTCTGTACCTCCGCAGATACTTCAAAGCCAAAAAACTCATCGAATAATCAGTCGCCTAGCAGTAGTCTTAATGCGTGTGTGGAACTGTGTTTAAATGCCTGGTTTAGAGTTCATCTTTCATCTTTTAAACGTTTTTCTGAAATAAATGCAACTACCACGTATGTATATTTTATTACTGCGACTGCTTCCCACATGTCTTGGCGGTGTGACAAATAAATAGCTCGTATTGGACGCGTTTAACATAACAGGTACATAACACAAAACCACACGGTACAAGTTATTGGCTCAGCTGGCATTAGTTGATAGATCTGAAGTTCTTAGACGGTTGTTTCCTTCAGCAGCATTGCGCTCTCTGTATCGAGTCCATCTCCCTTGATATCCAATGCCCCGGCTTCATCGGGGTCTTCCTTGCGGGGACTTGTGGTTGCTTTCTTCATCAAGATATAGCGCGATTTGGCCACGGAGCTGCTGTTTGATGCACTCGTATCCTCCACAACGGACTGTTCCATCCAGAGGCTGTCGTCGTTCAGCGCTTGATTCACCAAGTTCGCCAAGCTCTCCGGCAACTTCGAAATGCCGGTGGGATCCGCAGGGCCTACAAAAATACAAACATAAGATTACACGATTTATAGACACTATAAACTAGACTGCAAGCCCGACTCTCGAACCACAATACTTTATTTGGTCGGCTTGCAGCATTGGTATTAGGCGTAAAAAACTGAAAAAGATACAAAAAAATACAAATAAAAAGAAAAAGAAAAGAAGACAAGTGAGGTAAAAAACGTAGTTTATTTTCTTAAAGAAGACGAACACAGAATAAACAATATACATTTTAAAAACATAGATTCAAAGAAATATTTTAATACGGCCTTAAGCTGCTACTGCAAAAAGGAACAAAGTACATTAGATTGATATTCAATAAATTCTTAAAATGCGCTCAAAATACAAATTAAAACTGCAATACTTCAGCCTACATATTTACAATGATTCCAGAAGCTGTAATGTATTTACACTAAGTTAATTCAAAGATATCTTATGCATCTCGCCGCTTAAAGCCTTTGGGACAAGTTAAATTAAGACTATATATATTGTTTTATGTTTTTACACTCCGAATTGTATAATTTTGGAGAAAGATTCATGTAAAATAGTGAGTTTCAATAATGCAGATTTAAGAGATTTCAATTACTTAAGATAGCTGTATAAATAACAAACGATTCGTGTGATTAAAAAAATATTGAAACTAAGACTTAAACATAGCCGGTAACTTTTTGGTAAATCCACGCTGTTAAAAGCATGCAGATCGAAAGGAATCATTGAGTCCTTTATACTATATATTAGGCGTGAAATAAGTATCAAATAATGCATAGCGTTTTAGCAAGCGGGTTCTAAATTGCCTGCTGTAAAATACTTTTCTTAACAACGAAATATAAATCAAAATAACAACAAACTGGAATAAGTGGTTAGTTGATAGTACAACACGTAGGAATAACACTGGAGCTGCGTTTTGAGCGAGTTAGAGCAGCGTTTGGGGGGCAAACAGCGTCAACTTGATCAACATCACCCACCGCCGCCGGCTCGTCAACTGTGTCGTCCACGTCTTTGATGGATAAGCGCTTAAGGTTCTCTAGCCGGGACTTTAGCTGACCAGGAGTTACGGCGCCCCTGGGAGGTTTTTCAGCCAAAGGATTTGCCGCCTCTGGACATATATTCGATTCACCAGCTTTGCTCTCTGATATTCTGTCCGGCTCTAGTCTACGTTCTAGGGGACTGCGCGAACTGCTCGAGGTGGAGGTGCACGAGCTAGTAACCTCCGGATACGGCGAGTGCGACTCAGTGCTCTCCGGCGTGTAGGGATCTTCGTATTGTCGCTCAGAATCCGTGCTCAAATGCTGAGTATCTATTCGATTTATTATTATATCCTGCGTTAGCATCAGGCGCTTGGACAGCAGTTTATATCGGTGAGCCACGGGCTGCCTCTTGATTATGTTCCGGCACATGGGGCAGATGGCTTCGCCAGTTAGGCCGCTATCGTCGAACTGCAGCAGACTATTACTAGAAAGGTGTGCGCACAAGCACATGCAGATGTTATCGGAATCAATTATGTTAATACTAATATTCGGAAAGTTTGAGGAAGGCGATTTGCTCGCCTCCTCGTCTTGACTAATTTTCAGAGAATTGTACATATTGCGAGCCTCCGTCTCATTAATCAACTTTGAATTGGTGGCTATATCCTCAAAGAGCTTATTGGAATAGGGACAATATTTCAGTTTGACTGCGGGCAGAGGTGATGTTGAGATATTGTTGGGTTTGGCGTAAGTATTCGTGTAGTTGCAATCACAAGATCTATAAGTACCTTTGTTTGGTTTAAGACGGACAGTTAAGTAAACAGGCTACATGACAAAAAAGAAGAGATAATAATTATTAGACCGATTGAAATACAAAATGCCATTAGAAATGGTATATACATATGAGAGTCCTATAGCTATCCGCTTTTCAAATTCGATACTATGAAATTATAAACTTTAAACTAACTAACTTCGATGCACCGAAGTCTTTAAATATCCTTGCAAATTGATCTGAAATTGTAAAGTAGTGATTTCACAAAAAGTACTTGATACTTTCCTAGTTGTGGGGTTGTGGTTTGCTAGTTTGAATATATTTTATATATTATATTTTATATATTTTACATAGAGGATATAGTTAGCGCACTACAAGTGAACTGAGCGACATCATGCCGAGAGAAAACATAGTTGGTTAGGGATTGAAGCAGAATTAGGAACAGCCTGTTCATGTAAGACATTCGGAAACAATATGAAGCCTCTAATAGCGAAGGGCAAGAATATTTATCAAAAGTGGTGCAAATTAAAGAACAATCGGAATTTGTAAGTAATTTTAGATTGCTCCTGTAGTTATAGAAAGGAAAACTAGTTTGAAGCTCTTAATGTAACATTACCTTGTGGTCGCCCATGCAGACAGCTTCACCGATCATTCCGTATGTCCAATCATCGCTACGAATAATCTCTTGGACTTGGGGACTCATCAGAATCCGATCACACCAAGCCGGACAGCGAGTGGACATATAGTCGGTGGGCATTTCTGGGTCTTCTTCGAACGGATAAGACGGAACGAACATAATGGGATATTCGACTAGGATGTCTTTAAGTGGCTCCAGCTCTCTGTCAAATTTCTTGAGCTAAACAAATGCATAAATTGGTGATTAAGTTTTATGTAATTTGAATATATACTTACCCAGTCTTCTTTAAATTTGAGTTGATGGTCGGCATGACTAAATTCTTTTTTTCCAACGGTAAGAACGTTGTTTCCAGTTGAGTTGCGATAATGAATCTTATCATTTTCATTTTTAACATTTTGAACGCGATGAGGAGTCAGGTTTTCAGTTAATTCCTATTAGAACATGTTAATATAATCTCTTTTTGATAATTCAGATGGTAAACTTACTTTCACAACTCCTTCGGTGTCACATCTAAAATTAAAATCCCCAAAGACGAAAAAGGGCACAGTGCCATTCTGCTCGTCCAAATGGAACCTGTTTTGGGTCTAATAAGTAAGGATTGATTTCAGATAACTAAAATGCAAATTACCTTTCAATAGTATGAACTAAGGCTCTTCTCCGTGTCTTGCAATAAACAGAAGGAAAATTCTCGCATGCAGCCAAATTGGATGCATCATGGAATAAGTGAATGTTGACTAGATCGATGACTGTGCCATTGATTTCCCATCGTGTTCGCATAAAACCTTTTCGGGACCATTTACACTAAAGTAATATATACAAAATCTATTAATATTCAATAATATCAGTTAATAACATGTTTTAAACTTACTTCCGGAAAGAAATGCTGTGGAAATTTAGACTTTTCCTTGGTGGCAATAGTTTCAATATTTCCGGAATAGATATGTTTATCTTTAGTATCTTGAAGACTTTCCTCCCAATTGTGGGTTAGGAAATTCCATATTTTTAAAGAAGCAACATCCTGATGGACAAAGTAAAGACTTCCAAGAGCCTGCAAAACGATGAATTGAAATAAAAAATATTATTTTATTGAAAAGAGCTTTGGCAGTACCATATTATGGTATACCTATATAACTTATCATAAACCACAAAACCATACTATCCTATTAATGTGGTTTCTTGAAATTATATGAAGATTAAATATAGAGATATGTATGTATATTGTGTTATACTTTTAAATATTTTTGGAATACGGAGAGCTACATAGCTTATCCAAGCTGTTTTTGATGCTCCGATGAACCTGGAAACATGATTCACTCACCGTGAAATGCTCGGCTGACTTGAAGTCTTCGTCCATGAAGATGTGTACGCAGGTGAAGTCGGCCAGTTCGGGGGAATCGCAGAGGCATTTGATGAACTCCTGGACGTACTCCATAGACTTTTCGTAGGTCTTTCCGCCCACTTCCTGGAGATGGAGGGCCAGGAATTTGGGCTGAACGATGGATATCTTTGCGAGGAATTCGTGGAGCCATAGCTGCAGAAGCCTCTCCGGCTGAAAGGTCGATTGGAAATTCGATTATTGGGGGCGGGTGTACGGACTATCAATTTGTTTGGGAACACGGATTCGCATATACATATCTATGTCAGTGGGTCCATACATAAATATGCGTATTTACGCATTGTGTATGTATGGACCGTATAAACATGTATACTCCCTAGCCCTATGGACATTTCTATGCAGCTCTACGTACGTCCTCGAACAAGCTGCCAACGTTCGCCGTGACCAGAAATATATCCGTGCTGGACCCGTCTTCCTGTGCTGAGTCCATTTTATCCTGCCTTCGCCTGCGATGCAACAATTTTATTCACTTTTATCAGCGTTCCAGTTGAAAATGTAAATACTAATTGAGTCAAGAAGCGCAGTGTGACCGTACAGCCTGGCATAAACTAGGCCATATCGAAAAGCTGCTGCGGAGTGACCGTTTTTTTTGAGGGCTTGTCTATGTTTCAAATTTGAATCCACTTCATATAAAAAAACTATCTTTTATATTTGTAATAACAAATTAAAAAACAAATTTTAGCACTTCAATTTAAAATATAATTTACCATTTAGTTATGTTTAAGGTTTTGAAATTCAAAAGAACCTCCCAGTAAAGTGTCAACAATTCAGATTAGGGCACTTCCGCTTCTGATTGGGACTACAAATAATCTTGTTCAAATATTAATAAACGAAAAATTTAAGTACTAACTAAAACTATTTTTTTGGTCCATCGATATCATTGAGATACGTTTAAAAACCCCTTTAAGAGTATACTTGAAGATCCCTTTCAATAAATCAGCCGAAGTCAAATATTTGAGTTAAACTTTTTAATCTGCTTATGCTCCAGTTATATGATCATATGAATTGTTTATTGTGATTGTAGTCCCGAATCCATTCAAATAACATTATTTAAAATTTAGTTAGTTACTTTCCAGTGTAGCTTATAATTTAGTTAGCAGTTTTTCAGTGTACCTACAATTAAATATGAATAAATGCATTCCGGAATTAAAAATTCAAGCTATGTGGTGCCCCATTAACCAAGTTGAAGATCCGTCGTCTTCATTATGAGCATATCCGCCGGGGTAAAACTATTAATTACTACGGTACATACTCACTATATTATATTGCCAACATATTTGCTTTTAATTTAATAGATTCATTGGGATAAACTCCAAAGGCTCGCAATGTATTACATTACATTAAAATATTATCAATTTATGTCACTTATGCAAATCGCTTGTTCCCACAAAACAAGTTTAGGAATTTGTCAAAAAAGTGGTCAAAAACGCAAACCTGCAGATATTGGCGGTTGCTATTTTGAGGCTTTTTGAAAGTTAGGTAGTGAAAGTTGTATTGAACTTTTTGCCTCTGTTTCGAAATCTCCAACACAATCCAAGCGATTGCACGTAGCATGAATACTGAACAGCACGTGAGACGGTAGCCACATTTCTTGCAAGAATACACAAGTGATACGTATATATACATATGCCCTATAGGGGCCAAAACCTTTCGGGGGAAACGCAACGGCAGTTATAAATACTTGCACATACTTTGGCCAGATATTTTCTTTACAACAAGGCATTCGGTTCGAAATTTATAAAGAGGAGAACGGCAAGAAAATCGTTTATTGTATTTTTAGGAACCGTTTAACTCATATCTTACCGCGATCGAAAAAAAATGCGTAATAAATACCTTGCCGTTCTTATATGCGCTTCCTGCATTTGTGTTTGCACCGCGGTTCCGGACAGCTATAATGGCGATATCCAGAACTCGAATTCACTGGATTTCGGTGCGTGAATTTACAAAAGGATATACCGAAAATAAGACAACTTAAAAAGGACGATCATGAAATGAAACAACTAATACCATTTGAAACATATTTTCCAAAGTGAACTTAAAAATAAACGTTCTGATATTTAAGGATAATCATAAATCTAAGTAAACCCACAACCTGTGAAAAAAAACTAATTCTGAAATATGCTCCTGTAATTTTATTGATGAGTGATAGACAAAAGCCAGGAGGGATTTATCAAAAAGTTTAACAAACCCGCTATGTAAAGTCGATTTAATGTGTAAACCTTTTAAGTGAAACTAACAGAATATCCTTTTCAGCCAGGAGTTTTAATTCATTTATTTTATATTTATTAGGCAACGATAGCGGGGGCTATCAGTATAGCTCCCCACCCAACAACAACTACCTACCTCCAGCAACCCCCGCACCAGAGTACCTGCCTCCCCCGAATAACGGATATCAATACAATCCGCCTCCAAACAACAACTACCTACCGCCTCCGAACAACAACTATCTACCACCTGTACCTGAATATGGACCGCCTCCTGGTTATCCTGTGTATGGCCCACCTCCTCCATTCTATAAGCCAGCTCCTCCTATGCCCTACCATTCGCACGAATCTTTTCTGGAGAAACTGAAGTCCAAGATCAACCTATATACGCTTGGAAAGATATTGTTAAAGCTCTTGATATTCAAGAAAATTGTCAAGTTTATCGGCTTGATTTTCCTGCTTTTGGTTTTGCCAAAGCTTAAAAATATTTTTAAGGAGGATATGATGTCGGGATCTGGTGAAAGCGATGGAATGGAAAGTAAATTTGTAGAAACAGACAAAGGTGAGGTATTTCAGAGGACTGTTTAAGCTGAAAATAATATATGCTTTTCTTGCTTTTCAGATAAATTAGCTCAACAAATTGAAGATCTTTACGATTTTGTAATAAGTTCTATTGAAAATTTTGAAGGAGGAAGGTAAAAGACGGATACCAAAAGTAGTTAAAAATGTATTATTACGAATTGTATTACATGCACATTTGATTATTTATTTGTTAAAATTGTTCTTTTAAATAAAATGTATCTATAAAATACGCTTCTTAGCAGAAAAGTTATTTAATACCAGCACTTCTAAGCTTGTGGATTAATTCTTTAAAATTCTGTGTTTTAAACTTGGTTTTTATTTTGGGGTCGATTTTTCGTAATTTTTATGACCGTTCCAAATTTCCGAAAAATGGCTTTGCAGAAAAAAGACCTAAAACCTGCAGTTCTCAGCCCATAACTTTTCTTACAGACATCCGATTTCAAAGTGGGATACTTCTAAATGATTGTGGTTAATCCTCTAAAAATCTGTGTTTTCAACTTGGTTTGCACTTTTTGGTCGATTTTTCGTCATTTTTATAGTGTTACCCCTTTCCAAATTTTCGAAAAATGGCTTTGCAGAAAAGTGACCTAAAACCTGCACTTCCCATCCCATAACATTTCTTACAGACATCCGATTTCAAAGTGGCATACCTCAAAATGATTGTGATTTAATTCTCTAAAAATCTGCGTTTTCAGTTTGTTTTGTATTTTGGAGTCGATTTTCCTTCATTTTAATGATGTTACCCCTTTCCAAATTTACGAAAAATGGCTCTGCAGAAAAATGACCTAAAACCTGCAGTTCTAAGCCCATAACTTTTCTTACAGACATCCGATTTCAAAGTGGGATACTTCTAAATGATTGTGGTTGAATTCTCTAAAAAACTGCATACTCAGTTTGGTTTGTATTTTTGGGTCGATTTTTCATCATTTTTATAATGTTACCCCTTTCCAAATTTTCGAAAAATGGCTTTGCAAAAAAATTACCCAAAACCTGCAGTTCTCAGCCCATAACTTTTCGTACAGACATCCGATTTCAAAGTGGCATATCTCTAAATGATTGTGGTTTACTCCTCTAAAAAACTGCGTTCTCAACTTGGTTTGTATTTTTTGGTCGATTTTTCGTCATTTTTACAGTGTTACCCCTTTCCAAATTTTCGAAAAATGGCTTTGCAGAAAAATGACCCAAAACCTGCACTTCTCAGCCCATAACTTTTCTTACAGACATCCGATTTCAAAGTGGCATACCTCTAAATGATTGTGGTTTAATCCTCTAAAAAACTGTGTTCTCAACTTGGTTTGTATTTTGGGGTTGATTTTTCAACATTTTTATAGTGTTACCTCTTTCCAAATTTTCGAAAAATGGCTTTTGCAGAAAAGTGACCTAAAACTTGCACTTCTCAGCCCATAACTTTTCTTAAAGACATCTTAAAAAATTTAAAAAAATGTATTTACAAAAATTTGGGTTTCTTTTTTACTAAATTGGCAGCAGAAGCTAACGAGTTGTACAGAAAAGTAATTTTTTTTTCACGTTTTGTGTACCTCCGAACTCACCTAGGTACAAAAGCGTCTCATCACTGTGTGCGATACATTTTGAGAAATATCGATAGCCGGGCTCACTTACTTTCCACACTAAAAGTTTCAATCAAATCTGCTTACTGCCACTGATCGATGATCATCTCCGCTCCTCCACAGCAAGATAATGCTGCAGTTTATATTCGTTGTAATTATAGGTCTAAGTCTGGGAAATGCTGCAGCCCAGGATTTGCGACGTGTGGACGACACTGAGTTAATTCAGCTTCTCACCGGCAACAGTAATGTGGTCGTCCTATTCAGTAAGTATATATATGTGCATATATGGAAATCCAGCTTACGTGGACTATTAAACAAACTATTATTAAATAGACAAAAACAATTGCCAGCGCTGTTTGGAGTACGAGAATGTGGTCACTAAGATACACCCACAACTGGAGGAGACTCTGTCTGCCGTTGTGGTGCAGTCGGTGGACGGTAACCTGGTTTCCATCTACGACCCGAGCAAGGAACCGGCTCTGGTATTTTTCAGGCGAGGAATACCCATCCTCTACCACGGCGAAGTCAACGATGACGAAATCCTAGACTTCTTCAATGACAATTTGGAGCCAGCGGTCAAAGAGCTTTCCGACGACAACTTCGAGCACCTGACTCAGGCCTCATCGGGGGCCACGACCGGGGACTGGTTTGTCTTCTTGTAAGCTAAGCAATATTAGTCATGCGTTGAGGTCGGCTCAGTCGTTTAAAACATGTATTCCTACACCCACTTCTAGCTATTCCGCCGAGTGTACCGTCTGTCAGCGTCTTTATGCCGTCTGGGAATCTGTGGGTGGAAAGCTGAAGCGAAAGTTGAATATTGCCCGAATGAACAGCTTGGAGTCGGGATCTTCAACCGCTAAGAGGCTGGGAGCTTTGGAATCGCCGGCTTTTATTTTGTACGTTCCTATAGATTTATTTATATCAAAGCATATATTAAAGTTAGCAATTTTAGCTTGCGGCAGGGAAAGATGTACCGGTACTTGGCCAAGCAATACAGTCCCGAGGCCTTTGTCCAGTTTGCTGAGAAGGGATACTTAACCCAGAGCCATCCACAGCCAGTGCCAGAAATACCCAGTGCCGTGTAAGTATCCTTTAGGCTTAGCTATCCTTTGAAAATCTGTTTCGATCAAATATTAAACTCAAAGTCGATTATTATGACCTTTTTATAGGGATTTGTGAGAAACTGATACATGTCTTAGTAAGTGAGCCAAGATAAACCTTTTTAAACCCATTAATGAGTTCAAACTAATTGTTTAAATAAATATTACTATTTAATTTAACAAATAATGAATTTAGTCCCAGGTGCAAGGTGGCATATAACGTCAGTTAGAGACTTGATTTTACTATTGAGCATTAAAATGCTTAATATTACTGCATTGATTAATATCAAAACAAATATTAATTGTAACCGTTGTATAATATCCATAATCGTTATTTTGTACATAAGCCTTTTTATAATAATCAATATTACCCTGGTTTATAGAGTTCCTGGTTTGAGAAGATCGAATTTAATACAACTAGAAATATGTTCATAATTATTAATATTAAAATAATTGATTATACATTTTTCGTGTTTTTCAGAAACGATTTATTGGGCCCACTCCAAAGTTATTTCAAACTTGAAAATACAACATCGTTGGCGACTTTAGGAATTTTCGCATTGGTTGCAGTTTTTTATCTCACAAAAAAGCTAGCTAAAATATTTAGCTCAGACCCAGTGAAAACGAAAAATAAATCTAAATAAAATTAATATTATTACTAAACACATGTAAATGGTGTTTTAAATCAAAAAATGGAATGAGAATGTTTTCTATAATCATCATCAAGGCAGAGAAAAATCACAAATACCCCTTAACTCATAAACAAAATAAACAACTTCTAAATTTAAATAATTGCAAACGAAAGGTGAGCGGGAAATATCAAAAACTGCAATTCCTAACGCCACACAAACTGCCAGCTCTGCCGTGGAATAGTGGAATCGAAACATGCAGATACTTAATATCGCAAAAGATCCATTGTTCATTTGTATCGCAAACAGTACCTACACAATCTTTTAATTGCTTTCAATTAATTAGCGTGCCAACAAACAAAAATATTTAGAGCGGGACTGGTGCCACCCAGTTACCATCTGAGTTCACAGGCTAACTCATCAGCTGGCAATCTAGCCAATTACTTAAGTGCGATGATAGTTTGGCGTGGAACACTTAGATTGAAGAATCCTCTCGTTTCCTAAAACGTAATTTTCGCGATCGTTCCCCCTGGTTTTTGGAAATTTCTGCAGTCGTTAGCGGTTTCCCGGGAATTATTTTATCTTGGGTAAATCACTCAAAACCCGCTATTTATATTCACTTCATACATACTAAAAGTCAGTTGACGTCAGAAGGTCTTGAAAAAAGAGCGAGGAGTGCACATACGACTGGCATACGAATGTATATACCTCTATATATTTATATGTCGAATATGGTGTAGGGAGAATACAGAGAGCGGGAGAGAGATCAAGAGAGCACATTCACATTCGACTTTCGTTGATATTTTGGCTGTATTGTGTTTTATTTTGCTGTAGTCAAGCGCACATGAGTCAGATTAATATTTTGCTTTTGTTCAGTTCATTTCGATTCAGATACTCAAACCGAACTGAAGTCAAAATCACTAATGTGCGTACTTACGTGTAAAGCAGTTGAAAAAAATGTGCAAACATACTACCATATGTATGTGGTGAAGAGTGCCAGCATTAATCGCTATTTTCCCCTGCACGACGACTAGAAAATACTCGACTAGTAGTGAAAAACCAAAAGCAAAATTGATATTGTGTAAGTTGTATCTAGCATTGAAAAGATGAAAAGTGTCATTCCTATAAATACACCTCCTCGGGAAGGAAAGTCGCAATAATAAAGGCACAATAAAGGAACCGAACCCCCACTTTGGACGAGCTAAAAAGTATAGTGCGCAGCCCATCATGACTAACTCACCACCCAAAAGGCCAGCCCATGTACAGAAAATCGATATTCTAGTCGCGCTGTAACGTTGGGTAGCGCCTACCTGAGTAAAACAGACAGGCGAGACATTAGTAGTATACCGAAACCTCTTCCGCAAATGGTCGACATATCTGCTATAGCTATACATATCATATAGCCCCGAAAACTACATATACCATCTGTGATACGCGTGTACCTAAACCTAAACAGTTTCCGAAATGAACTAACTTTGCTCCGATCGAGGGTATCTCTGGGAAACTAACCATGCGTCTTGTCCGCAGTAAATGTTGTCAACGTGATGTATCTGTATCCGACTATCTGAGCACCCCGCGTCCATCGTCTGAAGTCCACACCAAAAATATATTTACGCGCTACTGGGACGACCACATAAAAATGAAGGAGTCTAGCGAATCCAGGGGCAAGTCCTCCTCATCATCATCATCATCACCACCTGCCAAACAAACCCAGAGCGTTACGTTCGTTAGGAGTACGGGGACCAGTAATGCACCAGCTGTTTGCGACGGGAATGGAAACGGAATTGGAAATTCGACCCAAACCGAATGGACATTTCCCCCAAAAGCGCCCACTCCGCATATCTACAATTGCCTGAGTCCCGTAAGTCCACACAGAAAAAATATATATACGATTATATGGTAAATTTAAGCAAGACCTGAACCCATGTAGAATTCGTCTAGATTTAACTGATACTTTAAAAAACATTTGAGTATGAAATCCATATAAGCTGATAAAATTATTGAACATTTGTTTTTTTTCTGCTTCGCAAACATTATTCTTTTACAATAGACACCCACAACTTGCGAATGGCACATGTTTCCCCGTCGGTGCAGATTACCATGACGTAACGATTATTAGATACCCCACGGGTGACCATTTATATAGTATATATAGTTCCTAGTCTTTGTGTGCTCGTGTGTTGGCGGAAGATAAAGAGGAAACAAATTATTTGCACTTCAGCAATTGCCGCCTAAATCATTAGTATGTATGGAAGTATGAACAGACATACGGACAATTGGCAGTGTATTTTAGGCATTCAACGGAGCGCATTAATCAATGATTAATGATAGATCTATTTTAGGAAATAATTTTAGCGATAAGATTAAGATCGCACATACATATGTACATACATACACGGGTCAACAGCAGGAGTTTAAAAATCTTGAAGTGTAAAGATCAAAAAACTTAAAGGAAGGGCTAAATCAGTTTGGTATGCCATTTCCTGCTTTCACTTGCACCTTTGTTGTATAGCAGTAATATTAATAAATCAGAAAAGGCTTTCAAAGTAATATATACCTAATTTATGAAACCTGGGTTATAATTACTCTACAAAAATAACTTCACAACACATTCTAAAAATTCAAATTTACGGAAAAGCCGAGACGTAGCTGCTGTCTTAGCCACAATGAGCAAAGCAAAGAAACCCAAAGTATGATTAATATAAACCATATATCTTAGCTTGTGCAATTAACAAGAACTGAATATAATTAAATGATGATTATTTTATTTCACTAGTTATTATTATACATATTACTAAAACATTTTAAAAATTTTCCTTCTTTTAGGACATGATGGCCTCAAGTGATAAAAGCAGCTTTAAAGGATTTCGCAAGCAATTTAGTGGAAGATTTAAGCGCTTAGTTACTCGAAAAGTGGAACACACTCCAGTGATACCTCCAGAATTGAAGCCGCAACTAAAAACAATATACGTTTACTAACTTAAGATGTAACGACAATTGCAAGCACAAGTGTTTTCCCCATTATATAGGAACACCCACCACTGTGTGCTTATATATGGCAGGAAACATTAGTGATAGGAAAAGCAAGATAAACTAAGTTATCATAATACCATTCTGATTGACAATTTTAAGTATTCAGCGATTCGTGCGTATTGTTAGGCTCAATAAAAAGAACATTTCATAAGACAGACAAGGTTTTAATGAATTTGGCACGGGACTTATGGGGCTCTAAAAACATATCATAATTCAATTCTATGTAATTGCTTTTATCTAAGCATGTTCAAATAAGAATTCCCTATGTTACCATGTCCCTCAATTGTGATTAAAGTTGTATTTTAATAAATTACCCGTACAAATAATTTAAATATGGAGTGCCTTTAGGTATGTAAAACCTCCAGTGGAATGGACAAAATGAATGCTCACCTTTTTCTAGACTTGCAGTCCACCTGAAAAATTGTATTTTGGTTGGTGTTTGCAAAACCAAAATATATTGGGAAGCACACGTCTCTTACAATCGTCGGATGAATGTGCTCAGCTGTCGAAAGAAGCACATCTTTGTTGCAACTCCGAGCAATCGGTTAATTGAAGAAGTAGTATAAAATATAAATGTACGATGCAGACTTTCTGCTATCATGCCAAAAGAATGTAGCCACTAAAAAAGTGGCACGATAAGATTAAGGTAAACAAAGTGGATATGCCACGTTGAGCGATTGCGCGGAATGTGTATTTTGGACAACATTTTTGGCCACTGCCTTGGATCGATTTTGCGACTTTTCAGGGACTGCAAAAATACCTATTCTTATTTTTGGTTCTTAACAAATAATAATTAATAAATAAAATAAATAAATGTTTTGCATGCGAAAGTGTATTTTGGACATCGTTTCAGCTACTTAATATGACCTATCTAAAAGTGAGTTGTAGAGCTTCTTGGTAATACAAGAACCGAGTGATAGAAGCTCTATGAGGAGAGTTCCGCAGAAAACTAGCTTATACTTATTTATCGCCGTGTTATTTTATGGCTTAGGTATTCCAAATTACATGGTATTTAAATAAAATGCTTATTTTATTCCAATCTAAACGTACATACACACAGTCGCGTCTATATATACATACATACTCGTATATATAATTCCACCGACCAGAATCGAGGCTAACAGTCATTAATCTACGTGAGTTCTTGGGTGGTGCTGCCTGTGCTTCCTGTGCTGCTGCCAGTCTCTTTTGGGTCTCTATTGCTGGGCCCAGCACCACTTTCATCATGGCTTTCGCTGTTTGGGTTTGGTTTGGGCACTACAGTCTCTGTTGACATGGGGGATTCCTCCTGGTTCTGCTGGGCAGTAGTTTCGCTTTCGGTTTGGGCATTCCCAGTTGACTCGTTAGGGGCAGCCCCTTGATCCTCCTCATCCGAACACTCCACGCTGGAAATTGAGGGATTTCTCTCCTGCAAAATTATTAAGGGATGGACCAGTAAGGATGGTACATATTCCTCTTATTAAGACCATTTAGACTCACCATTTCTCTGCGAGATTTGTGCTTAAAGTATTTAATCTTTCGCTCCTCCCGCATTCGTGTCAGTCGCATTAGCAGCGAATAATGTTGCTCCACGCGATGTAAACATGTTTTGCAAATGGTTTTTGGCAATGGATCAGTCGGAGATATCTGGTACAATGAATAAATACATGACAAATCAATAAATATACCTCTTTATTCGTTCATAGATAAAACTATCGGGGGACTCCATTGCAATGGCTGCTTTTGGAAACACGCAAGCATAGACAACCCTATTCTTATAACGCCTGCATTTCCCTATCATCTTACACTCAGTAATTCTCACGGTTATTGGTAGGTAATACTCACTGTTATTGGTAGGTAACCATTGATTTTCTCAACAAGACACAAACGCTGGCCATGATCACTATAAATATGAATTACTGTTCGGTGCATCTCGGAACAGAGTCGGCATAGAAACCCAGATATACACGCCTTTTCGATGCTCCCCATCTCGACCGATTCTTATAGATCGTTATATCCTTAGCTGTTAATGCAATGTCAGTTAATTCGAAAAACAACTTTCCCAAAATATTGTATTAATACTTTCAAGATATGCGTTGTGTACATATGTTTCTAGCCAAGGGTTGTATTTCCGATTATTGCAGCAGGTTGCCAACTTGATTTTGGATTTTCCATAGACAACTCGATAGTTCACAACAATAAAATAACTGCACTTTTCCTTCCATTTAAAAAGACCACGAATGCACTTTCTTTCATTTAAGGGAAATCATACGAGTTTAAATACAATCAACCCTGTGAAATAAGAACGGGAAAATATAATTTGCAAATTAATTCAATAATTTTTGTAACTTCACTTCGTCAAAAGCGTATAATTTAAAATTGGTTCTTGAACAAATAAACTTTATTTAATATTAATAAGAACTCTTATTACATACACGATTATTTTCGTTAAAATGTACGAGATATTTTTTAATAAGAGAAACCAAGTAAAATGGGAAATTATTGCAAAAGTTGTAAACTGAAACATGAGTAATGGTGTTGAAACGAAAATACATTTGTTTTGGGTAGGTTTTTAATCTTGAATTTATTACCTTAGCCCTATTAAAAACTAAGTATAGTATATTTTTTATTCAATCAACTTATAAACTAATGTATCCAGGAAAGTTTTATAATAAAGGCAATCTAAAATTACTTATCAAGATAAAAACCCTTGAAGTGTCTCGAACGATAAAGAGGCGCTATTCAAAGACTGAATATTCTGCACAGCAAAGCCTTTGAAATTTGTGCATTGATGAAAACCAGGATCCATCATAAGAAGCGATTGGGTTTTCTGGTTCGACAAGCCAAAGAAAACCTCTCCTTGGACATCAAAAAGTATTTTTATTTTTACACTGGGAGATTTCTGAATGGAGTTCAAAAGTTCCAAGTGACAGGTGTTGGCACTTTCTCCGAAGAATACTCCATCCAAATCATTATCGGGTATTATTTGAAATTGGGGAATCCCAGCGTTATTCAAAATTTTACAAGTGAATACACACTTTTTACGTGGGTCTTTGGGATGAGCGTAAATTCGAGTGGCCACGTATCCCACTGGATATATCCAATTCTCAGTGTGGAAATTTGGATTAACTGATATAATCTCACCCAGAGAGTGCAGTAATACATTATTCAGATTCATCGGAAACATGGGCTTCTTTTTTCTTATAATGGTTACGTTTTTCGGTTTATCTTCGCTTTGTTTTTTTGGCAAAACAACCGGTTTGTTTCTCTTTATGCCTCCAAAAGCTGATTCTGCGGACTCGACTTTTCCGTTGGAAATACTGGCACGTCCATTATTAGATTTTTCCAGGCCCTCGTGGAACATTAGCCGTTCTATTAGATATAGCCGTTGGGATCGGGTGACAGATAACTCGGCTTGAAGGCGGCAAATCTCATCGGTGAGAGAAGCGTTCTCCTAAAACGGGGTTCCATTTGTTAATAAAACGTATAATATAACATAAAACAAAGAAAATATATGTGTTTATGTGTGTTAGGATCTTTAGTTTTCCACCAAACACCAAACGTTCCCAAATACACACATGTTTCAAAAATTTCGGCATCTTACCAGCAGATAACTCTTGACGGATTGTTTTAAGCTCTCGTACCGCCGCTTGTATTTTAAATTCATGATATTTTAATTTATAAAATTAGCAAAAACCAAAGATACGATGCAGATTGTTGTTATTGTCGTGGGTTTGTTTTGGTTATCGGAATGAAGGGTTGCAATTTTTAAAATATCGAAATTGCGGTATTCAATAGTTTTTATAACAGGTATTTTAAATACCGAAATTATAAACAAAACAATTCTAATCTTATCTTATTTTAATAGCTATAAATAGAACTGTAAAGTTGGCAATAGAATTAAGTCGTATACTTAATAGAGTGTTTTATTAAAAAATGAGTTTGATTAATTAATGGATATTCCCTAATCCTATTTAACAAACACATTTAACCACATTTTAACCTTGAAAAGGACTTAGTAATGTTGAAGAAGACTTATTTCTGGCGGTCGGAAGCTAGGATTTTCGAGAAAATAAGGTAAGTTATTAATTTAACTATCTAGTTATCAAAAGGTTTTCACTATCTCATGGATAATATGTTTAGTCTTAAGTTGGGTAGTTGACCATGGAAGACACCTCGGTCTGCAAAAGTGGTTACAACACTTACACCTAGCCCTACGTCATATGTGTATATATGTAGGTGTGTGTGGTAATACTATCATTGAATGGTTACCACTTAGTTCTTAATGAATTTAAAGTTTAAAAGATTTAAAAGTTATAAACGATATATTCAGAAAAAACACAGCGATCACCATGGTAACAATAGCTTGTCTGTATGTTTCTACTTTTTCCCATTCCTTACTTTCGCCCAAAACATTGGGTCTACAAACATTCATACCTAATTATAATGTGTGTTAGTGTACGGAAGAGCGTATGAAATACTACTGAGAAAAATCTACGTAGGAGAGCAGCTTTAAAAAGCTATGGGAATGAATCACATCGTTTGTTCGGTGCAAATAAGCCGTTAGTATGTTTTTTCACTCCGGTGACACTTGTTGGATTCTGTGCTCCCTTAAAATATACACTTCACAATGGACGAGGAACAAATGTGGAAGGGGTTCTTCTTCAAACTGCAGGAACTCAAGATGAATCCACCCACAGAGCATGAACACCAGTAAGTTTTCCAATTTATGAAACCATAAATTCATACTCACGCACACCTGCAAAAATTACTTAAAATTCGCAGATGTACATGTATCGCAGGCATGTGTGTTTCCTTAGACAAATATGAACATTTTAGAGAACTGGAACTGTGTCATCAGATAAATTTAAGATTATCAAGTGGAATAATCATGTGTGCGTGAGACATCAAAAGTGATATAAGGGAACTCAAGCCACAGATCGATTTTACAATCCACACTAGCTAATGTAAACATGAGTCAATTCCAGGGAATTTTTCCCCCTCCTTAAATATATTCATTAAAAAAATGAGCATTTATTTTCTATTACTCGCATAACTCATATTTATCAATAAATTTAAACCATATTATTCACAAGCTACATGACTTATCTTATCGTTAAGAAAAAAGCCCCTCTGACTAGCCCGTTTATAATGAATTTTAGAAAGTATTTGATAAATAATTTCCTTTTTCCTTTCAGATTACAGGATGGAGATGATGGATTCTTCGAAAAATTTGGATCCCTCTTACGGCAAAAGTCACAAATCGATGAGGGCGTCCTGAAAAGTTCCCTGGCTCCGTTCGAGGAAAATGGCAGTGTCGATGGAGAAGAAGTCGACGAAAGTCCTGATGGCACGCTACAAGATAGCCAGGATGCGGAGTGCATCAGTATCAATACCTTTGCAACAGATAGTGAACTGGCATCGTCTTCTGAACAGGATATTAGCGCTTCAGTTTTGGACTCAGCGCCTGTAATGAATGTAAGTTTGTATTTACGATCGGTAAGGTCAGTTTGGATCGTTATTATAACCTATTAGCTATCTTAATTATGTATTCAAACAAGTTCATCCACATGTGCTCTAGATAATGTCTAGATAACGTCTAGAGCTGACTTAAATTCTTTTTTACCTATAACGAGCTGATCAGATAGCCTCTCGAAGACGAAAGAAAAAAGAAGGTTGTTATCAACTTCAAATTCATGTTCGATTTTAATAATAATAGCTGAAGTTTGAAGGATTACATTTTGTTTGTTTGTATTAGTTCCACCGATAAAATAGCCTATGCACAAGAGTTGAAACTTTTGTAATACCATGGAGTAACCATCACAAATTGGGGAACCCACCATTGGCTGTATTGGTGAATATGGGGGCCTTTTAAGCCTGGTCACATTCAGTCCATAATTTCCGGACCTGAAGTACTGCAGAAATTTCGTCATAGGTCAGTTTTCCAGTTTGTAGCGAAGCTTAACGATCTCAGCGATTTAATGCCTGTGCAATGTTTTATCTTATACCAACATTTTGCTGCTTGCATGTTTGTCGTCTGGGAAGGTGTAGTTTAATTGAACAGAAAAAAATTAAGTCGTGTCCATAGAAACGTTAAACAATAAACAAATGAACTTGCTAGAGGCCTAAAGCATTGTCCGATGCACGTATATATACCGACTGTATAAACAAACTGAATAATGTATACTGACAACATAAACAAGCACTACCGAACATGCAAACATACAGCCTGGCGAATTGAACGAGAGGAAAGCTAAATGTACTTTAGAAAATATATTTTTCATTACCACCTTGAGCTTTTTCCTTTTTGTATCCAAAAATAAAACATTTTCTCTTAAGATTGCTTTATTATTACTCACAAACACTTCGGAATCGCCGTGTACATATGCACAAATACAGTAGGCAAACGAAATCGAATTGAGCGCATACACTTTTTATCTCATGGTCAACGTCAAGATATTTCGGATATCGCAAAGATTTTCGAGTCCGGACGCTATTGTACTTAGATACAGACTCTTCCCCGAAGCGGTTGGGTCTAGTCTGGTCGGTGTTCTAGAGCTTCCGTGATTTTCCCCCGGTTCCGATTCCGATCAGAGATATGTGCGTCTATTCGAAATCGTATATTTGCAAGAAAATATTTTCGGAGAATTTCGCGGAGTGATCAGTTAGCCACAGCATTCAAACATGAGCTACTTATCGTTACCACGTGTCCTGAGCAAGTTCGGATCGCAAAATCACAACCCGTCTAACCAAAATTCGAAAACCAATAGCCTTACCCGATCCAGAACGCGTACCGGATGCGACGATATCCGACTCTCGAGAAAAGCATCCTCCACCCAATCACTCAACAGGCCATTTGAGCGACGAATGAGCATATTGAATAGAAATGGAAGCATATCTAGTCGACACTTTAGGGGCGTTCACAAGCATTTACTCGACTCACATGCGAAGGCGGTTTGCCATTCGATGACCGTAAGTAGATCTTAAAGTTTAGATATCGATTAGAACATCTAATACATTGCTTGAGAGTACCAAATACTAAAAGATACAGTCCATCCTCTTTAATGTTTATGAGATCTACATATGTGTTTATTCACAGTGGCTAGGTAAACAAAGCGATTGTATAAGTTCATTGATTTGCGTTTGTTGTTGAGTCATTTAAATAAAGTACATTGGGTATTTCAGTTCTTGGATATATTTATGTACATATTTTTCAGTAACAAATGAAGTCCATTTGTGTGAGAATCATAAAAATCATTCTAGGAAATTTGTTTCTTTAATTGTTTTTGTTTATAAAAGTCACAAAAAAATACCTTTAGGAAACAAATCCACTTGAATTGAATTTTTAGCTGAACCAATATTTTATGTCTTGTTTTCATAACTTAGAACTTGAATTCTTTATAAGTGTTTTAAATATCTAAGCAAACATGACATAGCTGCGTCTGGTTTTGCTTTTTCTTTGTGACGTTTTTGTTTACATTTCCGTTTTCTGGAATTTGCTGATATTTTCTTAGGTTTGACCTTTAGAAAAGAGATTTATTTCTATTTTTATTCGAGTACAATTAATAGATAGGTTATAAATGAGGTTGCCTTTCACTCAGTGAAGGTGCATGTATTTAATTGGAGGCAATGGAGATAAAACTAATTACCTTACTGTTTTTAATTACTTTATTTTGCAGGTGACAGATCTGTATGAGGAGATTTTATTTGAAATTTTCAACAACATTGGCTGTGAAAACAACGATGAGTGCACAAACAGTTTGGTGGAATTCGTGCAGGATGCTTTCAAAATTCCCAACGCAACGCATTTGGAAATTTGTGAGGCTGCGCGACTAAAAGAACCGCCCAATGTGAGACTAAATGTCGAGATAATAAAGGCCGAGAACTTAATGTCCAAGGACTCGAATGGCCTATCTGATCCGTTCGTAACCCTTTACCTAGAATCGAATAGTTCCCATCGATATAACTCATCTGTTAAACCTGCCACGTTAAATCCTATATGGGAGGAGCACTTTTCACTGTGAGAATTTGTTGTGTTAAATACAAAGTTTTTATAAATAATTAACTTCCTTTTTTTAGGCCGATTACCGAAAATGCTCGAGACGAAGTTCTTATCGTTGAAGTGTGGTAAGTTTAATTTGGTTAAGATTAAATAAAAAAGCACTCATAAAAGTCAAGTTATCTGGCTGATAACGCTTCTTGAATTCTAAAATGCACTTAGCGTGGAATAATTTTTTAATGGTCTGACTCAAAGAAACAAAAAGGCTTCTAAAATCTACAAATTTTGTTTTGGAAATTTTTTAATATTCCATTACGTAGCTTGTAGAGTGACGTTTATTTTGATTAATAAATAAATATATAAGTGTTGATATATAACCAGTAAAAAATATAATAAATGTATTTCTTAATGAGAATAATAATCGTGTATTTATTTTTCAGGGACTTTGATGCCGCTGAGACTGTTAAGGAAAAGGTCAATAAAATCCTCGATGTGAAAGGAGTCAAGGGGCTTAGTAAGTTAATGAAAGAAATAGCTGTTACAGCTTCATCAGGAAAACATGATAACGAACTTATAGGGAGAGCTGCAATTACGCTGAAGGTGTGTAAGATATCGTGAAATTCTCAAAACGAAACCACATTAAACGCTTCATTTCTTTAGTCTATTCCAGTTTCTGGCTTAACCGTTTGGTATAATCTTGAAAAAGGAAGCAAGGGACGGAGTCGAGGATCACTTCTGGTGAACCTGGCTTTGAGTGCGGAAAAGAACAAAAGTGTCGCCGTGCAGGAGCATAAGAATTTACTAAAACTGCTGCTGATGCACGAGCTGGAAACATCGCAGGTGGCAAACTACTGGTGGAGCGGAAAGTTCAGTCCAAACGCCGAACTGATTCGATCCCAGCATGCTGCTCAAAGCGGATTAACACCCTTCGATTGTGCCCTTAGTCAGTGGCACGCTTACAGCACCATCCATGAAACACACAAACTTAATTTTACCCTATTCAACTCTATTCTGGACGTAGTGGTGCCAGTTATCACCTATATGCAGAATGACTCAGAAGATGTTAAAACATTCTGGGACGGAGTGAGACGGCTGCTTCCCTCGTGCTTCGTAGTCCTACGAAAATTAAGATCCAAAAACACCAGTGATAAAAATATAATTAAAGCACTCAATGAAGTGCTGGATATTTTGAAGAAGATTAAGGAATTGGAAGTGCCCGAGAGTGTAGATCTTTTTCCCAAATCGGTGTACGGCTGGATCCACACAAACGATACGGACGAAACGTGCAATATTGACACTGCCATAGAGGATGCCATCAAAACCGGAACGAAAGAATGGTTGGAACATATAGTCGAGGGCAGCCGGCAATCCAAAAACAATGAAACCGATGACGAAAAGCTGCAGTACATTATTAAACTTATACAAATGGTACGGTCGGACCTTCAACGTGCAATGGAATACTTCGATAAAATATTTTACCAGTAAGTTATTTATTCAATTATCAATATCTATATCTTCACTTTAATTTATTTTCACTTAACTATTTCAGCAAAATTCAGCTTAACTATTCCGCAATACTTTATTTATTTTACGACTCAAAACTTGCTGAAATTTGTAAATCCATAATAGTAGAAGTGTGCAATAACATTAAGAGACTAGATGTACCAGACGATCAATTCGCATATCTGCCGAACCTTGAGAATGTAAATATGGGAACAACGTTATTTGAAGTCTATTTGATACTCAAGCGATACGTCACACTAGGTGAGACTGTGTAAAAATTGGTGCTCATCTCAAGATAATAATCATTTTGTATTTCGTTTCTAGGTGAATCCCTGTGTTCCGAAAGCCTGGAATTGGCCAATTTTTACCCCTGGTTTGAAAGGGGAGTTACTCACTGGCTTGATATCTCAATAATTAAGGCTTTAGGTCGTATTCAAAAAGCAATTGATTTGGATCAGCTGAAGGCTGTTGACGAAACAGTCAAATACAGTTCTTCGGCAGTGGACACACTTTCAATATTCTATCAAATTAAGATATTTTGGCAGCAACTTGACTGGCCAGAGGTCGAGGGATCCTACATATTTGTAGCCAAAATTGTCAATGTAAGATTGAAAAAACTACTATAATCATGTGTTAAATTACTTAATTATGTTTTTATACAGGATCTTTGTCGGTGCTGCATATTTTATGCTCAGCAGATGTCTCGCAGAGTCGAAAACATAACGTTACTTGGAGATAATAACAAGAATTTCAGTAAGATTTTATTATACATATCTTGTTTGTAATTTATTTGTAACAACTTGTTAAAATTACAGCTTTATCAGAGGAGTGGTGCATAGCTATTAACAACATGGATTACATTCGCCAGACTTTACCTTCATTTATAAAGGTATATGATTAATTTCATTCACTACTCATGAAAAGCTAATCAAGATCATTTCATTCGTACTAGGAACTCAGCATTGATGATATTATTAAGAGATTGGGAGAGTATCGCTCAAATTTAGAAGCTGAAAGATGCGCAAGCACCATAAAAACTGTAATCGAGAACGCATTAGATACTGAACGCAATCAGATCGTAGAGCTTATAGAAATTGTGGCTCGGAAAATGGCCCCGCCAATTAAACGATATTTGGCCGAAGGTGCTGAGGTACTCGCTAAAGACTCAAACTCAATGGACCAATTAATGATGTATTTGGAGGCCTCGTTAACCACGCTTTATGATACTCTCAATGAGATAAACTTTCAAAGGATACTGGACGGCATTTGGTCTGAGTTATCAATAATAATGTATGATCTGATTCAATCAAATCTTGACGTAAGTCTATTTGCCTCCACCATCTGGCAATTAAAAAAAAAAAAAGAATTTTTCTTTCAGAAACGTCGCCCACCAGCTTTCTTTCAAAATTTAAACAATACTCTTCAGACAATGATGGATTGTTTTAAAATGGGGAACATTGAAACGTCGGACGTAAAGATATTGTCTACAATTCAAAGTAGACTAAGGCTTTATTCCCTGGAAACAGCCGATCTTATTCATCAGTATTACTTGGAGCGACTGGAAACCCAAAAGAGCCAAGAGTCGTCTCCCTATGGACAACTCACTGTAACGGCTCAATTAACTGATTCTGGGTTATTGGTAAGACTTTAATGCATTAAACTCTTGATACATGTTTGCTTCATTTGCTATATTTTATAGTTAACTATTTTAAATGCTCGCAACCTGTTGCCAATGGATTCGAACGGCTCGGTCGATTCATTTGTTAAAGCTAGTTTCATGCCTACAAGCAGATTTAATGATTTAATAACAGTCAAGACAAACGTTCACAATAAAAGCTGCTTTCCACTTTACGACCAGGAGTTTCGTATGTAAGTAACTGTTTTCATATTAAAGGCAACATATTTATATTTTTTTTTTGTAGAAACTTGACTGAGCAGCAGCGTAATGAAAAAAATAGCTTGATTTTATTCAGTGTCAAAGATAAAGATTTGTTCGGGATGTCCAGCCAGTATATAGCAGAGAGCTATATCTCCTTCGAAGATCTCGAGGCAACACAAGGCGAACAAATAATGATGAATTTGTCCAGACCAGAATATACCGGTAAGAAAACTAGCTTCGTTTAGACACGGTGGAAATATATATATCATATTATTTTCAGATTCCGATTCACTGCGAGCTCTGGAATATAGATTAGGTGATAAACAGGCCAAGGATTTCCTAAAAAAATTGAAAAACCGATCCTTCTCTTAAATTTTAAAAAGTCGATAATACTATCTTTTGAAAAAACAATAAAATATATTTATATATTTTTCTACGGCTTTAAAACTTAGAAACCAAGTGTAACATATTTTAAGTGCGTATTTTTTGGGAGAAAACAAAATCCTATATTCTTGATTTAAAAGTGAGACGATCTAGCCATTTCTACACAAACTCCCTTCGGCTTGCCGAAGTTTACTTTCTTCCTTATTATTGAAAAAATATATTTTTGACAATTATTTATTTTTATTGGAACAGAAACCAACTCGGTACTTTAGGTATAAATACATAACACTGACTTTTTACGATTTAAGAGTTATTTTCAGATTTGGTTGTAATAAATAATAATTAAATGGTATTTGTATTAAATTAATTATTCGTATAGGGTTTGATTTACGCACACGTGAACAACAGTATGAATGGCAAAAACTACTATGGCTTAAGTTTCTGCCGTGCTTTATTGGCGGCGACGTGTGTTGCGTTGCTTATCAAAACGCATTTCCATTTCTTCAAGAACCTTTGGAGTGTAGCGTACTACCAGCTTTACAGAACCAACAGCCTGCTTTAACAGCTCAACTGCCTTTTCGTGATTTTCTCCTTCGACAGACTGAAAAATGGAATTGTGATCTCATTAGACAAGAGCATTACTAGGTTTAAATCAAAGAAGTATAAAATCTCAATGGTAACAATTGTGTGCTTTGTTAAACCACAACTACTGTTTTGGACTTACCACTCCATTGACAGATAGAAGTTGATCTCCCCTTTTCAGACCACCATGCCTGTCAGCAACTCCTCCAGGTATTATACGGGATATATAGATTGGCGAATTTTGCTCCTTGCCTCCCATTACGTTAAAACCTAAGCCTGTAACAAATCAAATAGATTATAAAGATTGTTGAATAAATCAATGTTTCACAAAGATCTGGGATCAAATAAATAATGCAATTGTAAAAGTACTTTTGTACTTATTGTTATAATCTCCTAAGAACATTTTAACAAACCATACATGCTTTTGATATTTTAGAAGAAAATTCTAATACATTCGAGAAAATATCCCATACTTCTAAAGCTATTCCTATACGTGTTTTCCTATTAGTTGTTAATATATTTATTAAAAAATATCCCACATCCCGGGTACTGGATCTACATTTATATCTATGTGTATGTACAATATAGGGAAGCTCCCTTAAATTTTGGAATGATGATAGTAAGGACAGCAAACGCTTCTCTACTAAGTATGCAAGTACAACATGTAAGTTGTAGTTTAAAATATTTAAGTACTTTGTTAAGCCCTAAAGTTTTGTTAGATTGCGGATTCGTAGATGATAAGGGCGTGTCTTACCCTCCTCGGTTTTGGGCAGTTCGACCACCCGAGGATGTGCATGACCCTCGCTGGCGGCGAAGGCAGCCACGGTGGCCTTGGCAGTGGCGGAGGCCCTCACGTCGTGGGATCCCTGGATGTCCACCGTCTCGTAGACGTGCTCGTACACCTCCCGGACGGAGGTCATGAAGTCAGAGTTGAGCACCTTTTGCAGGGCAGCCAGTTTTGTTGTGGGAAAGTCCCCACTTGCCTGCAGTTTTTCCAGGAGCTCTATCGATCTTTTGACATCTGCAATTCGAGGATTTACGAGTAAGCTCTGTACACTTGGCTTATATATAGTGCTACTTACCCCTAGATAAAGTCAGTGGTTCTGCGTTATCGGCCATAATATGGTGGAATTTAAATATATCCAATGAAATCAACCTGACCCGAAATACAATTCTTGAGAGCTGAAAATAATGTGACCGCAAGTGCTCACTAAACAAAATGCTTATGATGAAACTTTGGTATTATAACAGATTTACTTCCATGGTCATATTATTTTCTATTGACATTATTTACTACTTTTTTTGTAAAACATAAATAATAGAAGAATATTAATTAATATGAGTTTGCCGGCAGCACTTTTGCAGCGCCTAAAAAAGCGTGGACTCGTTACCAAACAATCGGGTAAGTATGCACCTGCCGGTCATGAAGTAATTCAATTATGCCTTCATCCATAATCCTATATATAATTATCCTTTCCCAGGAAGCACACCAATATCGGAAGCTATAGAAGAAATTATAGCCGAAAACTACGACGACGATGACAAAAGTGGCCCGTACCCATATAAGGAAGACATAGCACCGGAACCAAAGCGCAGGAGCGTCGAGGAGCAGTTCTGGTCGCACCGCATCAAGGAACGGATCGGCGTGAATGAATCATACCATGGATACAAACTTTGCCCCAACAAGTACAACATCTACCACAAGTGCTCCCTGTACTGCGTCAATAAGTTTAACAGCTCCCCGCACTCTGGACCAAGCCACAAGTATCTGAAGCGCTACAAGAGACTGCTGCGGAAATATCCAATGGAGGCGGGTTGGAAAGATATATACGATAAGGGCTGCAAAGCGTATTACTTTTATAATTCGACAACACAATGCGTTTCGTGGCTACCGCCATCACACCCAAAAGCCCGGATTACAAACAGTGCCGCCGTGTTTCGCCGTCAATTGGCCAATTCTAATGACGAGTTCAATTTTGACTCCAGCAGCTTGGTCCTGCCCAAATCTTCTGGTCTAAATGAACCCAATGAGCCGGAGAACGCATTCAGTTCATCGGTTTTCATACCCCCAAAGAAGCAAAAGTCAAGGGACTTGGATCGAAAACTTCAACGACGACGACGTAATGATAACTAGCAGGATTACTCAACTCGAATTCTAGAATTTTTGCAAGCCATTATGTCGAAATAAAGAAATATGATAGTTCTAATTAGCAATTGCAGTAAAATCAATAAGTTCACGCAACAAGACCCTTCATAAGGTTTAAAAATGTACACTCTGCTTTATTGAATTGCTAGCTTAAGACAATGAATGGTGGAGCCGCGAAACAATTAAATCGAAGGAACCGGAAATTTCATCAAAGAAGCAACTCGATAAAATTTGTGTCACACGAGTCTGAAAAAATGTTTAATTTGATTTTGAGGCGGCAATTAAAGCCCTCAACATGAGGATGCGGTGGACACACTTTCACCAGACGATGTGCTATGTTTAAAGTGTTTTAACCAGGTTTTATATATTGGTGAAAGATCAATACAAGTATTATTTGGGTTTATTTCAAGGTTCGCTTTCCCTTAACAACAACCGGTCGGTTTCTTATGTAACCCTTGCGACGCTTCGAGTTCTGAAAGACATTTAATTAATATTGTAATTCATTGGAATTATTCAGTACCATACCTTTCTAGAGATAAAGTTGGCTGGGGGAATTGTTCTCTCCTTGGTTTTCAGAGAGGGTCTGTTAAACTCATGCGGCTTCTTAACCCTATAGATGCGAACAAGCCAGTGCTCCGTTGTATAGGCCTCTTCCAGGTATGTCAAGTCAAAGTCCTTATTTCCGATGACTGCGTTACGAGTGCGATCATATCCCGATGGTCCTCTGAAACACGTGTTAGTAAGACGATTCGATTGCACTTAATATGTCGACCTACCTGTAGTCCAGTTTCAAATCCCCGAATCTGTAGTAACTTAATTTGTACATAAGGCAGTTAAGTAGAGCCGGAGCACCTTCGGCATCCACCCTGAATTCACCGCGGTCGGTAAAGTAATCACTTTCCTTGATATCCTTGGGATGCTCGCCCTCGGCGATTCGAACCATCCAAAGGAACTTGTTGATGTCATCACCAGAGTAACCGATCACACCACCAAAGATTACCAGGACGTAATCCACGTCAAGAGAGGTCATAATTTCGTAGGATTTCTCCTCGGTCGAAGACATTGCTTTGCCAACGAGCGCTATGTGACTATTGTTCCACGTATTATTGTCCACTAGAGTTGTTCTGTTTGCCATGCCTGCTATCTGGTATCCGTAGTCCCACCACGACATAACTCGGGCATCATCAGCGGTGTTCTGTGAAAGCCAGTAATAAGCCTCCCTGAAATCGTCCAAAATGTTCCGAGAGCTGAAGGAGAAAAGGTTAGAAAGCGCAATATATAACTTATTAATATTTACTTACCCATCTTGGCTGTTGTGGAAAGCCAGCACAATCGAGGGGCTGGAGTAGGCATTGCTGGTTACCCAGGTGCAGTGAACAGCGAACATCATCAGAAGCATTAGAACGGCCAAAATAACAATACTTTTCAGATTTGAGCTGATTCCAGTGTCCTGCTGGGCATCATGTTTGGTTCGGTGCTTCAGTTTTCCAGCCTGCAAATATGTGTTTGTGAAACCAAACCCAAGAAATCTGTTACTACAATGACTGACCTTATCATAAAGAGTCTTCTTCTCAATGGAATCCTCGGCTTCATCAACTTCGGTGGTCGTACTTATGGCTGTGCCCATTCGCTTCGACGAATCCTCTTGCAGGAAGACATCCAACAGACCCGAAAAGGCCACTCCAGCCAGCATGCACACCACAGGCGTGAGGGTCAGCATCAAACGCACCATCACGCCAGCAAAGTAAACCGCACTGATGGCGTACAGTACCACGAATACGCGCTCATCGTTGATCTGCTTAATGCAATACCACACTCCGACGGGGAAAGCGCACACCAGGATGTGCAGATCAAAGAAGAACGAGAACCAGGTCGTCGGCTGATGCTCCGACACGGAGGCAATGATGGGAATGTGGATCTTGGCGTAGCCGGTGTCCCACAGTGAGTAGAAACGTCCGCTCCACGGGGCCACAACACCCAGCATGGTGAGCACCACGACGGCCACAAAGACAGCAACACCCACCAGCAATCCACCGACGATGAACAGCTTTCGGAACTCGTGTCGCGACAGCACAGACTGCAGATGACGCAAGGTGGCCACGGCCATTAGGAGCACAAAAACTCCCATTGCAGCCATGTGCTCGCTGGTGCGTATCGGCTGGAATCCCACGAAGGGGATCTGCATGGAGAAGAGCAGTCCCAGGATGTAGAAGGTGCTGTAGCTGGTCAGCAGGCGCGGCGAGTAGCGGCCCATAATGAGCAGCACGAAGACGTGCAGCGGGATCAGGTTGATGATGAACACGTAGCCACCCCAGGCGGACACCATGTAGAAGTAGGACAAGGCAGCGGCGGCGGACCAGAAAACGGATCCCGTCTTAACGGAGCGCACCCACAGGAAGTATGTGAACTGCAGGGCAAATATGGCAATGCCCTCGTTGTCATACGACCCGGCAACCGATCTGCTGATGTAGCCGGGCACGATGGCGATGAAGCTGGCGGCGAAGAGGCCGGCGCCCGCGGACCACAGCTCCTTGGTCAGCAGATATGTGGAGATGGAGGTCAGGCCGCTGAAGACGGGTGCCAGGAACACGCAGATGTCACGAATGTGCACCGGGATGTTGAGGACATGCAGCAGCCAGTGGATTCCGCCGGAGGTAATCATCAGGCCCGGGTACACCGTGCCGCCGACAATCCTGCCCAGCGGATACCAGGCCCGCTCGTCGAACCAGTTGAGGAAGTTGTACCAACCGTTCTGCACCATGTAGGCGGTGGCCCGGTAGTTGAACCACGGATCAAACTCATGGATTATCGACTCGAAGCGGATTACGGCGAAGAGGCGAGAGGAAAACCCGGCCAGCCAGGCAATTAACAAGATGGCGAAGGTTATCAGGCTGCTGTAGCCAGCCACCTTGCTGTTCAGCATCTTGGGCGTCCGATTCATGTCCCTATTCCAGCCGGTAACTCGAAAATTATAGACGAGATGAAACGCAACGACACATTCTTTGCTTAGACACGTAGTCTAAAAAAATTGCCGGGTAGACTGCCAACTCGTGTGTAGGTTGGTTATCGATAGTGCAATCGATAAAAACTCAAGGTGCAACGTCACGGTAGGATTTTGAATTTTGTAGTCTGTCTAATATTGCTTTTTATTATGTGATCTGTTTATCTTTATTTATGCGAGTGTGTTGTATATACCTATATATTTTAACAGAATTATTTATTTTGTAAAAATCTTTCAAAAGATGTTTTCCGGATTTCATATGATTGCATTTAATGGTATTTTACTGGCCTTAAACAATAATTTTATTATTTTAAATCAATTTAATAATATATTTAACTAATTTCTATTATATTCTTTCCATTTCGTTTGAATCCGCTCCAATTCCGTATGTAACGTTTCATTTAAAATAATTGTTAGTTCTACCATCTCTAGATAGGAACGGAACAACAAAATCATGAAATAAACTAGTTCAGTTAACTCGTTCCCATTCGATGCCCTGGAAAGTCGCCGAATAAAAACATAATTAATAATCAACATGAATAATGGAAATATTAAACGTTTACCAAAGAAACCAAGCGTCTCCAAAAAGCCAGATGTTACTGTGTCTTCACCCTTGGCAAAATATCCTTTACAAAACTTCAAGAGTGATATTGTTTTTACTGTTTAGCCGGTGTTTACTAAACTATTTGTTGGTCTATTAATATAAGCAATTTTTTAGTTAAATATTTAAAATATGTTATTTATTGTCAATTAGAGTAAGGCATTTTTGTAAATGGCAATATTAAGCCGTGATAAAATAAGCACTGATTGTGAGAGGAACGTGGTGCATAGTTTTTCCGTTTGTTTACCTTTTGATATACATACATATATAAACCTATTTAGTACTTGAATATTAATGACCAACCTTTTCAATTAAACTTCTAGCTACATGGTTTCCTTAACATAAACTATACGTATGACTCCTCAGGAACTTTGACCTGTATAATTTGCAGGATTCCCATCAAGCCCAGCGTTTGGAAAGTGCACATCAACTCAAAGCAACACAAATTGAATGTTGATCAAGCCAAGCAGAACAAGATAGAAAAGCCTGTTAATACTACTAGCCCCAAGGAACCGTCAGCCAAATCTTCTATTGCTCCCCCTCTGGTCGTCCAATCCAGCACTCACCAAGATAAAACTCCACAGACGGGGCTGGAGAAGAATCCTCCTATCATTCAAGAGAAACCCCCTCAGACAAACACGAACAGCAAGCCAGCTATTGAATCTGTTTCCGAAAAATTGCCAGAAAAGTTCTTCGACGAGGATAAAACCAGCAAATCTGAAGCCGCTCGTCTTCAGGACGAGGAATGGCAGCGCTTTCAACAGGAGATTAAGAGAGCTGCCACAGAATCCAGTGTTATCGTAGCCGACGAACAGGAAGACATCAATCTCAAGAGACACATCAAGGAAATAGACGAACAGATTGATAATTGGAAGAGATTCATCAAAATAAATGATCAGAAAACATTGCTCTTGAATAAAAAGCGGAAAGTTAACCCCAAAGTAGAAATATACCCTGAATTAAGTTCTAGTGAGGAAGACTGCAGTGTAGATGATTTGTACGATTGGAGAACAAAGAACCTGCACAGATAAAAATTAAAATGTTACTGTTAAAAAACTAAAATTCGCTTTTGTTATATTTTAATGAATAATCGAAGGGGACTAATACAAGGATACTAAAATATGAAACAAACCAGATAATATTCTCAAAGGAATTATCAAAAATGTAGTTTAGTATGAGTAAAAGTTTTGTTATTAAAAAGCATCGCAGATTTTTTAGCCTTTTCTTTAAAATTAATTCTTTGCCATCATTAAATCATTGAATGAATAAAAGTATCCAAAATCTAGTTTCCTTTGTATAAATAATTTTTATAATTGATTTTATTTAATACTTTTGTGGTCTAATCAGCTATACAAAGCTGATATCAATAGAAAATATATTTAACCCTAGAGTCAATTTAAGAAATAATTAAATCAAAATATTAGAATCAAAGTTATTTATTGTAGTTTTTTTACTACAAATACTGTAGGACTCGCTTTCTAAATTTTTCTGATTTTATAGTGCTCCAACCGTTTTTGTAACTTTTCAAATAAATCCTAAAATCGCGTTTTTTTCGAATAAATATTTAAACTTTGAATGTATATATACTGCCTGGTTTTCTAAACATCAAAATAGTCTCAAAACAGCTGACATATTATGACCATGAAAGTGACCTAGTGAATCGAACAGGTAGCCATTTGAATATTCGGCCACACTTGTGATTAATTCTCACGTTTTGTATAAAGGTTAAGCGATTCGTACGCTACATAATGCTCAACTTTAGTACATATTTTATGTTACATTAATTAGTTACACACTTTTATTTATTCTTAGGCCGTATTTACAGAAAATTTGTTAACTTTTTTTTTAAGAATTGCAATAATAACGTTTTAGACTTACTAATGTTTTGTTTTATATAAAATGTTTTGATTTTGTTAATTTATTGATCAAGTTTCCCATATCAACAAAAATATCCCATTGTTACAATGATATCTAATTCGTGAACATGAATTTAAAATATATATTCTTATTTGGGATGTTGACGATGAATTTTTCGAGTCTTATGTGCTTGGAATATTCGAAAGGTCTTAATGAGTCTGCAGTTATAAACACAATTCATACGGGCCAAAGTAAACGAACTAGTAAATTTCTATTTGACACTATTTTTCGCATAAGTTCGGGAGTATCAAATGCTTTTGGACTTTCGGATACAGAAGACGATGTTGAGTACTCTGAGAATTCCAGTCTCAAAAATTGTGATTGCGGTACGTAAACTTTAAATGATTTTGTTATAATATTATTTGCTTTGGTCAACAATCATATGATTGACCCATATAACATGTCGTTAACCTATTTAATTTCACTTTTGCAGACTGTGGTTTTTCCAATGAAGAAATAAGAATAGTTGGGGGAAAACCAACCGGAGTAAACCAATATCCCTGGATGGCGAGAATCGTTTATGATGGAAAATTTCATTGCGGTGGTTCGTTGTTAACCAAGGATTACGTGTTGTCCGCCGCTCACTGTGTGAAAAAACTAAGAAAATCGAAAATAAGAATTATATTTGGAGATCACGATCAAGAAATTACTTCCGAGTCTCAGGCCATTCAACGGGCTGTCACAGCCGTAATAAAACATAAAAGCTTTGACCCAGATACCTACAACAATGATATTGCTCTGTTAAGACTCCGCAAACCCATTTCGTTTTCGAAAATAATAAAGCCTGTTTGTCTTCCACGGTTTAATTACGATCCTGCAGGTACATACCATAAAATTAATTTTGAATCACTCTTGGGAATCCTAATACCCAGGTCCCTTTTATAGGATTATGCGATCTTATAATTCTCTATATTAATATTCATTTTTTCCAGGTCGAATTGGAACAGTTGTTGGCTGGGGACGCACGTCCGAAGGCGGAGAGCTACCGTCCATTGTTAATCAAGTGAAGGTTCCAATTATGTCCATCACGGAATGCCGTAATCAAAAATACAAAAGTACCCGAATTACCTCATCGATGTTGTGCGCGGGCAGACCAAGTATGGATTCATGCCAGGGCGATAGTGGAGGACCGCTGTTGTTATCTAATGGAGTTAAGTATTTTATCGTCGGAATCGTTTCCTGGGGCGTCGGATGCGGCCGCGAAGGATACCCGGGTGTTTACTCAAGAGTGAGCAAATTCATTCCGTGGATTAAATCAAATTTAGAAAATACATGCCTGTGTTCATAGTCAATGCTGTATGAAAATACACGAACTTATTTATTGCCTAGCTAAGCCGCGTTTATACAAAGTGTCTTTGTTACATACCATGCAATCGAAAATAAAAGTTAAAGTTTCATTTAAATGTATGTGTTCTGTTTATTGTAAACTTGACCGCTTTGGTCAATTACTTACGAATTTTAAGAGGTAAGGATCGTACTGAAATTTGATATTCGAGTTAAGTTGTTTGTAAGACATACGTTTACACTGCGTATATATAAAACATTCGAAAGTATTTTAAATTATTACTTATCTATATTTCGATATAAATGCTATTTCTACAATTTCTAATAATACACTAAAATACTATATTACATTATAAGTATGTTTAAGCGCTAAACGTCCCTGTACCTATTACCTATAACTGTATTCGCCACTTTTAACACATCATTTGATATCTTTCCACAGCTTGAGTCATTGACGGATGGTATACTGAGTGCTGCATGCAATGGCACCAAAAAATCGGTGTTGGCATTAGACCCCAATTGATAATTCTCCATAGCCTCGTAAATAGACTTAAAGAGCGGTTGCCTATCTGAGTGGAAGTACCCGCGATTTCCGTGGATAACTTTAACGCCAGCGTGAGTCATGTTGCAAATGCTCATATACATGCAGTGATCTGGACGGTAGTTGTATTCGCATGGCATGATGTACAGCTTATCAGGATGATAATAAAATAGTATATTAATTATGTCTTGATCCCCCCAAATAATACGTAGCTTGTACTCCTTATGAATAGACAAGATATGTTGTTCCCATTTCATTTCTCTCATCCGTGTGAGATTCATTAGCATAACGCCGGAGTTGACTCCAAGTCGACCGTAGAATGGATGTCTTGCAAATCTATTGTACCATCCGATATTTTCGTTCTCATGTTCCGGCGTCAATGCGGACATTTGAGTCTCATTGAACTTTTTGAAGAATCGCCAGATGTCGGAGATTGGTGATAGAAACAATATATCCGTGTCGACATACAACAAGGAGTCCACATTCGTTAACAACGACTAGAACAAAAGAATTTTATTGGTAATTAAAATGGTTGAAAAAAAATACACTTACCGGCAAAAACAAACGTTGAGCTGCACATGGCTTAAATAGATTTTTCCATTCGACTTCATTGCCACTAGGAAACTTTAATGGCAAAATCTCAAAGTCGAATGTGAATGGCTTGATGTCACGCCAGTCTGTCAACTTTTCCTTGAACTCCTCACCTTTTCCATCTTCAGTAAAAATTACAAATTTTAGATACTCCTCGTCGTAGTTAAATAAAATAGCTGATTTGATCATAACAAGAGTCTCCTGGACTCTTTGGCCGCAGCATACCACCACGATATAAAGGGGGCTTCGGGATCTCCAAGGTTGTCTGCGAAGTAAATTGGTTTGGTAGGCGACATTAAGAAAGTTAAAATATTTTAGTTATTGGAGATACTGTTTTTTTTAATAAACAAGCTACTTATGCATAGTTTTGTCGACCGGCAATGTTACTATAACAACCAGATTATGCAAAACTATAAAAGAAAACAAATTTCTAACTGAAAGGAGTTCTAAAACTATGGCCCATTTCTTTGTTACTTAACTGCTTTTTATAAAAGTAATCGTTGACCGTAAACAAATATTACTAGGAATAAATGAACAAAAGAAAGTACCTTGATAATACTGATCTGTTAATACTCACGCTTCATTAGTGCTGACTACCTTTCCTTTATAATCAGTGACCCACGAAGGTTTTTGATGAACGAAATAGGAAAGTATTGCTAATGCAATTAAGCACAGCAGACACATGTGCAGATGTTGCTAAAATATTAAAAAAATTACTAGTAGTTGTCTTTCTAAAACAACCTTTTAACTTTTATTTACCATTTTAAGATTTTGCGCAAGCAACGTTTAAGCCGCAAAATGTTTATGTTTTCTGTGTTGGTAGTCAAAGATGCCATAATTTTCCGCATCAACACAGCAATTATTTACACATCCCTTAAGTTTAACCAATAAAGGAATTGGTACTGCTTAATTTGACTAAATAAAATCATATTAAATGCACAATATTTAAAGAAATGGGCAAAAACTCTATGCACCTAGCGCATTTATAAACAGCCATAAATATTTTTGTTTGCGTCAAGATAGCGTCAATGTTAATGGTGGATGTAATAAATTTGAAGTTCAAACATTGAGATACATTCGATCAATTTATTGGTCTATACCTAATGACATCTTCTGCTATTAAAATAAAGAATACTTTTTTAATTCTTAAAATCTAGCATCGTAAATAGTCAAAATAAAAATGAATATATTGAAAAATCCTAGAGTGTATCAGAAAGTTAATTAGAAGTTAGTCTAACAAAAACCTTATTAAAAATTGGTAATATTTCTAACTAATATTACAACATTATTCAAAATTTTAAAATATTTAAAACGGGTATATATTTTTACACCGTGTTTCTTTTCCACTTGTTTCGTTAGCAGCAGTCGAATAGTTATCGATAAGAAGTCGTATGGGCATTGTTTTCATTTATCTTCAACCGTACACGTGCAGGCCAAAAATAATAACAATCAAAAATGTTGAGAAAACAAGCCAGACAACGAAGGGAATATTTATATAATAAAGCCCTTACCGAGCGCCTCAAGTCCAAGCAAAAAATTCAGGAGACCGTTGTTCAAAGCATCAATGAAAACAAGTCAATTGGTTCCAAAAATGTGAAGAAAAGTCTGACGGCCTACAAATCGCTGAAATATGTTGATGATGGTAAACATATTGCACATTATTCATTTATTTTTAGTAACCCGATGAGTGTTCTTTTAATAATCCCAAATTGGTACCATATGTTTATAGGAAAATCCAGCAAACAAGGATAAAGAGGAATATACAACCAGCATTCACGACTCTTAATTAACAAGTTGAGTTTAGGGCTAACAAGTTTTATATAGCAATTTCCTTTGCGTGATCAAAAAGTGTTGATTTTATTGCAATTGTACTCTGCACTCATACTAAGGTTATCAGAATTTAAATATTTTATTTATTGTTCAGTCTATATATCATACAGTCAATCTGCGTTAAATTTAACAAGTTCGTTTTTTCGTGTTCGTGTTCAAAACGTTAATCGTTTTCTCAGTTTAAAACCTATTTTTAGTGTACCTTATGCTTAATTAGAGTATATTCTTTTCTAGTGAATCTTTAATGGATTCAAAATATAGGGTCATTCTATTAAGAATTTTATTATAATATATTATATTTTATTTTCATAAAATATGTAAGCACAAAAACACAGTTATCTTAATACAGGAAATGTATTCAAAAAACTTACGCTTTTTATCATAGGATAAAAGCTTCTCATATCTGTTGAACTCCATTGTATCTAAACGTAAATATTTCTCATCATTTTAAATGGTTTGTATTTCAGGTGTCGACGACCGCACTGTTAATGATGAATATCACTATGCTGGATGCGAAGATCCCAAAATAATGCTAACCACCTCGCACAACCCCTCGTCCAGATTGAAAATGTTTATGAAGGAACTTCGGCTGATATTCCCCAATGCCCAACAGATGAACAGAGGCAACTACCAGCTGGCTACTTTAATGCATGCCTGTCGTGCCAATAATGTAACCGATTTCCTAATTGTGCACGAGCATCGTGGTGTACCGGACAGCCTTGTGGTTTGTCATCTTCCCTATGGCCCAACTGCCTTCTTCAACATATCCGATGTTGTTATGCGTCATGATATTCCCGATATCGGACATATGAGCGAGCAGAAGCCACATTTAATTTTTAATAACTTCAAAACGCCCATTGGTTTGAGAACTGTCAAGATACTTAAACACTTGTTCCCAGTACCGAAGGAAAATTCCCAAAGAGTAATGTCCTTCTTAAACCACAACGATTCGATTATATTTAGACATCATCAGTACAAATATGTGAACAAGGAATTGGAGCTCAGCGAAGTGGGACCAAGATTCTCTCTGAAGCTGTATCAAATTAAACTTGGAACGCTGGAGAATATAAAGGCGGCTGACACGGAATGGATAAACCGACCATATATGAATACGTCGCAGAAGAGGCTTATTTTCTCTAACGATCCGGGAATAATAAGTAAGGACGCGGACGTTTAGGAATTGTTCTGCGACAAATAAAACGAGAGCGAGGAAATTAAAGTTAAAATAAATGTCTTCTTTTTCACTATAACATTTTTTATTTACTTTTATATTTATAATAACGGACACACGCCTGTCATGTTAGTTATTTCTAAGTTTCCGATGTCTTGTAATAAGGTGGCCCCCAATTGGATTCCTAGAGTCCATAACTTAACCAAATTTAATCCGTTTTCTAAGTGGCATACCTCTAAACACTTGTGGGTTCATTCTCAAAAAATCTGCATTCAAATTTTTTATTTTAACATTGATCCAATTTTTGACACATTTTCATGTCATTTATTTCCAAGTTTCCGATGTGTTGTTAAAAGGTGGCCCACAACTGGACTTCCGGAGTACATAACTTTACCAAATTTAAGCCGATTTCAAAGTGGCATACCTCTAAAGACTTCTGGGTTGATTCTCTAAAAAATTGCATTCAAAATTTTCATTTTAGCGTTGGTCAAATTTTTGACCCATTTTCATGTTAGTAATTTCTAAGTTTCCGATGTCTTGTACAAAGGTGAACCTCAATTGGACTTCTAAAGTCCAAAACTTTTCCAAATTTTATCCGATCTTAAAGTGGTATACCTCTAAAGACTTCTGGGTTGATTCTCTAAAAAACTGCATTCAAAATTTTCATTTTAGCGTTGGTCAAATTTTTGACCCATTTTCATGTTAGTAATTTCTAAGTTTCCGATGTCTTGTACAAAGGTGACCCTCAATTGGACTTCTACAGTCCATAACTTTTCCAAATTTTATCCGATCTTAAAGTGGCATACCTCTAAAGACTTCTGGGTTGATTCTCTAAAATATTGCATTCAAAATGTTCATTTTAGCGTTGGTCAAATTTTTGACCCATTTTCATGTTAGTATGTTCTAAGTTTCCGAAGTCTTGTACAAAGGTGACCCTCAATTGGACTTCTACAGTCCATAACTTTTCCAAATTTTATCCGATCCTAAAGTGGCATACCTCTAAAGACTTCTGGGTTGATTCTCTAAAAAATTGCATTCAAAATTTTCATTTTAGCGTTGGTCAAATTTTTGACCCATTTTCATGTTAGTAATTTCTAAGTTTCCGATGTCTTGTACAAAGGTGACCCTTAATTGGACTTCTAAAGTCCATAACTTTTCCAAATTTTATCCGATCTTAAAGTGGCATACCTCTAAAGACTTCTGGGTTGATTCTCTAAAAAATTGCATTCAAAAGTTTCATTTTAGCGTTGGTCAAATTTTTGACCCATTTTCATGTTAGTAATTTCTAAGTTTCCGATGTCTTGTACAAAGGTGACCCTCAATTGGACTTCTCCATAACTTTTCCAAATTTTATCCGATCTTAAAGTGGCATACCTCTAAAGACTTCTGGGTTGATTCTCTAAAAAATGGCATTCAAAATTTTCATTTTAGCGTTGGTCAAATTTTTGACCCATTTTCATGTTAGTTATTTCTACGTTTCCGATGTCTTGTACAAAGGTTACCCTCAATTGAACTTCTACAGTCCATAACTTTTCCAAATTTTATCCGATCTTAAAGTGGCATATCTCTAAAGACTTCTGGGTTGATTCTCTAAAAAATTGCATTCAAAATTTTCATTTTAGCGTTGGTCAAATTTTTGACCCATTTTCATGTTAGTTATTTCTAAGTTTCCGATGTCTTGTAGAAAGGTGACCCTCAATAGGACTTCTACAGTCCATAACTTTACCAAATTTAATCCGATCTCGAAGTGGCATACCTCTAAAGACTTCTGGGTTGATTCTATAAAAATCTGCATTCAAATTTTTCATTTTAACGTTAATCACAATTTTTGACCCATTTTCATGTTAGAAGGATATCCGAAAGATCTGGAAAAATCTACTTTTATATGTTTTTTTGATCAAAACCTTGGGAAATAATGGTCACTCGAACGCCATACCTCGTTGAATTCGTTATAAAACTTCCAATCAAAAATTTTCATTTTAGTCGATTTTTCGCCAGAAATCATGAAATAAGCCCTTATGAAAATGGCAAAATCCGGAAGATCCGGGAGAATTAACTTTTACATAGGTTTTTTGATCAAAAACCATGGGAAATAATGGTCACATAATGGTCATGGTTGGAATGTCATACCTCTTTAATTTTTTATAGAATTCACAGATAAAAAATTTCATTAGAAATAATGTTTGAATTTTTTATAAAATTCACAGATAAAAAATTTCATTAGAAATAATGTTTGAAATGTCATAATATGTACGTATATTAAAATACGATATGGCAAGTTTTATGTTATAGTCCTCCAATATCGTTAGAACTTAAGTGATCGGTTCAAATATGGGATAAATTATTTATATTTGACAAAAACAGCCAGAAGTACAAACATTTCGTTAAACACAGCTAATTTGACCTTAACAAACATATATATCAACACGCTAATTAAGAATTTGAAAAACTTTATAGGGTCGGAAATATCTTCTTCACTGCGTTGACCAAAATTATAGTACTCTCTGTATGGTTAAAAGTGCTTGTGACTTTGCACGATTTTGTGATAGGCAATTTCTTACTTGTTTTTAAAAATAAATAAAAAAACAAATCTAAAATTTTGCGATCTATATGTATTATCCCCCCAATATCAATAGCACCAAACCGTCGGGCCTTTTGCATTCAGCAACTTAACTTATTAGCAGTGGTAAAAATACTTTTGATGCTTTCTTTTATTCTTAAATATTTATACCCAACATATTTGCCGATAACAAACGACTTTCATGCCAAAAACAGGGGTGTTTTAAATTTCGACCACGCCCCCTTCCGCCCTTTTATTTTACGAAGCTTTATGGAAGCCACAGTTTGCCTCAGAAGGCAAATAAACTTTTTTAGCCAAAATAAGTTTGAATTGTTAGTATACAACATTTTATAGTTATCTATTTTTGATAAATAATCTCGGGGTAATGTAAAAATAAATTGGAGTAAGACCAATCGAATACAACTATTACTTTATTTTAACTAAAACAGAGAAAGGTTTGTGATTTATGTTATATTTCTACTTTTGCTTAAAAACTACAATTGCATCAAGAAAATATAAATAAATTATAATCAATTATTAATTAAGAGTTTTTCATTACAAACTTTTAATATCTAATCTGAACATTTTTAGATTGCAATTTAGATTTATTGGTTAACTATTTTAAAAGTTAAATAATTGAAATTCCATTTATAAAAGAAAATATTCCGGTAATAATAATAATAATAAATGTGACGGCACAATTGTTTCATTGTTGGCGGCTTAGCCAAACGGTTTTAGGAACCGCATTGGGTCTGCATCCGCCGTTCCATATCAGTGAGTTAGATCAAAGGTTAACACGATCTAATAAGGTGTAAAACACCTGACAACACCAACCATATAATTAAATGTGTTTATACTAATTCCGTCTATCATTTAACAGCTGTCCGATGTTAATGATGGAACGCATTCTCCTAAATAGCCTGCCTGCACAGGCTGTTGGACCTGGCAGCCTATTACTGGTAATGCCGATGATCAGCAGGCCGGAGCATGGAAACTCGTACACTAATATGCGATTTCGCTCCGTTTGGACCACATACAACTTGATCCCATGGAACAATAAAGGGGATGAGCACTCGGACAAACAGCCGTACCCATATGTGAGAAAACGAGAATTCGTTTGTGCCTTTTTACCTTTTTGCCGATCGCCCTTTTCTAACACCTTTTCTGTGGTTCGATCTTAAACACAGGCGTGCCGCTGCGTTGTCGGCGAGTAAAAAGTGAACAAATGAGTGCCGCTCGATTATTTAAAGCCAATATCTCTAATTACGGTTCTGACACATAGCACAGCAGTTTCCTTTTTTAATTTATGGGTTTCATTTAATGTAAACTACTTCTTGAGGCATTGTTACGCTCAGTTGGACAGGTGGTGCATTAGTCGGCTAACGTCGGATATTAAATTAAATATACTCCAGCATTGCACATTGTTATTTGAAAAAGATGGTCCATAAATAAACAAACAGAAGTATTACCTTTTATATTTGTGCGGCCTTCTTGATGATGCTCTTTTGGGCATAACAAATTAAAAAGGCGTGTAAAAGTACAATTCAGTTTTTAGTTGTGTTTGCTAACAATCATTCAACTCTTTTTCTCTTAAAAGATATTGCCAAAATATAATTCGACTATGGGTTGTGTTGCTACTACAGCAAGTCTATTTATAAAATATAATTTTTCTAAGAAGAATAGATTTAAGTTTATAATGTATTGGTTTTAATTACCTAGCCTGTTTAAAACTATTGCTGTATTTTTAAAGAGCTTTTGAACTTCTTCAGTGCAATCTAACTAAATATGTTCAAACATTAATCTTTAAAAATTGGTGGGTGATCTCAAACATTAGACAACTAATTAAATCTAATTCTTTATTAGACATGGAAAGATCTAGCCAACAAACTTATACATAATTGATTCGTTCAATATTAATAACAAAGATTTGATTTTTCAAATTTTGATTGTTCTTTCTTTGATATTTTAGACTATTGATAATAATCATTGGCCAATTTGGGTATTTTAATTGTTCAAAGATGGTGAAAACGGAGAAAACATACGTAAGAGGTTATTAATTCATTTTAATAATAGTCTTTGTGAGGGTAAAACGAGATTTTCAATAAATCTATAGTGAATTTGTTGGGAGTCTATTATGGGGATTTGCAGCTGCAAATGTTATGAAGAAAAATGGATTATGTAAAAGTCATTTTTGTCAGCAAAGCGAAAAACAGATTTTTAATTTGAGTCGGGGGTATGTTTTGATTTCACGGATTTATGTTTATTTTCATTGGTTTCCGTTTCGGAGCTGTTCAACATTAAATGGATGATTGTAACAACTGTTAACCGTATACCGGAGCGAATGGAGTTAAAGCGTAACTTTGTGTTTGTCGGATGTCCTGATTATTACGCATTTACAAGGCAAATGTCAAACCTACTGGGTGGGTACTGAGCACAAGTAGCAACAACCACAGGGCGAATATAAAAAGATTTATGGTTGCGGGTTAAATACCTTGACCATCCCTCTGTTAACAAAATTCTTATAATGCGTTGTAATTGTTTGGCGTGAAATTTGTTGTGATTGTATCTGTTGTTGCACTATGTTTGTGTGTATCAGCGTTTGATTGAGCAAACCTCGGTGGCTATAATTTTATTAAAAATATGGTTCTGGGTAAAATGTAAATTTATGTTTGCCATTTGTCACGCTAGCACATTTTGAACGCCTATTCACGTTTCAGTTGATGGTTTTTAAATAAATTTTAAATAAGATTCACGGTTAAATTGAATAGACTGTGTATTGCAGAACAAAAGTAGGGCAGAACGTCCCGAACTCTGAGAAAAGGTGTTTGTTCTCATGCAATCACAACCAGGAAATTGACTAAAATTTATGGATGATTTTATAAAGGCACGTTTAAATTTTTTTTATAGACGGAATACATTTACGAATTTTCTAAAACAATTGCTTGCAACATTTTTTTTGGGTTTTCCAATCTTTAGGTCTTTTTAATTTGTTTTTCTTATTTTTTAACGTTATGTTTGTTTTAACATTTATAACCATGAGGGTCATTTTTGGACTAACTATTATTGCCCGTATATTGGCGATTTACTTGGCTTTAGAAGCGATTGAAATCAGAAGGGGGTTGCACCATTTGTTTTAAAAAATAGAAATATTGTCAATTTTTATTCGATATACCCATTAATTTCTTGTTGTCAAAAATATTTAATGTGAAAAGTCAGAATAAACAGCCGAACCGATATAGACTGCCCGTCTAAGCGTGATAATTTGTTTACAATCGATCGCGTTAAAAACGCTTCTGATTAGGTACCAGTTTTATGATTTTGGGAGGCCATTTTGAATTAATTAAACACTACTAATACTATTTTTACTGTTTTATCTATCAATTGTGCAAATGGTTTAACACTGAAAAGGAAAATTTTCCTTAGGACATATTTATACCCTTGCAGAGGTTATTAAAATTTTAGTTACAATTTTTTCAAAGCAGTATAGGATACATTTTCGTACATACATTCTTGATCAGGACCCTGTCTTTTGCTCGTTTTTTTTGGCTTCAATATATATATGCGTTTTATAGAATTCTTTTTAATTATAAATTTTTTAATTTAAATATTTTATTATCATAGTGCTAAGAAAGTTTTTTACGGTTTATGCTATACTGAAAAATATATGTCTTACTTCTCTTCTTTAAAAAGTTAAATTTTGTATGATACCCTAAGCGGACTGCAAAATTATGAATGTTATTTTTGTGTATTAAGATACATTTTTTAAATATGGGGAGAGCCGCTAAAAGATATGTAATAAGGATTCAGAATGGTTGCTAAAGCTCATAAAATGTGTTTACTATTTTAGTCACTAGGGATGAAGTTCATTTGGATAGGAACAAAAAATTGCAATGGAGGATACTCCATTATTAAAATACAGTATGGCCGCGAGCGCGCAATTAATGTCACACTTGCATAAGCAATAAGCGGTATAACTGCAATAATAAACCCATTTGGAGGAGAACTACTCGCAATATGTACATTTGTAATTATATAAATTATGCAAAGTACATATTTATATGTAATGTCGTTGTGAAAAAGCCTGACAACGCATCTTGCGGTAATTTTATTATTTATAGCATGTAATTTTACGCGCTGATTGAATTTTTGTGGATATTTAAAACTCGTTAATGGTTAATCGGAAGTGCTACCGATGGCATACTCATATGTCCACTTGAATTAAAATATACAATTTTATTACAATGCGCATTAGGCTCCGCCCCAACAAATGTATTTTGAGCAATGGCCAATCCCGTCCTAGGTTTTTTTCGTATAGACAAGCAAGGGAGCGAGATGTCAGATAGCGTCGTCGTGCCATCCCGCTTCAGTGTATGAATCTCACTCCATTCGAAATTCCATACCCGTGTTGTAGTACCCATATCCCATATCCATTCCATTCTCTCTCTTTTCGGGCCAGTTTGCCGCCCTTCAAGTGCTGCACCGCCACTGCGGCACATCGCTGTTAACCTTCGCTCGCCGAGCACCTAATTATCGCTATGAACGGCACAATTATGGCCAAATGCGATTGTTATTTATAAACAGATAAATAAATTCTTAATTAACTGCAATATCCGTTACGAGGCATTTGTCTATAATTAACTAGGGCTTTACTTAGGGGAGATGTATGGGATTTTAAGGCATACACTTACTATCTTTTAAGAATCGGTTTAACAAGTAATATTATTTAATTAATAGTTCACATATTTTTTAATGTAACAGAACTACATAACGTATACGACTTGGTTTCTAAGGGCAACCACGTCGTATACGTAATGTAGTAGGAACATTTTATTGAATTCTCATCAGTACATTCATAGATCACTTTATAAAATTTGTATTCCCTTGCAGAGGGTATTCTTATTGAAGTCGAAAGTTTGGAATGCAGAAGGATATATATATATATTCTCGATCAGCATCACAAGGAGAATCGATCTAGCCATGTCCGTCGGTCCGTTTCAAGAGCTATTTAAATGTCCCAAAATTCTTTTGCAGGTAATATTTAAGTAAGAACGAATCGGGCGACTATATCATATACCTCCCTTAAAAACAATTGGCATAATAAAAAAAATATGTATAACTTCCATTTTTTTAAACTTATACGGATATATTCCAAGATTACCAGCAATTTCAGAATTACTATTACAATTTTATAAAAATGGGACTATTAGAATATCAAATCGCTGTCATAGGAACTATCAAAAATTTTTTTTATATTAAGAATATTTAATTTTTGTAACAGCTGCCAGTGTATATAAACTTCGGCTTGCCAATATTTGTCTTCCTTTCTTGTTTTTTGCTAGTTTAACTTAATTTTTCCCATATATTATTGATATATACTTAAAAACACAAAAAAGGCCAACCTATTGACATTTAAAGTGATTACAATTCAATTATAACTACTCATTTTTTTTTCTCGCCACCCGTATTTCATTAATTTACACTTGGAAACGGGAAGAATGCAGACTCATTAATAGTTAATGCGATTTAATACACCCATCCAGCGGCTTGCGATTTGCTGGTCTATCAGGCGCACTATTAAAGACAATTATCCATCCTAGTGTTAAATCGACTCTCGCGAAATCGCAGAGCAGCCCATAATACCATAATACCAAAACACAAAAACACAGGCCCAAACCCACACGTTCGCCGAATGCGGTGGCAATGTGCTTTGGCTTTTACGTTCTGTGGAATCATGGCCGAGTCCCAAGCAGGCAAATTAACTAACAAGATTATGAAAACGTAAAATCAGTAAATCGGTAAAGTGGTTGTAATTTTCTTTTTCAACACCTCTCTCGCATTGGGCCGTTAGCCAAAGCCAGAGCCCGAGACTCGGAGTCGCAGTCGCAGTCGCAGTCGCGGGCAGAGTTGCGACTCCATGGCCAGAACCAGCTGCCGGGCGGCTGCTCTTTTGTCCGGAGCGGAGCTGAGGCAACGGCAACGGCGACTGCAAAGGCAAAGCTAAATAAAACCGACGAGATACTCCCCTGATACAGTACAAAAAATAGAGTGGGTTGAATTCATCAAAGACCACAGAAAGAAATCTATTGTGTAAAGCTTATAATGTGTATCAAACCAAAAACTATCAAAAATAAAAATCTAGTCATAAAAACTTTGAGTTTTAAGATAGAGTGGTTTGAGTTGTGGAAGTTTAACTTGTAAAAATATTTTTCAGGACAGCTATATAATTAGCCATTTGGTATTAGGCAAAAGTTTATTAAAGACTTCCATCACCGAACTCATAGCGAATAAATTTAAGAGAACTTGAAGTGATAAAATGTAATATCTCCTTAGTATTATTATTACCTTTATTCGAGTTTTTTACGACTTTAAGTTAAGGAAAGCTTTGGTAATTGAAGTTCGACTATTATGACAGTAGTAGCAAGACAATTTTATCTATTCGCGGCTATCAAATTTAAAGCAATATAAGTTATAGCTCATAAAATTACGTATACGCAAATTGCCATGGGAATGTTTTCAAATTAGGATCATGATGGAAAAGCGGAATAAACAATTATCTAATCTTTGTTAATGGGATAGGACTGATGAAAGAAACAAAGGCATGCTCTAGAGCCAAGGCCCATTTCCAGGGCTAAAACTTAAAAGCCCGTATGTATTTCTGGCAGTGCAGCCGCCGCAACCACCGGCGGGGCATTAGCTCTTCGCCCGAGCGGCGGAGTGCGGCCTGGTCAGACTGGTTTATTCGTTTAGTAAATCTCAGACTCTTTGCTTTGGCTCTCCTCGCCGCTTTGAAGTTTCGCCGTGGCGGAGAGGGAGGGAGAGGGATGATGCATGTTCGCATCGCGGTGATTGGGAGAGAGCACGGGGGCAATGATGTGAGTGATTATATTTTGATTGCATTGCTCACTGTGGTTGGTTGTACGGCCCAGGGACTGCGGACCGCGGAACAGGGTGAGGGGACCAGGGACGGGACGGGACGGCATTGCTCACTTAGTACAATAACCGGCACGTCGTCTGCCAGTCTGCTGAAACAGAAATTTTTTGTGTGCCGTGTTCTTCGTTTGTTGTCGTTTGTTTTGTTCCCGCTCTATCGCTATCTTCGCCCCAAGTTCGCTCTGGTAGTATGGCCATAGCCACAGCCAAAGCCACTACCACTCACGTACTCGTACTCGTATTCGTATTCGCATTCAGCTTTTGATGGTAATTTGCCAGGCTGAAAAGCAGGGGAAGCCTCAGTGAGAGTGCTTTTACATCCAGTAAAAGCCAGTGCTAAAGCCAGTGTCGTCGCCGGAGCTTATAACGAGCGTAGTTCTTGCGCAGAGTTTATTGCCGACAGTTGGCGCGATCTTGTTTGCCGTCGCTTCGCTATCTCGTCCAAATCGTCATGTCGTATCGCCACCGAGCCCCCAAAGGGTGTTTAGTTCCAGCGACGGCAGAAACGGCGTGTGCTCTTCCCAAATACTCGGCGGCACTCAGGCAACTAATTTAGGATATTATTAAGGGAAATACCTGCAAGAAAGTAAAATAGTATTACGCGCTTTAAAGGAGAGTGTTAGAAGCCCATTACAAGCCAGCCCCCACACAAATATGTAAAACTGTGATGTGTTAAGCAAAAGCAAACATTGTGTAATAATGCCCAGGCCCTCGCGAGAATCCTACGGCGAACAGAAGCCCCCCTATTCGTACATTTCGCTGACGGCCATGGCCATCTGGAGTTCGCCGGAGAAAATGCTGCCGCTCAGCGATATATACAAGTTTATCACGGACCGATTTCCGTACTACCGCAAGAACACCCAGCGGTGGCAGAATTCGCTGAGGCACAACCTCAGCTTCAACGACTGCTTCATAAAGGTGCCCCGACGGCCGGACAGACCCGGAAAAGGAGCCTACTGGGCCCTGCATCCGCAGGCCTTCGATATGTTCGAGAACGGCAGTCTGCTCCGGCGGAGAAAGCGCTTCAAGCTGCACAAGAACGACAAGGATCTGCTGAACGAGGAGCTCACGGCCCTAGCGAACCTCAATAGGTTCTTCTTCACCACCCGTAATGGCGGCAGTGCATCGCACATGTCGCCACTGGACATGAACAACCCGTCGATGAGGCTGGATCCTCTGCCCCGACCCACGAACCATATGCCCAACTCCCAGGGTGTGCCTCTGCCGCACGTATTGCCCGGCTCCATGTCCAGTGTGGACCACACGAACCTCTCGGACATGGGTCTCTCCAGTCTGCCCGCGCTTACCAGTTCCGAAATCGAGGGTCCGTTGAGCCTGCGACCCAAGCGATCCTTCACGATAGAGAGCCTCATTACGCCCGACAAGCCGGAGCATCCTTCGGAGGACGAGGACGACGACGATGACCGCGTGGACATCGATGTGGTGGAGTGCAGCGGGATCAGCCGGTATCCCACAACGCCCGCCTCCGAGGAGTATTTGCCCGCCAGTCGATCGAGCCGCGCCGAGGATCCCCTGCCGCCGATGCACACGATAAACGCCGGGGCCCACGTGCCCTTCCTGCACTACGCCACGGGTGCCAATGTGGCCGGGCTGCAGGCCTCGGGCATCCCCAGCAGCCCCACCACCTACGAACTGGCCATTTCGCATCCGCTCTTCATGATGGCGGCGCCCATTGCCAATATGCACAACATCTACTACAATAATGTAACCCTCGTCGCCCCGGCGCAGCAATATCGGACACCCGAGGTCCAGAATAGAATAGACAACGATATGCGTACGATATAGATAAGGCGATGCAGAACACAGAACACAAAACAGAAACCTATGTATAGCATTATTTATGAACGATATATGTATATCCATCCAAACGTAGTTCCTTTTGTATTAAGGTTAATTGTAATAGGACCAAAACATATGGTATACATTCTTAGGCGTAGAAGGCATGTAAATAAAAGCTTGTTATACAAATTTTAATAGCTTGTATTGCATATCCGTACTAGTAAATTATTTATTTTATTTGTATTAAACCTAGTGCGTAAATCGATCATTTTGTGAAGAATATAAACATTTAAATAACTAAAAAAAAGAGTGTTTTCGAATCTACAAAATGATTAATCTGGTAACTATTGATATTAAAAAAGTAAGGCTGGTTTGGTGATAAATCAATAAAGACTACAACCATTTCTCTTGATTAGAACGAATATGAAACGATGTTTGTAACGCAGTTTCAAAAGTATTTATTTTACAATTAGCGAATGTTCTAAGCAAACTTATTCTAACGAGGGATAAAGCTAGCTTCGGCAAGCTGCAGTTTTTATTAAATTTTAGTTATTGTAATTTTACTGAGAATCGCCTTTTCGTCCGTTTAGTTACGTTTTGACAAAATATATTTTCTTTAAACTGTAGTGATCAAGAACTACCAGCTTTGTCTATAATTATCACTTAAAGCTACAAAGTGATGGATAAATGAATTGGTACATGGCTGAAGATTTATACTTTCTTGAGGTGTAGAAGAGTATCTTACAAAGACCTTTACCAGGACATACTAAAAAAAATAAAAAGGACTCGATGGATTTGAATTGGCAAAACATTTTTAACGATTATTAAGTAAACATTTTCTTTAGAATTTGAATAGCTTAACACAAAAATACTTTACAACAAGAGAACAACAACACATATACATAAAGGATCGGACATTTGTAGTCTCCTGGTGAAGAGTCCCTTCCAGTATTTAAACAACTAGTTAAACAATTTGTTAAACTAAACAAAAACGAATTTGAGGGTCTTATTTTCACCGAAAATATAAAGGGGAATTTATTGAAAAAATGCGTCTCCGCATTGGCTTCTCAATGTATCACTTATACGTATGTGGCACTTGGTTAAATAATTAATCTAACTAACAAAAAGGTTTTCGAATTCACAACAAAATCGACCGTATTAAATGGTAAGAGTAAGGTTTTTATCGGGACACCATAGTGTACGATTTAGAGTGTTATATGTTAATAACTTTTACCCTGCGCCAATAATATAATTGACATATACTCTATATCCTTTATAGTCTTCTACTTTGATATAACTCAAGATATTAGTTAAAAATTGGAATAAAAACAATATTTTTGACAAAAATAAATATTTCTTGAAAGAAACAACAAGTTTATCAAATTTGACTCGTAATTCCTGTGGCAGCCGTTTTCGAACTTGATCTGCATATACTTATAAAAACTTAAACAAGCTTCTGACCAAAGTTATAATACTATTTGCAAAGTTAAAAAAAGTACAAACTGTAGTAAATTAGCTTTCGTTGTTAATGAAAATGTTGTGTCAATTAAATAATCTTTATTGACACTTCACTATTTCAGGTTGTATACATTAACTTTAATTTTGCCCATCGGTAAAACTTAAATAATAAATTCATTTATTAAATTCAAGTGATCCTTAGTGGCTAGAAACATCCGTAAGGCATCATTAACGTTTATAACGTTCTTCTAGCTGCTGTTTTATTTTATTTTAAGGTACAGGCTTGCCCTTCTTCCATTTTCTTTTCGTTTTAAGTTTACATTCCAATTTTATAACTTAAAGTAGGTTATACAAATACAAATTTATATTGACTTTAAATAGATATCTTCCTGTCTCAGTATGAAGCAATCTACGATAGACTACAAAAACTACCAGATCTCCCTTATATTGAAAAATATTGTCACTATCCCTTTTTTTTGGAGCGGGTCGGTCTTTCCTTTCTTGTTGCCATAAACACATGTCTGTATTTAACAAGCAAGACGCGTGAAATTTAAAACACTTTTAGGTTATTAACATAAAGGGAGCAATAAACGAAAACAAGGCTTAATAAATACAACAGCTGAGTTATTTGGTCACGAATACATACTCGTACATATAATCAATCGCTTGAAGGCGTTACATTTTCTTAGCCTCCTTTTGAGCCATCCTTTTAATCGTTCTTTAACTCGACGTCCGAAATTGATGTTTATCGCTAGAATAATTAGATATTATTGGTCATCCATGTATAAACACCTTGGAGTCATAAATAAAAATCATTTAGCAAAATCATCTTTTAAGAAAACAAAAGACATAAAACAACTACTTGAATCGGAAATAAAGCTTCGACATATAAAGCTATCTTATTTTTTGTTACGCGTTTATTAAGCGTAAATTTGCAGATTTCCTTTATTAAAATTGAGAAATTTAACAGAAAGCTCTTTAAGGATAATTAAATAAAATTCTAGAATATAAAAATTGTTTCTGCAATGTTATTTCAAAAATTCTTTCTTTGTAAAAGATCAGACAAAAACTCGTATGAGAAATTAACCCGCGCAAAAAATTACGAAAAAGTTAAACGATTTTTTAATTGTCTGATTCCAACATTTAAGTGTTTAGTGTTTATTATCTATGTATTTAGCCGAGTTATTCAAGCGAATCAAACCATTTTCGATTATTACTTATTACTCTGGATTAAAAACCGAGTGTTCCTGGCCTTGGTATTACCGATATCGGGGACTTGCGCGACATAGACTGGGTATTACTCCATATTTCTCAGCAACTCGCAAATAAATAATATCTACCCTAAACGTTTCTAAAAAGCTACAGAGCAATATATGTATTTACATTTTAATAATCATTATCCAAAGCAAAAGAAACCATTTGTAATGCTAAAGAAATCACAAAAATATTTTAAATTCGAAAGCTTAGATCGTAGAAATCTTTCTTGATTTTTCGATTTTGTTGTTTTTTATAAATTGTTTCTGATCAGTCGCACCTTTTTAAAGTGGTTCAGACCATGACATCTATGCATCCCTTCACTCTTTAAGTTCATATATCATTTTCCATCAAACAAAAATAAATCTTTATAGTGGTTCCGGCCCGTCGGAAAATACAAACCAGCTGTTTTACCCGCTTTAATTATATTTGCTTTAGTCAAATTAGTACAAACGGAATATTAGCGGCAACATAAAAGGTGTAGCCCAAAACTTTACTTTCAGCTCCAGCTGCGAGAAAAATTATGCTGTAATAATTAGTTACAAACATAACAATGTGCTTCATTGTAATAAATGACTTCTCGGTTTTGTCATTATTGTTTACCTAAATTTTTAGCGTGAAATTAAAAATATTTTAACATTTTGAGTAAACTTTTAAAATCTATTTTAAGGATCGACTTTTTCTGTCGACGCTTTTTATAGAATACAAGTTTATATTGTACCCTTGCAAAATAAAATTTCTTCTCAACAAATTTTAAATTTAATTTTTCTAGGTAACAAGTAGTTTAAGCAACAACAATTTTATCTAGTTAAAAGGTTTTTATACTTCCTCCTTAATCAATTATCTTTTAATATTACTACAAAAAAGATTTATAAACAAAAATTCTCCGATTCTTATTTTCTCTGTAAGAATTAGCTTACTGACCGTTCCTTCAAAATCAAGGTAGTCGAATAGAGTTGTTTTAAAAGTTATTAGTTATAGGGTAAATTTTATTTATGCAAAGCACAAATATATATTCTGTATGTTCATTTGTTTTGAAAATGAGATCATTGCTACTTAAATTTGTTTAATAAATATAAACAATTATTTAAAAAAGTGGTGAAGAACTGCTGATCAAGAATACATATATATATACTTTTAACGTCGGAAATGTCTCCTTTACTCAGTTGCAAGCCTCTGACTTAAATTATAATACCCTTTGTAAGGGTATATATATTAAAATTAAAGGTAGGCAACATATTTTGTAAAGGGGAATTGGGTACGACTATTAAAAGACGTCGATTATAGTGAAAAATGTTTTTTAAATACAGGAATCCACCGATCTGTTATCGTGTTTTTTTTACCAAACTAAAGTTGTATTCTTAATACTTTGTATTTTGGAGTCAACACAGATTCATTTGCATAATCGTTCTGGCCCCTTCAAGACATTTTGAAACCAGCTATATGAGATCAATTCAGAGTATAAAATTACAGGTACGACGAAGGGTCCGTGTTGAAATCATAAAATTCGATACACTTAATTTGCTTTCAGAACGACTTTCATGCATATATACATACTTATGAAGTTTATGTACACACCTATACCATGCCTAAAGGCTCCAACTTATTTTTATAAATAAGCCCAATAAGTGAAAATAAATTTAAGTGTATCCAAATGATTTAAGAATCAGAAATTGTATAAAACGAGTTCTTTTTCTAGAATGTTAATTGTTCAATAACATGTAGAAGCATTATTGTTTGCAAGTTTAATCTAGTGTTCCTTAAAATAATATGAATCTTACCTTCGTTGCATAGTTCATTCCCGGGTTTCTAACCATTTGAAATTAATAAAGGATCCACCGAAGACTCCCAATCTTCCAGAGTTTAAATGACTTGCCATGCTGATTGCAGTCAACGTTGGCCAAAGCCTCCATACCCCACGCAAGGGTATAAAAAGGTATGCTGGCTTAGACAGTGGCTTTAAATTATCGCCACGGGTGTTCTCCCAGTCGGGTCTTTTAACAGTCGGAAGCCTTTATAGAAATCCATTAACAAAACCATCATGTTTTTTGTTATTGCCGGTACATCAAAGGGGAATTTCAAAGGTTGTGAATACTTAGAGTGATCGGAACGAATAGTAATCGGTACTTTGTCACGAGCCCATCCGTATTTCGGCCGATTCAAATTAGTGTTGTTACGTATGTTTTGTGTGCACAAGATGCTTAATGATATTTGTAGCATTTAAGCGGATATTAATTTGTTTCTGTAAATAAAAGGGTAAAGGCATAATTATAAAAAAGCGCATAAACTACAAAGAAATACAGTTTAGGGATGCGAGAGGTTTTCGAGTACAATTACCTATTTTCTGTATATTTCTTAGTCATTTAACATTTTGCCTTTTTCTTGTGGTCAAAAGCAAAAAATGGGATTTAACAAATACACAATTTATTAGAGCTAATTTGGATTTCATTAAACTCGCATACAAACACTGCACAGTCATCGCCAGTGAAAAGGGGCACGAACTCATAAACAGTAATGATACAATAAATCAACACAGAGCGTAAAACATCACTTCCTAAAAGGATCGTCATGGTGTAGTAGGCCAACATTAACAAAATGACTGCGGTGTTTGCGATAAGGGATGCTCAATACCTTCCGATGGGGATGCCGTCGGATTTCGCAAGTCTTATGCCCACAGAGAAGGCCAGAAAATTGGCTTTATGGCCCCCGATTGCCATAGAAAGCTAATGAGCCGCAATAGCACTTGAGCACCCATCGCTATTGTATTTATTACCACAAGTGTCACGTGTCCACTTGATTGAGGTAATTTGGTCGTAGCGTTCTTTGCTATTTTTTATAAACAGTTACAAACAGCGGACGTATTTGTACGAGTTTGAATTGTAATGCAATAAAATGTTTTGCACGAATAAAATGTTTCATGGCAACTTTTTGACGGCTACGCTTAATAAAAATAATTCTGTAAAATGATTTAAAATTGGGGTCTGAAAGTTAAGATACTGGCTTCCGAATTGGGAAACATTTCGTTAACTATTTAAGTATCCACAATTTAAGTATCTTAACAGTTTAACAACCAATTGTCCGAGCTTTTCTTGATACTCTAACCAACAATGCTTATAAATCCTTAATTTTCTTCTAGATTGACCGATGCGGCATGATGAAAATGTATAAAGTAGGCTTTATCTGACTTTATTAAAGCAGTCCTAAACCGCTTTGATCGTCTGAAATTCCCATGCGATCGATCTGCTCGACTGCTAAGTCTCGGTGCAGGCATATGTTGAAGTATCTTGCCCCTCCGGCTCCGACTTATCCGTCAGTGGAGCAAAACACACGAGTTGAGTGGGCAAAGCATCGGCTAAGTAGCTTCAACACCGAAAACTAGTTTCACACACAGACTAGTTTGCACTCGAGCTCGACTCGGGTGTTGATGCTGATTAACCATATTTATACTTAAAAAATTGAAAAGGGTTTTTAAGTGCCTCGGAGAGTCTTGCCCAATTTGGAGATACCCTCTAGTGATTACACGGCATTAAAATAGGCGAGTAATTGCTGATGTCGTTGGATAGCAGTCGTATGCCATTTAATGGATCGATTAAAATTTAAGCCACGATGACAGAACTTTCCCTCTCGGTTGGCTCTCGGTTATCCCCGTATTATGGGTGTCTTTGGTATAAATTGGTATTAACTAATTCCGCAAAAGGTGCAAAGACGCAGCCGAAAAGCAAATGCTTCTAACAGCTTACTTTGTATTTAAGCACGAACTGTGCGAAAAGCACCAACCTACCAACCTACCATCGCACCATCACCATCTAAAGGTATTTCTTGATCGGCCGACCGACCGAAAGACCGGCAGAGGCAGAATACAGAATACCGCACCGCCACTCTGTCTCGCAAGTCAAAAGCGGCATTTTTAAATTGGTAGTCAGATCTCAGTTTCTCGGTTCGTAGAAAGGAGCTCGAGCCCGGGCCATTATGGCTTCCATCGAAGTGATTTTTACTGTGGCTGCTTGTGCGCGGCCTGTTTGTTAGCCTGATGTCTGAGCACACCTCTTATTATACTTACCACACCACCACGCACACCTTTGCGAATTATAAACGTCTGTGTACCGGCAACTAGCGGCTGTTCAAATTGCAAAATATACAATGCGTTCCTCCTCCTTCGTCCTACGTCCGACGTCCTCATACACACACGCAACTGGGAGAAACACCACCGAGTTTAATTTGATTTCGATTCAGCGCTTCGGCGGAGGAAGCTCGAATCTGTGGCCTGCCAGGCGGCCTAATCATTTACCCACGTCCATCCGAGATCCAGCTCCATATCTGGGGTCCAGTTTCGGGACCACGGCCAGGCCCCTCTGTCATGAATAAGGTTATGATTTAAATTCGCAGCGATGGGTGTTGTGTGAATGATATAAGCCAGGCGAAAGAGCTGACGATGTTCATTCTCACCTCGTCGACACTAACGATTGAGCCGACCGATGCCCATTTAATAGGGGCAGTAGGAAATGCGCCTCTGGGCTGCTGGGTGCACTATCCATAGCATCTGGATCCGGCTGTTTTTACATACGTTATCTGGGGATTAAAAACGACATGCAATATTATCAGTATCAGCTTATATGACCACTTTTTGTGAAGTATATAAAAGGGCTCAAAAATGATGTAAAACATTTCCGTGTCCTATTACGTTTTTACCTTCTGTAATAGAGCAATAATAATAATATATTCAACACCAACTCGAATGACTGGCGGTAATCGACAGATACAAAAAACATAATTCAAATCATGAGAGCTCTGCAGATGAATGCATAATTCATCTTTTCCTAGCATGTACAACCAAGTTTTTTATATGATTTATTAACGAAATTAAAACTGGATACAACTCAATCAACACCACAGTTTATGGTACAGATTAAAAAAATTAAAACGCGGAAGAAAAAAAGAATAAAAATAAATAAATGAAACTGCAAAATCAGTAAATAAACTTAAATACATTTACTCACAATAAATAAGTATTTATAGGCATTTTTAAAATGGAATACATGTATTACAATACATTTTAAAGTATTATAAGTAATTATTCGCAGACTATTGGAAAAAGTTCGACGATTGTCCTTTAAATCTTAATCCTTTATCTATTTAAATTAATTTATTTATGCAGAAGAAAACGGGATCTTGATAAGTTTCTGCCTAATTTATTCTAATCTTTTTTAGGGCCAGAATAAGTTTATAAATTTGATCAGTAAAATAAATTAGCCCCATAAAAACCATTTATAGCAGCAAAGTTCCAACAGGGCAGGATTCTTTAGCTTTCTTATATTGCAGGTAGAAGCATGAACACTGCACTTAAGCTTTGTCGGGAAGATTCATACGTATATTCATACGTACATACCGGGATACAAGCATACATCCTCGGGGTAAACACAACTCAACTCCTCAAATTAGTGTGTTAGCCTTCAATAAATTGGCGGCCTGTTGTGTTCAAACATTTATTTCTTACGAGTATAAAGCAATACAAAGCAGGCAAAATCCCAACACATAGGAAAAATAAATACTGACGGTTATTATCCCGACACCACCAGAGATCTTGTCTTCGCTTGGAACCTTTTCGGGACGTACAGTGTTTTAAATCGATATAATACTGCTAAATATGTTATTTGGCCTGTGAAACATTCGATGTGAATTATCCGCTTTAGCTGGTTAATATCAAATATTTAAACAATCATGTACCATAAGGTATTTTAGCATTATTGCTATTATATTCGACTTTCTACGATATCTCTTTTGATCTTCACCAAAGCAAAACTTCATTAACAAGGCGAGCAGCCATAAGACGGAAATAACTAAATTGATTTAGTTTATGGGTCGAACAGCTTTCATCTTAGCGCTGCGAATTTCGGCGTGCTAAAAAAGAGTCGACAGGAAAAGAGGAGAAAAACTTATCGATTGGTGATTACTGAGTAGTTGTTTTGACTGAAAGGTTTTACACATACAACGATTTCAACAGCTTTGCGTTAATGGCCGAGTAAATTTTTTCTCCCAGCTTTTACTGTCGATTTTGGCCATCTGTCGGACTGAATGCTGGCATCTTTGACACTAAAAAGACCGCAGAGATCGAACTCGTTTCAAATTTGTTTACCACCATCATTATGAAGATCAATAAAATGTCTTCTCAAATCATTAACAAATTGAAAATACTTTTTTTTTTCTTTACAGAGTTAGTTTTACAAGCATTTATTGTACGTACTACCTTGATCCTATGAGTTAATGAGAATTACCATACCTACACTTTGAGTTTATATTCAGTTATTGAGTTAAGGTCATAGTTTTAAATTAGATAAATTAGAAATTACTAGGAATGAGGAAACCAAAATTAAAGAACATCATAACATAAACCAAAAAGCTGGCTAATAAAACGTCAACATTAATATTTTATTGTCGCCCCGGTAAAATTAACAATAAGTTAATAATTTTCTATCTAAGGTAGTTCGTTTTAAGGGTAAAAACAAAACTCTAAATTTTTATTAAAAACAAACGAATAATAATAATAAGTAATAACAACAATACTGTTCATAATAGAGATCGTTGTAATGATACTCAAGCGCTGACTGGTGGGTGGATCTTATAAAATCTTTGTGGGTTAATTTTCTAAACATTTATCTTTTAGCTTTGGGTAATTTTTCATGTTGGGTTCTTCTAGCTTTTCTATGAACCCAAGAGACCATAATTTGCCCAATTCAAAGCCGTTTTGTCTGTGTTTTATGTTTATGTTTGTCTATCCAATTATATAAGAATATGTAAAACTATGATACACTGTAATTTTATTATTTAAACGTGCAGAAAACTTTTATTATTATTAGAGGTTTGGAAAACACTAAAGAAGATATCTGCGACCACGTAATTTATATATTCTTAATCAATAATTACCTTTACGAAGTTCGTTAAGTTTTATTACTGTATCTAATATTAGGTCTGCAGGGTTGTATAAACATCTCCATGTCTAATTAAACTTTTAAAATAAACGTTTATTTTGATGAGGATGCAAGCTAAAAAATGTAATTTACCAAAACATAAGAATTTGGACAAAAATTCTTTAAAAGCGGAATTATAATTTAAGATAATTGAGAATAGTTTTGTTAAAAAATAATTCAAAGTTTAAATAAAACGGTAATGTGTGATTTGTATTTGTAAACAAAGGCACCTTCAATTATTTGTACTGATATGTTCAACTAAGGGTGGTAAACATATATTAAAGAGCAAATACGATAGTGCCTATAATTTATTTTTCAATTTCATGCAAAAGCCAAAACAATTTAAATCATTTTATGAACGGGAGTAATGCGATGGGAAGTGAAATACGAGCGTTTCCTTTATTATTTCATGTTCTGGCACGCCCACAATTCATATAAAATAAACAGGTATTGACAAAAGCTTGCAAATCAGGGGCTCTCCCCCGGAATTGTGCTTTTACAGCACGCATGTACTATCACTAAAAATTGAAAATGGCGAAGGGAAAAAATGGGGCCTGGTTGCTGGGACAAAACGCTTTTCCGCCACGCTCCTGGTGTTATGGTGCTATATTGTATGGGTAATCGCATCGGCGATGATTGGCCAAAAACTCCCTGAGCAACCCATTCGGAAATTCGCCGTAAACAACACCTTCGCTTCCCATTGGCGCACAATTCAGACAAGGACGACCAGATGTGATACCCGTTTTGGGTAACAATACCAGACCGACAACTGCCTTCTCGCTCGGAATACTGGATAAACCACCTGGGCATGTATGAGAGAGCGCACTCTCCGATCCGGTCTCTCTTCAGTTCCATAAAACATGAAGTTTTGCTGGCCCTCGTATTAGTCTTTACGCTGCTGCCGCCGAGAAAACATCGCTCTCAAAATAATAAGGGATTGTGCGGACGGACTGGACTGACTGTGTTAAATTTTAAACTACTTCGCAATGCCACGCCCATTGAAAATGACTTACGGTGATCAGAAGCCCCCGTACTCGTACATATCATTAACGGCCATGGCCATTATACATTCGCCGCAAAGATTGCTGCCGCTCAGTGAGATATATCGATTTATTATGGAGCAGTTTCCCTATTACCGGAAAAACACCCAGAAATGGCAGAACTCGTTGCGGCACAACCTGAGTTTCAATGATTGTTTTATTAAAGTGCCACGGAATGTGACGAAGGCCGGAAAAGGATCATACTGGACCCTCCATCCCATGGCCTTCGATATGTTTGAAAATGGTAGCCTGCTGAGGAGGCGAAAGCGTTTCCGCGTCAAGCAGCTCGAAAAGGATATATCAAACTGGAAACTAGCCGCCGCCAATACAGAGATGGTCTCCCACTACCTGGACGACCAGCTAACACAGATGGCGTTTGCCGATCCAGCGAGGAGTGGTCACATGCCCAGCAACTTTGATCTCGGAAATACGTCTGCTGCCCAAATGCCCACCTATAAGGCTGTTCCTACGATCCTTTCGTCGACCATAACCCAGCTTCCGGTTCGTCCCAAGCGTGCTTTCACCATCGAGAGTCTCATGGCGCCGGAACCCACGAGTGCGGCTAGTGAGGGATTAGTGCCTATGGATTTCGGAAGTCCCGAAGCCGTCGCGTTGAAAAAGCCGCCGTTCAACTTGCCATTTAATTTTAACGAACTCGCCGCGCAGTATCACCTTTACTTTCCCAGTTTTTTGTACAACAGCCAATATGGCAATATGCCTTGCTACCATAAATCACCGCCGCTTTTTCATAACGGCCCGTTGCCCGTCTTTTGATTTTAAAAGTGTTACCCATAGTTATCCCTAGAGTTAAAAATGATATGTCTAAAACATAACTTATTAGTGGCCCCATTATAATTAGTTTATGTTATTTACTTGTGTACTCATTTTATTTAAACAAAACTGTATTGTAACCAATTGAATTTAGAAGATCTCTAAAATCAATAAAGAACTGCCTATACCGGATTTATTGTTGTCAAAGTTTGATTTATTGAGTTTGGTAGAATTCAGTGTGTAAAAATAGTAATTACCTATTTGTAAAGTCTAAACTCTGCTTGGCACTTCTCTTCTTTCACAAAGAGGTAATACCACCGTCTAACATCTAATATATTGTTTGTTTCCATAGATAATTATAGCTGGAAAACAAACTACAGGTTGTAAATAAAGAGCCCTCGATTAATTCGATTACAGGTCGAAAATAGGTCCGCAATGGTTAACTTGCCTTCCTACCTTGTTTTGCAAATCATTTGCATCTTACACATGCACACACGTATTCGAATCGCTTTTGTTTCCATTAGCTGTCAATCATCCTTACATATGTTTGACTTCAACCCTAGTTGGAATACTTGGCTCTCGTTACCATCCATCCACATACCTAGACCATTCACCTTCAGAGGAAGGAAGAGCGGGGCCGGTCGATACGGCGCGAAATGTAGTTTGTTATGTCTTACAAGAAAGGAAGGCTGCCTTCGGAAGCCGAATTTCGAAATGCCCTAGGAAAGCGAGTGCGTTATAACAGAAATAATAGCAAATGTTAAGTTTTATTTTTTAATATTAAAAAAAATATATAAAAAAGCTGGTCCAAAGCCTAGTTTTGGGAACTCCATAAATAATTATCCAGGTTTCTTGGATCTTGCGAATTGCTGCAGTAGCTTCGCTCGGAAACGTAAGTATTCTTTCTAAATTTATTAATTTGTTTTTGATTTTATGACAAAGACTTTACCCAATGATTGGGAGCAAAATATCTTTAGAATAAACGGAAAGTATCTCTAAAGTTAACAAAGTATTTCGAACTTACAAGGTCCGATCATTACAAGGTAGCTGCTTAATATCCATCTGGACGTTTAATATTAAACCCGGTTTATGTAAGCGCATAATTTCTTTCCACATAGTAAGTTATTTAAATCGTAGAGGATTTTACATTTTTATAGCAAATTCACTATAAAATGTATTAAACCCAAGGCAGTATGCTAATTATTACATGGTTATTAATTACATAGAATGATGTAATTTACGCACCTCATCCTGAATGCAGATATCTGGAATTGCAACTCCTTTAATTTCAGGTGGAGTCTATTTAAAGCCTACTTGCATACTATCCTTATTATCCGTAAGAATCCAATATGTACATATTTAAGTATATGTTTACATTAGTTTATATGTAATCTTCAAATCTCAAGGCCAGAATCTTCATATGTACAGGCTTATATACATATGTAGGTACATCGGTAGGGCTGAAAAGTTTGATAAAGCATTTATATATTAGAGTTTCCTTATAATTAACTAAATTTATAGATAACTAATCATAAATCTCTATAAAACATGTTGTTAACATACAAACTTACAAACATACATACATACATATGTATATACAACAGCGCTTACCACGGGTTTTGGGAGATCCGTATATTTAATTATTTCTTTCTGGATTCGGTCGGATTTACGGTGAACGCAGGGCCGACATTATTTCTGGATAGTATTGTACTGTTAATAGGTCAGCGTTTATATTGACTTTATTGTAAAACATGTATATTTATTTAAGCAATATGAAATTTCAGAAAGGACAGATCCTCCTTTTTTGCAGACGCTTCGAAACTTATCGATAGTCGATAGGCAACCGAAAGGAAAAAGTTTGATTACTCTTAAATATTCTATTAAATCATTCAGTTGGATTTTAAAAAGCAAATTGTAAATCAAACCGGAAATCTAAAGCTGTATTTACAATTTCAAACTGAAATACTTAAGAGATATCAATTATTTTCGTTCTAAGAACTAATTTTAAAATTCGGATCTTAAAATCCCTAAAGTTTCGCTGCTATATTCATTGTAAATGTTAATTCCATTTTTTGTTATAATTTAATAATTATTAAAGTTAAATTAGCAATTGTGGCATGGAATACTGATATTAAATAAAAGCTTTCTGAAGACAATAAAAAATAAATAACATTAGAAAGGACTATTTAATAGTATATTCAAAAGTATTTAGAAATTAGAAATAAGATTATAAAAAACGTGGTTGTTTTTCATATAATTCCTGAAAATACATCAAACTTTAATTATAAACCTTATTAAGTTACATTTAAAAATACCATTTAGTAATGAAAAATATCATAGAAATATTCCCATAACTTATTTTAGACCTCCAAAGAAATAATCTTGAGGAATCCAATAAGATTTAACTAGTTTCGATAAAGTCGTTTAATTAAAAATAAATAACAAAGGACAAGTTTTAGTGTCCTTTTTATTTTAATATTAATATGTTTATTCATTAATATATCAATAAAAATGATTATATAAAATAATTTCTTCCGTTCCGATTTCATTCCGTTCCAGGAAAATATACTGTCGATTTACCGGCATTTATTTTCGCCCTGAGCTCGGTCACACTTAAAATACCGAAAGTGCCGTTGATTTTTAGGGCGTTTTAGCCACCTTACTTCTTTGTGGTTGTTTGCCTATCTACATTGCCATTTTGTAAATGTGAGTGTACCAAATTTCAGTAAGACAATTTAGCCATTAGACGTTCGAATATGTTGAATCTTGTGTGCGAAATCAAAATGTAATGTTTATCTCGTCACTCCGTCGCATAGCCCATTGACAATTTGCAAACCCAGAAAGTTATAGCTGAAGTCTGAGCCCGTAACTGCACTCCGTTAGTCCTTTGTTGATGGTAATCGCGCATTAGAAAAGAAATCCATAGCATTCCGTTGAGGCATTGTTCGAGGCACAGAGCTACGAGCATGTTCAGTATCAGCGAGCTCTGTTGCATGTTTTGCTGCCCCCCATGTCCGGGTCCAATCGCGGCCAAGTTGGCCTTCCAGCCTCCGGAACCCACGTACAAACTGACTCCGGCGGATGATACCAACATCCGGTACAACCTGCAGTTGTTCGATCGGGCCGAATGGCAGTATTCTGAACGGGAAAAATCGAAAGTGGAGGCCTTCTTCACGCGCACATCGCGTGGCAACCTGATCACCTGCATCTATGTGAGGTGCAGCAAGAACGCCAAGTACACGCTGCTCTTCTCGCACGGAAATGCCGTCGATTTGGGCCAGATGAGCAGTTTCTACTTGACCCTCGGCTCTCAGATCAACTGTAACATCTTTGGGTATGACTACTCCGGGTACGGGATGAGTGGTGGCAAGCCCTCGGAGAAAAATCTGTATGCGGACATAGAGGCAGCCTGGCAGGCGATGAGAACCAGGTAAGTGCACGAACTTACCTTTTCAATATTTCTTTTTGTGACCCATATATATCCTCAGGTTCAACATAAGTCCCGAGACAATCATCTTATACGGACAGAGCATTGGCACTGTGCCCACTGTGGATCTGGCCTCGCGTCACGAAGTGGGAGCTGTGATACTCCACTCGCCGCTCATGTCTGGCCTTAGAGTCGTCTTTAGGAAGACAAAGAGAACCTGGTTCTTCGACGCCTTTCCCAGGTAAGTTAATTCGTTAATTTGCGATCACCCCCATTTGATCTTATCGGATTTCCCCGCAGCATTGATAAGGTGGCTAAGGTGAAGGCTCCGGTTCTGGTTATTCACGGCACCGACGATGAGGTCATTGACTTTTCCCATGGCATCGGAATCTACGAGCGGTGTCCTAAGACTGTCGAGCCGTTTTGGGTGGAGGTAATCACCTGTATTTATCTATTCTTGATTGATTACCTGCTTAGAGCAGGTTATTGCATTCGTTATTCAGCTTTATAACGAACATAATGATCGTTATTAATTATAATAGTCTAGCATTGCCACTGAAATCGGTAGAGCGTCTCGTAGCAAGTTCAAAGCTTTGCATAAACATTGACAATAGCAATAAGATATCATATTGAAATATTAAACTTTATTTGGAGTTACAGTTATGGGATCTTATTACTATATTAAACATTACCCTAGAACATTATTTATTTTGAAATGAATTTAATTCACTCGTAATTCCTATTTTCAGGGAGCCGGACATAATGATGTTGAACTGCATCCGCAGTATTATGAGCGACTGCGCAAATTTCTTTCGGTGGAGCTCGTCAAATGACAATTAAAGAATAATGTCGACGGAGGCGTTAGTGACACTACATCGGGTATAATATCTAATTCAAACCCAGCGGCAGGTAGTGCGTCCCTAAGTTCAAAACACCCGAATCCTGCCCCCGCTGCAGGAAGCGAAACAAGTAAAAAAAACGTGGAAGCAAATAACAAACGGAGTGAAAACGATGGTTTGTAATTAATCATAAACATTGCAATGTAATTATTTATCTAGCTCACATCAATACATTCGAGAATTGCATTTTTACAAAGATTATATATATATAACTAGTTGTCAGGAGTTTTGCACCAAGATCCCCATATTTACAGCATTGTGATCCTGGTCCCCGTATTAATTTAATAAGTATAGGTCATATCATCTAATAATTTAAATTATTGGTAGAAAAATCAAACAAGTAACCGCAATGGGTTCGAGTATGAACAATTAGCAAAATGCTCCAATAATATGGTTTTAATATGTAATGACAAAAAGTTTGAATAAAGCAATTTTTTGATACTTTGAAAGTGAACCGTTTTATATTGCTACTGTTATTAAAACAACGTTATAATTTGGCTTCATCGCTTTTAGAAAGAATAAATGAACTTCTTTTACGATTCATAATTTAATACTTTTTCTCTAAATGCACCGCAGTTACTGAGTATATCTAATGTGTGTGTTCGGTCTTTTTACAGGTGCCTCAAATTCCAGCCAGAGTTCTACTAAAGCTCTCGAGCAGAAGTTTCTTTAGCAAAAACAGTCGGGCTCGTATTCAAAAGCCCAACCCTTCTCGCCACAGTTCTCAAACAGTGAATTATCAAGTAAACCGTGCGGAAACAGACAAAATAAACAAAATAGGAAAGACGACCCACCATTAACCGAAATGAAGTCAAACGGCTTTTTTGTTTCTCGATTAAAACAACCAAATATTGCTCCAACTCTTCCAGTACTCTCTCCACATTCACCAATGAATGCTAATATATATCTAAATAGCCAGCATACCCAACTTTCCGGTCGATATTTAAATAACAAAGTTTCCCAGCAAATTGATGCTGATAGTATAAAAAGAGTGGCATCTAACAGATCTCTGAAGGACAGTCAAAACGTCTTATCAATTTCATCAACGATAACATGCAATTGTGAGAAATCCCACAAATCCAATGGTTCAGACTCGGAAACAAACGAAGAAAGCAAAATCAAATTAAAATCAGATACTGGCAACAAGCTCGCTAGCATTAGTAAATTCAAAGACCCTAAACAGTCTATAACAACGGAAAAAAACAACGCTTTAGATGATTCAACCAAGGGGTGCTTGCAATTGAAAACTGCGCTTGGAAAGGATAAAAGAGCCTTGTCTCCGAGACTGACATTGCATAAAAGTGGCTTTCAACAGGCCATCATAATTTCAGACGAAAGCGAAATCACAAAATCGCCGCGACTAGCTTCCCAAAAAACAGGGCAACTCTCCAGTAATTCAGACAATCAATTTTATCGTCAGCTTAACCACAAAATAAGCAAATCGGAGCAAACTTCCCCCAACAACGTGGAGATAGACAAAGCCAATTTTCTTTATGATACGAACAATAGGAGTACGGGTTGTTTGGTCTATCCTTCGGATCCATGGATAAAGAATTCGCACATTAAAAATCGCCTATCCCCCAAAGCTGAAAAGTATTTAAATATGCATCACAACATAGATCCTTGGGTCAAGAGACAAACTAGTGTCCCTGTAGAAGTGTCACGGCTTCCCAAAAAAAATATCTATCGCGAAAAATCTCTCTCTTCCATAAACACTAAACTAGTTGCAACACGAACTGAGAAGGCAAAGTGTGTAAAACCACAATTAAAGCATTCTAAAACAGAGCTGGATGATGATCAAGTATTTTTAAACGAGCCAGGTCTGCTTTTTGCGCCATTTTCGCCACAATATCGTAATACATCGCATAAAATTTGGTCGCTCGACCAACCATCTAACGATCTAAAAGGAAACATTCAGAGCAAGTCTGCTAGTTTTTTACCCGATAAAGTAAAGGAGCTCTCCAGTCCATTGCCTAACCATGTTAGAAAATCTGTGTATCAAAATAATAGTAATTTGCTTTGTCCAAATGACCAAGCGAGATCACTGCTTCAAGTAGAACAATTGCATTCTAGACACAGCTCTATATCGATTCCCGCTCAGTCCAAGGAGGAACTTCCTCTGAACATCCGTCGACTGTCTGAGCAGATTCGTGAGCCGCCTTTAGAGAAAAACATTTCTATGTCTCTCAGCGATCGTAACGTTAGTAAAATTCCGCCTTCCGATGGCGTGGGTGAGACTCGTTTGGTTGGCCCCCACAAGACGAATAAACTCCAAGTGAGTCGGGATGCCGCAGTGCAGAGTGCAAGCCACCTGGAGGACTTCATCTCCGGGAAACGAGCCCCCAAAGATTCCACAACTGTTAATAATGTAAACCCCTTTACGAGTACTTATAAGCCTGACCCACTTCTAGAAACCACCTGTTAAATCCATTCGCTAGGAAGCCGAAAGCCGATATTAATGTGTCTCTGCATAGCTCATTCATAGGTCATGAAATTATACAAAATATAAAACCACAAAAACATTACATATATGTCTTATATATCAATCGAATCTAAATATGAATAATAAAAAAGTAATAAAAACTATTTTTAGTAGTAATTTAAGTTTGAAATTTTTACAGTGATTTTGCATTTATATTAAGTAACACGATAATGCCCTGCCAACAATTGGGCTATGTTCTAGGCTTAACTACATTCACAAGCATATATATGTGTGTAATAGTGTATTTTTTCCTCATTTTATTGTCATTTTACATATTTGTTGTAATACATTTTTTTAGTAATAAAATCTTTATAAAGAGCTAAGTAAAGAATCTAATACCTGTTCTTTGGCTTCTCTTGGGGTGTTTTCTAAAAAAAAATTTTAAAGAGCTACCGAATGCGGTTTATGATTTGTATTCCACTTGGGATACCGCATAAATAAACAATACTTTCACTAAAGTTTGTGTGCATTGCATAATCGCAACAAAAACAGATATTTGTATACCCTACCACAGAGTATTTCGATTTTGAATAGCACAGAAGACAGTCGCGATTTTATGAACATATTAATTCCAGGGATTGTAAAAGTTAGAGCACCCAACTAAAGTGCGTAAAATTTGGGTAGGCCCACGCAAAAAACGTTGACACCTTAATTACCCTCAATTTGCCTTTCACCAAAACAAATAAATAAATAAATTAAGCTTGCTTTGGATTAAGCCCATAGTTGGGATTAATGGATATGATCCAAGTATTTACGTAATGTGGAATCCATATAAAGTCAGTATGCACAGCGAATAAGAGACAGTTGTTGATTGTCTTTTGAGAAATACATTTATCACATTTTTAAAAAATGTTTGGGCTAAGAGTGATTTTAGCATCGACTATAATCTTATTCGGGATTATCCATGGAGAGTGTGCTGCAGTAAAACAAAGCATTGAGTTACCATCAACAGATGATGTATTAAAAAAATCACTTATTGAAGCTCAATCGATTGGGAGAATTGTAAACCGCATTAATCACAAAGTAATTGATCAGAACACAGTGCCACCAGCAAGTTATATAGGCGATATTACTCGCACATCGAACGTTGACCAGGGATATCCCTGTCCTCCTCCATCTGATATACCTCAAATTAATAGCTTTCAAGAATCTAAAATCAATGAAAACCCATCAGTGGCGGAGTTCGGATCGTACATAAAGACTCAATCAACACATTCTACTGATTTTCAATTGCAAATTCCGAGCCCACAACCAACTCAGCACATTCATTACCATTATATCGTTCCCAATACTTCTCCAAAGCCGATAATAAATTATGTATATCATTCTGACTCCAACGCCTACAATGTAAATTCGGAAAACCAACAATATTCGTCTGTTGTCTCACAGCCATCCCATATCAATGGAAATAATCTACATTATATCAATCAAGATAAGCCCCAAGTCAACCCATTGTATTCAGCTGTGGACAACAGTGGATACCTTTACGATTCCCCGGACGAACACCAGGGTCAAGCTTCTGAAAACACATCGGTTTACGAAGCGTTAAGCGAACCAGGTGAAGTTTTGAAAGAGCAAGATCCTATACTGAAAACCAATATTCCGGAAGTACCACAAACCCAGCATGTGCAAGCTGCAGTAAACCCAAAAAAACCGGAAGTGTACTTTATTATCACCACAACCCGTTCTCCTGATTCACAGAAATTAAACGAATCCGTAAATGAGATTTCAGACGGCAGTGGCTTAATAGATATTAGGGCAGGTATTAATGAAATTTTGGATAGTCAAGTAGAGGATGCCAAGCCCTATAACGAACATTCAGCCTACAACGTTCCGCTGAATTAACATATCCTTAAAGATTCGCTAATAAAGAATGTAAATTATTAAAATCTAATAAAATAAACATAATTTATAAAGAGATATTTAAGGTCCTGATTCCTCATTCTTATTAGCTTTTAACTGTTCCTGCTGCGTTGAAAGTTTGACAAAGGAATTCTCCAACTGATTCCAATGGTCGATGTTTATGCAAGGTACATTTAAGGGAGGAACCACTGAAAGGTCTCCTGCTTTAAGGACCTCCGTTTTGTCAGCATATATCTTAGAGAACTCATCTGAGTAGATATATTGGGGTTGTGGCAGTCTCTTAACTTCGTTCTAATAAACAATGTTTTCTATAACGAAATATAAGTAATATTTTAAGGTAAAAATAAATACCTCCTTTGAGATTCCCAGGAACTGAGTTAATGGATGATAGCTCATGAATTCATAAGTAGAATTGACGGTGGGTAAAAAGAACCCTTTCACACAATATTGATAGTTGTCTGGAATGTCGATCACTCCCCCCACTGGCGAACTCATTGTTCTATAGGCAACTGGTGAGTTCCTAAGACTATCTATGTATTCCTCGGCTGCTATCAAATCGACATTACTTTCCTTACTTTGCTCAACATTTTGAGTGGGATCTGAAGCTTGGCTCATCTGCAAGGTATAAATTGAATATTAAACAGGATCTTATAAATAACTCACCATTTTATTCAATGAATTCTTGCTCTCCTCCAACACTTCCAAAATAAACAAATGACTCTCCTCGTCATCTGACTTTTCGTCCTTAAATAAACCGTTTTCATGAAGTGGCGCAAATGCGAGCACTAAATCGTTGTGGATGTTCTTGTCCTGGCCACCGTGAAGTCGACATGTTGAACTAGAATCCTTAAATAATAAATTAAATAATTATTTTTATGTGTAAAAGGTTATGACGCTTTCATATTTACTTCACAGTTGCACTCAATTTCATCATCTGAATTGGAAGTAACACACCAATCCGAGGAAGCCTCGATTATGTCTTTGGCCTTTGGTCGAAATAATGTACACCAACATGCAAAAGGAAATATAATAAAGAAGAAACAGTTGATTAAAAATACTCTTATCCCAGAAGTGCATTCATATGTCCTTCCAGGTTGGATTGTGTCGAATCCACAACGACCTATTGATTGAATACATATTCCAAGAATCGCTTTTAAGACACCTGGGAGAAAAAACTATAATTTTGTATCCATATCGTTATACCTTGTGATAGTTTTACCCAATATAAATAGTAAAGTCAAAATTAGCAATGCAATGGCCAAAATTTGGCAACCAAGATTGCATGTGGTGTCCTCGATGCGTTCGTTCGAAATGTCCTTAATGCACACATCATTTTTTTCATTACCAGGAGGACAATTGTAGATTAAACCAGCCTCTTTTTCCGACTTCGGGTCCATTCTTTCACAAGCATTGTAGTTAATAAAAGTTTCCAGTTTTCCAATGCAGTGGCATCGACATCGCCAAACACAAAAGCACCTGGAGTTGCATTTAATGTCCATCGATCTCTTTGCAACAATTCCAACTTTTAGGTCATTATTTTTCGGCAAATCCATTTCATCAAATTCTTTGAATTGGTTTGCTTTAACCAGTACTATAAGTAAATCAACAAATATAATTAAACTTGGTCCAAGTACATAAGATACTACCTTGACCTTACCATCACAACTAAATTTATTGTTTTTCCTTGAGCCTGTAATTAAAGGCAGTAAAAATGTGACGGTTTGGCCGATATCAGGTTGCAATAATTTCCTGACACTAGTTTTAATTGAGGGACTTTTGGATAGTTCACAATTGCAAACATATATGGTAAATTCCTGTGCCTCAAATCCTTTGTTGATAACATCGATCGAGATTTGAAGCGCATCTTTTGTCGTGGCGTCGGTAACAATTCTCGATATTTTAACCATATGCTTATTTCGGATAACAAGGGCATTTTCTCGAAAAGGGATCTTAAGCTTTATACTAAACTCTATTAAAACAAAATTAAAAAAATAGTTACTATATTTTAAGCAAAGTTCTTAAGTAAAGACAAATTTAAAATTAATTAAAAATGTTTTTTTAATCAAATATTTTTTGAAACGTCACCTGGTACTTTTTCTTCCCGAATATTTAAGCATAGATGTTTGTCTTTATGAGGACAATTTTCCAAAGCATTCATGGAGACTGGAAAATACCCCAAACCATCTATGCTTCTAGTTATGAAGACCGATTTTTTTCCATCTTTTTCCTTGTTCAAATTAATGGAGTTCTTTATTTCACGAATTGATATGTTCTTACTCGAAGTGTCAATCAGAAAACTATTAGCAATGTTGTTCTGCAATTCTTTTAAAGTATTCAAATGTCGTTTTTTATCATTTGCTCTAGGAATTACAAGTTTTTGGTTTGAAAAGCTTAGGGATTTTTCCAAGCGAATCATATCGACATGAGAAGTGAATACAGCTGACAAATCTTTATTTGCGTATATTCCTGACATACTATCAAGTCTAAAAAAGAAAAGTCAATTAAGTAAATAATAGTTCTTAGTAACACATAATTACGTAATTATTGGGACCACCCTCCACCAAGTATTATGGCGCCTTCTAAACACACGTAGCTTAGTCGTTAAAAACGGAAGAGGATCTTTCATATTAAAAACAGTATAGTTTATGTCGTCCGTTGCACTAAAGGTAAACAATTGTCAAAGGCAAAATAATAAATATGACTCTTAAAAATACAATTTTAATTGTTTGCTAATAATACCTTTTATTTAAAGCTCTGGATGACTTAGATGATTCACAATTGCAGACGCTTGGATTAGTTAAACAGCCACAGGATTGAGATTCGAGATTTCCTTCAGTACATTTATTGGTTCCCCTGCACTTTTCACATGGAATCATATAATCTTGTCGCCTTGGTTCTTTGTTTTCAGGTTTGGAGGACTTAATTTCAGATGGAAAACCACCAGGCAAGGGTTTTTCCCCAGGCTTTTTATTCTTACCTCCACACGTATCGCATGGGACAGGATCATTAATTTTTAAGTCAGCATCCTCAATTTTACTCCTAGGATTTTCGGATTCTTCCGAAACACTGCTATAAATGGTTCGGGGCTTTTCGTCTTTCTTTTTATTTTTCCCACCACAAGTGTCGCATGGAAATTCTCCATTATCCTCAATGCTTTTCAAATTTAACATTTTTAAAGCATTAAGGTCGTTTTTATACTTTTGATGAAATCGAGAACTTTCATGTTCGGCTATATTTTTTGATTCACTCTTACTTCGTTTTATTCTTTTTACACTTCGCGGTCTGTAATAATTGGTTTTTGGGAAGGTTGAAAACGGTTTTATCGTTTGGGTATGGTATAAATCATCTGAATATTTTTTATTTGCGAAATCATATCCATTGGATAGACTATTGCCAAGATCATACGGATTTTCTGCTTTAAAATTTAAATAGTTTGAATTTATTCCACGTGAATAACCATTTACATCTGGCGAAAAATATTTTGAATTCAAATCATTTTGGCTCACAAAATCAAAATTAGCTATAATTTCAATTGTACATTTTTATATACGATAATTTAATATAAAATAATTTCAACTCACTTGGCAGTTTTTGTTTCATATGGTGGTTTACAATAGAAAAGAGGCTATCGGTTCCAGCATTTGTTTGGGCCCACGAAAAGTCATTAAAATTGCTTACCGGTACATTTGAATATTCCGATTTTCTTTCAAGTGGAAATTCATTGTTTCTGTACAGAGGTTTATTATAATTCAGTTTTTCTTTATCACTTTCGAAATCATTAACATTAGATATACTATTGTCAAGGTTGTTCATCTTTTCCGGCTTAAAATTTAAGTTAGTTTTATGCAATTCATTTGAAAATCCATTTACATCGGAAAAACTATATTTTTTATTTTCCCCTCCACGTGGAAAATCTTTGACACTGGATTTATAATTAACTGGTCCCCCAAAAATAAAATTATCCTTTTTGCTTTTCTGTGAATATTCATAAGAATCTGGCACATTAAACTTATTTTGTTCATTGTCCCTTTCATGAGAAAAATCATTTACCAAAGGCTTGATATTAAAGTTCTTACTTGCTTCTGAAAAATCATTTACATTGATAGGATCATTATTCGGTGACGTAAACAATTTATTTTCATTTTTACTTTCAAGGGTAAAATCATATTCATTTGATTGACCTTTAACATGTGTCATTAAATTATTTTTTTCGTTTTCCTTTTTTTGCGGAAAATAATTATTATTGAAGTCCTCATATTCATGTTTATGTAAAAAGTCACTTGTATCGGAAAGACTATTAGTAGATGACTTCAAATGAATATCTTCATAATTTTTTCCAAATGAAAAATCATTCCCAGGTGATTTAAATTCATGTTCCATTTTTTCCTGCACATGTTTCTTTTTTTCAGCCTCTGACATCTGATCATATCTAATTATAAACAAATTTGTATATTTTCATCTTTACAACAAAATTAAAACTTACAAAAGAAAATCGGGTACAGATTCAAACTCGGAGTTTTTGTGAGGTTTATATTCTTCTTCCCTATGTTGATCCTTTTGGTTTTTTATATCCTGAGTTACGTAAAAGAACAAATTTAAATGTTGTATTGAAAACTATTAGATTCTTTAATGTACCTTATTAAAAAATCGTATTTCATTGTCGTCTAAGGCGTTATTCTTTAAATCTTCATTTTGTTCGCTTTCAATTTGATTATTCCCCAATCGATCATCGAATTTCATGTCCTGATCATAGCTTTGATGCGACTTAATTATTTTTCCCTGCCTATCATATTCGTTACCTATATCTTTATTTAAATGCGAAAACTGTATAGGGGTTTCCAAGTGGCCTGCAACAGAAGATATTTAAAACAACATAATCAAACCTTAAAAAAATATAATTACTTTTTTTAAACATTGGATCCATAACTTGAATTAGTCCTAGGCTCGAAATGTCCTTTGGAGGTTGATTATTAACTTTCTTCTCACTATTCCAAACTTGTCTTGGTTTATCGTGCTTTTCGTTAACGAGAAAGTGTGATACTATTGATTTTCCCCTGGAATAGCCTAGGCGGTTATTCCTTTTTACTAAAATAAAATTTAGATTATAAAAGCCCAAAAAAGCATTTGGTGACTCACATCTTGATTTATTTCCCATTTCTTGTTCTACGAAATTTTGTTCAAGGTGGCAAGATGCGGAACCATCAGTATCCTTATTATCAGTTACTTCTTCTAAGGGCTTCTTTCTGATTTCATCATGATTTATTGCCTAAGATCAAAGAGATATATTACTCTCATATGAAACGTTAGAAACTTTGCATTTTACAGACTTTTAAAAACTGAAGGGGGTACATAACAACAGGCTCGCCTCTGCTGACGACTATTAAATATGGAGATATTATTTTTGAAATCGTTCCTTTAGATGGTTCATAAACTTTATCGACTACCCAAAACTTATCCGCATTATCCACGTCGAAGCTTGGATTCATATGAATATTTATAATCAACTGCGTCTCGCATGATTGGTTTGAGCTACTTTTAGGACATTTGATTAGAATCGCATTCATATTATCGGGTATATTCAATTCTTTTTCACTTATAGCTAAAGCAATCAATAGATAATTGATAATTCCATATATTGAAATAAGAGCTGTTTGCTTTCTCATTTTATTAAAATTTGTATTTATTCCTTTTTTTTGAAAATTATTTAGCAGGCCAACTTGATTTGATGAGATCCCAAATAGTCTTACGATTTAAATATAAACCAACAGTTTATTAACAGTATATTTATTGAAAATATACATTTTACATCTCAAATTAAAACAATACTAATAGGTAAGTCTCTAAAGCTACAATATTTAAACTGTATTCGGATCGTAGACAAAGTAAATATTCGAAGGTGACGATCAAATAATATTTAAAGCACATTGCAGGTTTTTTGTATATTGATCATAGATCCCGATGGACATTTGAAAACTTCAGTCGCACTTCCACCCTGGGCAACGAGCCAACCCAATCTGAATAGTATAAAATATATATAGAATATTAAATATTAAGAGGTATATTTTATAAACTCACATATTATCAAACTCGGGAGCGTTTGTATCGATGCCCAGGTAGTTCGATTCAGCACAAAGCTCCTGAGCGGAAACTAAAAAGAAGATTTGGGTCGGCGTTAAATTAAGGCCAGGTAGTCTGGCCATTCCTTTAATAGGACCAGTTAACGAAAGCATTGAGTGGTATGAAATCTGCATTCCTCCTGAATGTATCAGAATATCCATTCGGCTATAGTTCGAGAATATATTTACAGAATGCGGAACACAACGCATTGCCTTTTCGTCGAACGATTTTGTGATGGATCGCAAAATCTCTTTTGCAATGGAAACACCAACAGAAGCATAATGCAAATATGGAGGCAACACAGTATTAAAATACGGTATGAGTATGACAGATAATGGGACAACTGCAAATATTTACGTAAATATTATAGTATACAGTGAGTGGTACTTCTAATTAATACAGACCGATTGAGTGGCTCAACGTATCATAAAATATGGTTGACACAATGGGGTATGCCCAACTGTAATAAAGAAAAGGAGTAAAAACTTGGATATTATTATAAAGTGAATAATACACATACGCATCGTGGGATCCTCCGTTCAAGCTTATATCATTTGCTTCCATTTTGTTCTTCTTGTATATCTCTAAAATGTTTTGAAACCAGCATTCTGCGGTTATGTCCAAAGTTTGAAGAGTCTTTAATAAATCCGTTGTGTTTGAGAATCCCTCCCAGGTCTGTGACTGGATCTTTAATGCTGATAGTTTGACTAGAGCAGCTCCTTTCAACGAAGGCGCTCTCTTTAAATGTGCTTTTAGAGATTTAAAAATTATCTCAGCCTGAAATATTCAAGGGATTAGTCCTTAAACCTAGCATATTATCATAGCATACTCACTCGTTTGGTTGTGTCCTTTAAATCTTCGGAGGAGTGTTGAGCAATATATAAGGACGATGACAGTTCGGGTAAAGCCCACATTGTAGATCGCGTGCACACCTCGGGACTTGGATGATCCCTGGGCAATATTTCTAAAGCGCTCAGCAATAGCAGTGAATTGTGTGCAACTCTAGTTGGGTACTTTGTAAGAAAATATTCTAAGGCTTTTAGATAATCACTATTCCTAACAACGATGGGTCCACTCCAGTTCTGTGGGATTAACAGTGTCCAATTTAGCTGGAATAAATAATATATTATTATTTTCGGATAACCTATATTTATTAAGATACTTACAACTGGGTACAAGTCTTGTAGACTGGATACATTATATAATACAGTACTATCCCAAAATCCTCGGCGAGAGTGCTCGACTTGAAGCTGAAAAATAGGACCTTTCGTTTTTGTCCTTCATGAATTAGTTATATTAAACTTACCTTGTTTAGGTCCTTAATGAATTCAAAAATAGTATCCTTCTCAGATACTCTTTGAGCGTATGACACAAAATACGGTAGAAAATTTTCAATTAAATCGGCTAACAGTTTTGGTAGCCCTTGTCGAATACGACTGGGCGGTGCTTTGGGGCTCATCCAACGTATTTTACGCTAAATACATTTTCAATAATATATTTATGTTTAATATATTCTCCATTACAGTGGTTAAACATACCTCAAGAATAGTTGACGATGTGCTGGGTCCACTGATAATTAGAAGAATGTGCGGCCTTCTTCCGTAGCTTAGATCATAATATAAGTCTACTAATGGGCTAGGACCGAGATCATAAATCTTTGCTATCAAAGGTGCTATAGTCGAAGGTCCCACGGAGCCAACAGGTAGATATCCGCCCAAGGAATCGAATATCCTGTGCATAATAGTTGAGTTAGTTGTTTGCTGCAGGCAGCTTTCGTACAAATTGTGCAATACATTAAAGCTGTCGTTCATTATCTTGTTCTGAAAAAGATCTGCAAAAAAAATAATTTTTAATAGCATGTATACAAGTGTGGGATGAGAAATCTTACACAGCATTTGTGAATCAACGCTTTTCTGGGAGTTTCCCATTTCAATGAGGTTTGTTATATTTTTATTTCGGGTGTTGCGCCAACAACTGAACTTCTTGAACTCCGTGCACGGGTCCTTGTTCCAATTGAGCCTGGCTTGAATGCTGGAGGCCACCGCTTCGCAAATGGGATCCGTGCACTCCGGCGGGGTTGAGACGGCGGGCGAGCACCGATCTCCGTCCATGTAGCAATCTCTCGGGAGAGGTGAGGGTGCCGTGCTTATCAAGAATAGAATGGGCGATGCCACCAGTAATGTGGTCACCAATAATGTGGCCGAGGTGATGGCCATTTTGTGCACCGCTGCCGATGTTCGCAGCCAAATGCATGGTGCGCAGCATATCCATCCAATGATGCTGTTCTACAATTGAAAACATACTCCATCATTTATTTTTTTAACAATAAAGTATTATAAAGTTTTTGTTATAGTAAAATAAATGTTGGTTTCCCAATAATTCTGATCCAGTTTAATAGTATTGACTTATTATTTGAAGCTATCAAGAAACTTTTGCAATGATCTGAATTTAATTGCTCATACGCAGTGTTGCCAATCAATCTAGATTTATAGTTTTAGTAAAAAAATGTTGCTTTTCCAATAATTCGGGTATAATAATATATTATTGAAATTATCAAGAAACTTTTGTAAAGATCTTAATTTAATGGAAGGAATACATAAATAGCTCATACGCAGTGTGGCCTGTCAATTATGTGAATTTTCAATTGAATTGGTTTTAAAATGGTTTAAAATATTTGCGTCACCTTAAAGTATAATTGTAAATATAAATTTGTCGTTATAAAATATAAATCTTAAATTATCATTTTAATCTAGAAGACTATACAACTAGGAAACTACTTATGTACCTTATTATATCGGGTATTGAAGTTTTCGATGTTTGAGCTGTCTATCATTTCGATTTCATCGGATTTGCCCATTTGCTTCGAGCCGACGGGTGTTTTAAAGGACAACTGCTTCTGGAGCAGGGAGGCGCTACTCCCGCCTGATGGATTCGCTGTCGTAATAAGATTTCGACCATGACCGTTGTTGCCCAAGCCGGCAACGCCATTCTTTCGAAAAACATTACGTGCACTGGAATCAGCTGTCATTGTTTGGATTTGTTTCTGAAAATTCTATTACTTTCTTCGAGCTCGTTCATAGGCATATGTTTTTACGCATGTGTATTTGTACTGCGGGGGTTCGGGGATTTCTGATAAGCACTGCAGAAAGTTCCAAAAATATATTTATTTATTGAGGGGGAATTAATCAATACCAATTGGTTGCTCACCGCACATTTGTCTCCAGAGATCTACAAGCACAGATAAGCGTATGCTCGATCAAAAGATTAATGGGTTTGTAAAGTCCAAAAATCGAGAGAAAATTTATTTAATTTTAGCTTTACATTTATTTAACAAGAAATTCACTTTGCTGCCAAAAAAGGAAATGAAATGACCACTGGCAACACTCGTTTATTCTCTCAAAAGCTACATCAAAAAGCTTTAGTAACACATAGAGTCCCTGTAAAAGCTTTTCCATATTTGTATGTCCATTCTGGCACTACGGAGTTAGAGGACAAAATTTGCCAGATTTATTTTACCGAAAAGAAGGTTAATATTTCTCACCATATTTCCTAATAAATTTTGTACAAATGATTTTTTTTTTCTAGATTTTTTTTAACAAGGGTCCTTTTTGACTTTTAAATTTCAGAATCAACAACAGTAATATCTGATAATGTATAATTCACTCTAATCATTATTTACATTTAATATAAAAGAAAATACAAATATGTATGTGTTTTAATGATCTGCAGTAAATCCTTTTGATCGCCACCTTTTGGCATCTTTCGCAACTAAATTAGAAAATTCATCCAAACCAAATAAATAATATGCAGGTTATCCTACATAAAATGCATCTCCTTCCAACAAATAAGTCCAAATGCGGTTGTTAAGATTTGTGCATTTCACATTTATTTTCGAAGTGTCAATTTCATATATCTTTGGCGTAGAAAGTATATTATATTATATTTTAAAGCTATGAGTTGTGTAGGCTGAAAAATTTGACCTTTTTTAATATTTAAAAAGCTATTTCATTCTTTATAAAGCGTTTCAAAAATTACATTAAGTAATCGTTGTTTGTCGATATTTATTTATTTATTTAAGCCTCTGCCTTAATGCGAAAATTTGATTACAAAAATATTTAGACTTACTACCATAGGATGACTGGACAAAAGCTTGACAAATTAGCTATATAATTTCAAATCTCCCTCATAGAAATACCTTCTCCTTGTCGTAGTTCTTGAAATAACCATCGTACTTGCTAAGCTCCCTGGCCATTCCCGAGGATGTCACCATGGAGGGCAGGGCTCTCAGAAACCCGTACAAGCCAGAAGGAATCGGGGGAGTGGGTGGCACCGACAGACCACATCGATTGTACAGGAAGGGCATGATCCCGGTAACATTGGTGTGAAGCGTCAGTACTGCCTCCAGATCGGACTCTTGTCCGTGCATTAAAAATTGATTGTAGGCACTGGATGGTATCATCCCAAAGTGGTCGAACGAGTCCACATAGGCCTCAGTGTCCCGTTTGTAGTTCTCCAGGAAGTCGCCCAATAGCTTGGCCACCATTGCCGAGCGGGCCTTGCTGGCCACCTTGATGTTCTGCATGTTCCTGAACATGACTGGCGGCTTCACAGATCCTCCGAACTTGTTTAGAAACTTGAGTATTATCTTCTCGTGAATGTCTTTCGGATCTTCGGTTAGGCGCCGCAAAACCGATTCCAAGTATAAACTGAAAGTCTGTCGCGCTTGAAATGGGGTCAGCTCGGATCCATTGGAGATCTTCTTGAGCATCACCTTGCGCAACCTCCGCCCTTCCACCTCGCACTTTTCCACTGCGGGCTTCTTCACGAAAGGTATCTCTGAATCGGTCTCCAAGGCCCTCTCGTATTGCCAAATGCGGTCTGCCTCCGAATTGTCGTCCTGCCTTTGCCTGCCATCCTTGCAGTATAAATTTTGGTGAAGCATCTGGTTGTAGTTGTGCTGTATAATCGGCGTTTGGAATGTCTGACTTTGTACAGTCGGTGTGGAAATTGGAATGCCATTAGCAGAATCTAGGAAGTTACCATACCGCTGCATAGAGTCATCCGTGGGAAAGATGCGTACGAATCCGCCACGACGGGAATACTGTAGGCGAGCATTGCGCAAGATGCGCTGCTCCTCGCCGGTTAAATTAAGATTAATGGCAGCTCCCTTCTTCTTCGACTTCTTGGTCTTCTGCGAGACACTGGGAAATGTTGCCTGCCTTTGGCAGCTTGAACTGCGGAAACGCGACCATTTCTGGTCGTAATGAGATCGCATTTCTGGACTATAGGCTGGGATACCCACGCACGTCAACAGGTCGGCCATTAGGCATGACTTAACCTTGGTGTCCAAAGGACTATCCACACCCATTGACGGCGATAGATTGATTTCTAGTAGCCATGGCTTCAATGCATTGTCTATCAATATGTCGAATCCATACAGTTCAAAGCAGTTGTTGCCGTTGGGAACGAACATTCTGCAGGCGGAAATAATAGACTGAGCACAGGCTAGGACAGCCTTTATAATTAAATCTTCTATATTAAGCATTAGCTGCCGTGTATCACAACTCTGGAGTTTTAGGTGCCTTAAAAGGGCCGACAACGTCCACTTATGGCCCACATCCTCATCCTGAGCATCGGAGCTCCTTATGTAATCAGAATGGTATTTGTTAATGCTATAATTGCAGAGGTGCATGCATGGGTTCCACAGATTATCCGCATGTCTATCGTATTTGACTGTGGCCAACCTCACGATGCCCTCCTCGAATAGGTAAATAATAAGGGGATCGAAGGACGTCACTAGGACGTAAACCCTTAAATCACATTTGTGACCATCAATGCACAGTGGGTCCACTATATACTTGGATACCACTGCCTGCTCATCCTGGGGAATTTGATCAGGCTGAAATAATTGAATTTGATTAATCATTTTAAATCGAAGAAAGCTTTTTATAATTACCGAATTAACAATAAATATTCCCCTTCCTCGACTAGATGCCGCTGGTTTTACTATCCACGGGCCTCGATGCTTGTTATGTGCTACTACTAAATCTCGGGATTCTATGGGCAGGACAAAAGTTTGTGGCACAATATCAAAGTGTTTCATTCCACGAAGGTGTTGCATTCGTTCAATGTTTTTATAAAGCCTGTCTTTTCGGGTCATTTCGTAGGACCTGAAAATGTTAAATAAAGTTAATACAAATCTGAATACCAATATGTGAACAAGTACCTAGGAAAATGATTAACTCTCTGATAAGGCGCCAAATTTCTGACAATGTCTAATTTCATATGAACACCAGTCCAAAGTAAATTAAAGTTATTACTTTCACCCTGAATTTCTGTAAGGCCATGGACATTGAAGAGCTTTCTTAGCAACTTGGTTTCCGTTTGATGGAATTTGTAGGTAATTTTGAGTTTAAAGGCAGGCATGTTAATTCCATTTTCGTCGTCATCTTCGCTCGTCACCTCCGGATCTTCCTCACTTACTTCAGTATTTGAAACGGATTTGGCAGGCGTCATGGATTCATATCCACTTTCCTTCGATATATCTTCAGCTAATTTAATATTTATGGTATTCTGACTGGTTTTAAGTACACGCGATTTGCTTTCACTACTACGTGCAGGCTCTTCACCTTCACTTGAAATGGACGTATCACTCGAGGAATATCGGTTAAGTATCTTCTTAAAAGGGCTAGAAAAGGTTAATTTATCCGATTTATCACATTGTTGCGTTTTTTTCAATAAATAAATCTTTTGCTGCGTGGAACCGCTTAGAGCTTCCTTGTTACTTGGTTCTGAAGAAGTGGATCCTTTTTGCTCATTTTTGTTATCCTTTTGGCATAGAACGGTCTCCTCCTCCTTATTATCCTTAGTCTCCGATAGCGCTTGCGCAGAGGACTTCTCAGACAATGTCTTGCGGATTTTTGGATTGAGAATGTTCGTTCTAAAGACCAAAACAGCTTCGCGTGAGCCCAGTTTTCCACTCGTAATCCAATCATCTTCTTTTTGATAATCAAAATTTATTCTACAATGCAAAAGAAAAAATATATTATTTTTAATAAACAAAATATATAGTAATATAATGAAAAATAAATTCTTAAGAATAATTGCAGAACTTACGAAGAATTCGTGAGAGCTTCACATAATGAAGAAGGCATAACGATTTCTGAAAGGGTAAAATATAAACAAATTTAAAAATATTACTTTTTATAATTCATGTAAAAGAGCAATGCTTAAAATTAAGGGGACACATAAATTTGAAATTATTGAAAATAAAATTCTAAGTAGACGGACAGAAAAGATTTGGATAAGACTCACAGGATCCGTCCGAAATTGAGTAAAGAAAACTCTATAATTCCTAATAACAACGAAGTTAAACTTAGTAGTTCCCTCTATCATTTGTATGCCAGCTGTAGAAAATAGTTGACTTTCAGCAAAGTTATACAATTTATCTGCATGAGCTTAAGAAATAACTCTTGAGCAAATACTATTAATAAATTAATAAAATGTACACTTTAAAACAATTCTAAAAGAAATGAAATCCACTTTTATGGAGTATCTCCAATCTTTGTGACAGGTAGGCTGTCTAATACAGCAAATTTTACTTTATTAACTGATATCCTTCAGTGCAAAAATTTTTTTTAAGCTACAGTGGCTTTTAAGAAATATTTTTTTTCCTAGTTATAAATCGCTATAATTATGTAAATCAAGTATGTAACAACTTTTTTTAAATTCGTACCTTTTTCTACAACGTAGTGCACCCCTCAGCAAGGGGATTCGCGAAGGGAGCGAATTAAATTTGTCTTAAGACAAAGGGCTTGGTCAGTTTTCCATCGATTCACAGTTTTTATGGCAATACTTTTCCCACGTCGAGCGTTTCATCCTTTATGGTGAGAATTATTGAGGAAGGTATATAACATACCTTAACAAGCGACAAGTCAACACTCTCATTTAAAGTTGTTATCCTTTTCAATACACTTTCATCCAAACTTAGGTTTCTCTGAATGGCCGGAAAAGTATGTGTTCGTTCCTTCGTATTTGTATAGAAATAATCCATGCGCTTATGGGTACTGGCTTACAGTTCTAGTTTTAAAATCCAATTGACCGAATCTTCAGATAAAAATATCGTCATCATCTTTTCCCCTTAACTGGTTTTATGATTTACAAATTTATGGAATAGGGCTTCAAGATAATCACAAAATACTTTTAAATTTTGATTCAAGTTAACAATGAAAGCTACTAACTTTTAATATGCTTATTGTTGTTTTTCTGTTAACTCCAATTACACATTATTTATATTAAACATATTATAAATAAACAAAAATGTACAGTTGAAAAAAATGTAAACATAACTTTTCCAAATTTTTTCTTTGAGAAAGAAAGGATCTAAAATAGTTTCTGGATATAAAAAAATTATCGTTATTAAAAAATACAAAAAAAAAACAACATTCTTGATATTCTAGAAAAATCTTTATTTTAAAAACGCATGGCTTACGAACTATTTTTTCCGATTATTTAATATAATTAAGAAAAATATTTTCAATTATGATATCGATTTATTTACATTACATTGTTCAAATGTTGTACAAATTTTGAATGAATGTAGCTAATTTGAAAATGTTGTGAATACATGTTATAATAAAGATAGGTTTTCATGTAAATTTCGTTTAAGTCTATTCAATTTAAGGACTACCATTTAAAAATTATTCCTCCGGTTAAGGTTGTTGTATGCTGGGTTCAAGTTGGTGTTGAAGTTGAAAAGCGACGACGAAGTAAGGTCGTTTCGCAAAACGCTGCTTGCATTCATTCCCAATCCTCCAGATCCAAATTGATTGTTTTGATATCCGCCGGATCCAAATCCACGATCAGTCGGATACGCGTTCAAGGTGTTAGGTTTGTTAGTGTTTTGTTGGTTGTTAAAGCGAGCCACATTTCCGGAGTAGTTTTGACCAGTATACATACTGGTCGAGTTGTTAACGTTGTTTGCATTATTCGCAACGTTTGAATTTCTAGCTGAGTGTTGTGTCAACAAGTTACCATTGTTATTTGAGTTCTGGGCCAAGTTATTGGAAGTGCTAGGCACTGGATTTACCGAACTGGTAGAAGGAACTTCCTGGCGTTTCTTCTGCTCTATTAGCGTATATACTTGAAGTATTTTCTGAAGTTCCTCACGATTAATAGATGTTTTGCCTTGAGAGACCAAAGATGAAGCCAGCTTTGCCGCAAGCTCAGTTTTATCCAAAGGTTTTTCGTTCTGATACGAATTTTGGTTAGCTATTGGCAAATCCGGCTTCTCAGCAGACTGTAAGATACGTTTTGGATGGTTGTATTTAGCGGCTTCTTGAAGCAAAAGTTCGGTATCATTAACGGCTTTCTTTAATGCCCTTTCCGTGGCAGGATCATATATTTGGGAGATCAAGAGACCCGTAAACTTTTCTTTTACCGTCTCCAAAATAGCACAGTTTTCCGTGGTTAAAATTAAAGATTGGACCTTTTCTGGATAAATCTTTTGGGTTTGCAAAGCCTTTACTAGCATTTCGGTAATAAAGCGACCCAAACTTCCAAGGTAATCTTCCAAAGCAGTTAAAAGACGAAGCACATGGATCACATTCGGAGGCTCCTCATCCACGGACATTTTTTCCGGACCTGTAGTTCCTCCCGATTTTCTCGATTCGGGACCATCTGCTTTGGGCAAATGAACGTGATACTTTTCGTTGGTCAATTCATTGTTGGTCATTGGCAAACACAGCCTCTCACGACATTTTATTTTTATATTTTCAATATCTTGATTGTACAATTCTTCGATGCGCGCATTAAAGAAGTGAATCCACTCGTTTTGGAAGTTATATGAACGATGATTGATGCCAGCTTGTATAAGTTCATCCTTGCGCCGTTTCCAGAACATTTGCCACTCGGACTGATAGCTCGGATGCTGTTCCGGGTCGGATTTGTATTGGTCAAAGGACACGTTTAGCTCACGCACCTTGAGATCGACCATGTGACGGTAGGCCTGCCACAGATCCCCATCTCGCAAAGGCGACACCGACCTGCGCTCCACATTCCAATGCCTCTTCTGGGTAACCCGCTTCCTTTGCTCTGGCGATTTGGATCGTGAACGGTTTCGCTTTAGATTTCGGGACTTCGGGACCTCGCCCGAATTCTGACGGGTGTCCCTAAGGAAGTTATCAACCATTCGCTTGTGCGTTTCATCGTCAACAGGCAGTGATAGTTTTTCAGCCGGCGCATTTTGGTAGCCCATATAATTACCCAGACCCTGAGATGCATATGATGGAAGGAAATAGGGATTCGGGTTTTCCACGTTCATTAAGGCTACGTTGCTTCGAGCTTTTTCGATTAACTCATCAACCTCTTCGGCGTTAACGACGTGGGTAAACGAAGGGCCCACCTTTTCCGACGAATGCTTTCTATTATACACCTGGGAGAACAACTCTTGGCGATCTTTGGCATACAGATGTTCATAGCACAGATGGGCAGTTTTTCGACCGTGATGGGTTTCAATAGCCATGGCAAGCTTGTCAAAAATGGGCATCATTATTTTGCAGACCTCACCCTCCGGCACACGGGACACATACTGACGGTACTGACGCATTGCAGTCGGAAAATGCTTGTCGAAATACTTAAGACGATGGTTGTAGCCCAGCAAATGGTTGTGCATCGATTGCTCATCAGCAGTGATCTCACATAAGCAGCATTGGTATCTGGCATTTCTATCGGACAAGTTGCGTACTATTTTCAAAACGTACTCAACTCCGACGAGACCCATTACGTGGCTTTGACTCCGGGATTCAAATGTGCCACTACTGGATCTAGCTGGTGCGAAATCCTTGGGAGCAGCCACGTAAGAAGGTAATACCCTATTGATATTAGGACGAACGGGAGGCGCAACGTTTTTGTTTGGCTTTTTGGCCGCACTCGAGGTGTTCGGCTTCATTGTTTGAATCGGTATATTTTTCGGAGTCTCCGGTTGCTTTCTAAACTCTTTTGGATGTTCTTTTGGCTGTTCTTTTGGCTTTTCTTTTGGCTTTTCTTTTGGCTTTTCTTTTGGTTGTTCCTGTGGCTTTTCCTTTGACTGTTCTTTTGGTTGATCATCAATAATTATGACATCGGGGTCCGCTTCAGGCTCTGGAGTAGAGCAGATAAGCTTGGCAAGCGGAACACAAGTAATTTTTGTGGAAAGAGGATTCTTTACTATGTCTGGATTATTTAGCTTGTTGCCAGCAAAGTCCGCATTGTTCGGTTTTGTATTCTGGACAGTTTTTGCTGCCTGTGGCTTTGTTTTAGGCTGTAGTTGTGTTTGAGGCTGAACTTTTGATGGGGGCTGCGAGTTTTGAACAGGTTTTGGCGTGGAATTAGCCACAGTGCCCGTTGTTTTGGTAGCAGGACTTCCCAAATTCTTTGAAATGTTTGACGGAGCTGTTGAGTTTGGTGTTGTAGCTTGTGGACTCTTTTTGATCCCTGGATTCTTTGGGTTGGCCACATTACCAACAGTTTTCTTTGCTTGAATATTTCCTGTGCTTGAATTAGGTTTTTTCTGTGCAATCGCACCAATAACTGGAATATTTTTTGGGATGGGTTGTTGATTTCCTGAAGTATTTTTTTTAATGGGTTGAATGTTTCCTGGAATATTTTTTTGAATAGGTTGAGAATTTCCTGGAATACTTTTTGGAGCTGGAGGATTAGTTTCTGTTGGTAAATTTTTTTGTGGCGATGTAATAGTTCCTTGAATATTCTTTTGAATGGGTGTAACATTTCCCGGTATATTCTTTTGAGCCTGTTGAACCGTGTTTGGGTTAGGCTTTTTCTGAGTGTTAACGCCCGTAGCTGGACTTTTCTTTTGAGTGGGTTGAGTGGGTTGAGCTTTCACAGCTAAATTTCCACCTTCCTGCTTGACGGTAGTGTTAGTACTATTACTTTTGTTTTCAACATTTTTGTTGGAAGCAACGGAATTTTTCACAACGGGGGAAGATACGTTTTTGTTGTTATTCATATTGGGGTTCGGACCTTTTTTAATGGGTTCTGAAACCGCTTTCTGTGGACCTCCAATGGGCTTCATTCTTATTTGCAATTGCTGTTCAGCTACCATTACAGCGTTATGTTTTTTACCACAAAGGTGGCTAAACAAATTCTTGTCGCCGTACTGAACAACACCGCAAATATTACAATTGTATTTCCAAAGTGGATCTGTGGGGGTTACCAACAGTTCCCATTTTTTGGTTGGATTAAGACGGAACTCAAATTTTAATATTTCTTCCAATGATATTGTTGACAGCATCTCAATAAATCTAGACCCATTCATGGGTTTGTTTTGCATGTTTTTGGTATCCATCTTGAGTTTGTAATACCTTGAAACATTAATTAATGGTCATGTGGCTCGCAGAAAGTAATTCTTTATTTCGGTTTGATTGTGGGTATCAACCGATACAAATTTGATTTTGGTTTTGATTTCAGATATTGAGATGCTATAAAATTGAAGGAAAAAATGATTTTATATCAAATTTAAGCAATTATTAACAAAATATTACTCTTAAAATACTATTCAGTTGTTCTATTTTTCTAAAAACAGCAATTAAATACTAAATTTCTTAAACTATTGGGAAACAGCAGTATATAGAAATTAATCAGAATTCGAATTGTAGTCGAATTCTATATTTTGGATTATAGAATTGTCAAAAATATTGTTGAACATTTCATAGCGACAACATTTTTGTTACAGTATTTAGCCAACAAGAAAGTTTAATAACTATGCAATATAATTTTTGGACCGCATGCACTAAAATTTTGAGCTAGCAATAGCACAATTCATCTGCAAATAGTGAATTCATTTTAATTCAACAAAGTCAGCTCTGTTATGTGGTTATGAGAAGCAGAGGATTTGATTAAAGCATTGTATATTCACAGAGCGGGATATGTGGGTCGTTTATTGGAACTTGTGAGTACAATGGGAATATTAACATCTGTTTAGATGTTCTTAATTTCATCAATTTCTTGCTTAATAGAACAGATCGGAACTTGGAAGATTTGTTCTGTTTCAAAAAGAAGATGGTAAACGTAACTTATAACGTAGCTCTCTTAAAGGAGGTCTTAAGAAAATTTAACTTTGAGAAATATTTTTCAAACACTTTTCAGTTTCATAGACTCGTTTGGTTCTAAATTAGTAACTAGTACGTTTAAATTATCGTGTAGAGTTAAATCAGCTTTCTCGCCCTAATGGAGATCTAAAAGAAGATATTAAGCTGGACGAGAAAACTTAATCGAAGAACGTAGTTGGTTGCACAGAACTCGAGATAGAAAATAAAATAAGCATTCATAAAAATAATTGTAGGAGTAATTTTCTTAATCAGGTAGTTCAATTGCCAAACTGACTCCAAACTCTTGTTTCTGGAGTCAATTACCATTTTAATTTTGTAAGCGAGGGGTGTTAGTATAGGTTTGGTTTTTTTAGGTGAAAAATTTCAAAATGATTTTATTTTTTGATTCGCTTAAGTCTGAATCTAAAATCGAAACAAGTAAAACATTATTTAGATGTTTAGTGGCAACAAAAATGGTGACCATTGTTCAATATTTTTGGGAATACCTAGTAGAAGAAACTACGTAGGAAATAATTCAAAAATATATATTTTGGAAATAATGGATTCTTTAACAAAATAATATCCGTTTTTTCGTCTTCATAAGCTAATAAGTTTTTAACTGGCAACGAAAAAAGAGCCCTAATTTGAAAAATCAGAGGAATCGGGAAAAAGAGCGGTATCGCCACACTTAATGGTGTTAAATATAAAACAAAGTTTTATTTTGGCACCTTTCAAGATTGTCTAAAGATCAAGATCTTTATTATTTTCTTTAAAAAATGTGGTATAAGTTATTTTTGTGTGTTTTTGATGCATAGAACGATCAGATAGTCGAGGTTGTCCATATCATTATAGAAATTTAAGTAAAATAATCCTTAAAAAGCACATACATATGCTTAAAGAAGCAGAAAACCAACTGAGAATTCAAGTTGTCGACATTGCGACAATTGCTTCCGATGCATTTTTGTAGATCTTACGCTTTGTGTGAAGTATTTTTTATTTTGCCGGTTCTACAGATTAACGTATGTATGTATGTATGTATGTATCCGTAAAATGTGCATATAAAGTTCGGATGCCGTTTTACAATTCAAAATCTATCCGTCATTTTTTCTGATAAACAAAAAATAAAGAAGTGATATTCAACGTTTTTACTTAATCACAAAAAATGTTGGATAGATCTTAAATTCTGTTTTCAATATTAAATTCTGTTTTTCTCTTTTTGGTTTGTAGGACATTTTATGGAACAAACTCGTTGAGGGTGTAAAAATAACAGTTTGGGCAGACATTACTTATCAGCCAGGGTAGAACAACCCCCAAAAAAGTTTAGATAGGAATGAAAGCCGACATATGCATAAAAGCAAAAGGAGCCCTATTATCTGACCCGATTATAATAATACATATAGTCGATTTCAATGCGACAGAAGTCCCAAAAAGGAGAAAACACGTCAGAAAATGACATCACGACATTTTTACCATTTATTTTTTTTAAGCAAGTTGTGTTCTACTTGCTGAAACATTTTGGGGGTTATATATCATATTGGGTGTGCACACTTGCAATTGATGAGGTCAAGGTAAAATCCGTAAACGAAACCGTAAAACACCGAGCTCCAAAAAAAAAAAAAAATGCATGTAGCTAGCAGGCGAATGGTATTGATTTTTTTGTTTATGCATGTCCCGCGTTCACATGAGTAAATCCAACTCGAACACGCACTCAGACTTAGCCTTATGAATAACTTATAACTATTTATACAGGAAGGGATTGCATTATCTTTTTTGGACTCACCGGCGAAACGCAAACGCGGCCCTGTTACCACTTGCTAATACTGGGGGCCCGTGGATGGCTGGGTGCTCGAGATCCCTCTCCTCTTCCTTCTTCGCTTCCAATTTCGTACGCTCGTCTCACGCGGTTCGATACGCAAAAGGCCACAATTCACGCTGGACTTGCTTACGATTACAAGGACAATTTGCGGTAACTTGAATTTATTACTTGCATCAGGCCGAAGAGGACAGAGAATTTCGATGGCAACGCATCAAAGAAACAAATGTCAAATTTGTCTCTACGGGCCCAATAGTTATTCTCGGTTTGGCGATGGGCCGACTGCGATACGTTTATTCCGTCCCAGCCCCTTGCCCGTTTTAGTGGGGCTGTATTTTGTCCCGTTTCCATTATTTTAGTATCTATCGGATAACAAAATATTTCAACAGAAATACAAATATTAATTATAATGTATGTCTACATTTGATTTTTTATCTATATAATAGATAACACATTTTTGAAATTGGTAACCATTTCAATTGTTCCATAATTCAATCTATTATAATTTTTGTTTTTAAATATTTCAACTGAAATGAAAATATTAATTATAATGTATGTGTATACTCCATTTTTTTGTCTATATAAAAGATAATACATTTTTAATATAAAACGCGTACATTTTAATTGTTTTAAATAATTTTTTTTAAATAATAATTCAATATATTACAATTTTGGTTTCTATTGGTATTCGCTCACTTTCACACCCTTTGGTTTTTATTTGGGCAGTGGATGCTTATAAGTAAAACTTATTCGAATTGAATTATTCTGGTACTCGTTTTAAGGTGATGTAATTGGTAACCATTTCGTCAACATCAGGTTTGTATTTAGTTTTGAGTTATTATCCTTATAATGGTTTGTTTACCTCGCCTAGATAGATCAGCTGCTTTTACAACATAATGGTAATGTGTAGGATTTGCGTTTTAGCAGAACTATAAGTTTTTAGATTTTATATAAGAATAAATAGTGTTGCAATAAAAGAAGAGAGATAATCACGCGGTCATTCAAATGGATTTTACAATTTTAACAATGAAATAAATAAAAAATATGTTAAATCAAGGTGGGGATATTTTAGCACCTTTTCGAACAGCGAAAATCGATAGTCACGAAAAACAATCGATATTTGTTAAAAAGGAAAACCATCGATCAATCCTCGAGACCATCGGTGTTTCTCCCTTCACTTTCGTTTCCGGCGAGGTGCGTAATTTGCTCCGCGTTTTCGCAATTTTAACCGATTATCTTCCGACTGAGAACCATACCGGCCATGTGCCATTAAGTCAACAGCAAATAGATCCCACCGAAACCAAAGTAATCCCCAAACCTGGTTCACTTGTAATTCGTAGACATTTTACATCATGGACAATTCTGGAAATAACCGCTACGAGCTGTTGTTCATGGACGACGACGACTCCTCCGCCCCGCCTGCCCAGCCACAGATTCCCGCCGTAGTCGCGCCGCCCAAGAAACCGGAACCGCAGAAGGCGCCGAAAAGCAAGCCGGAGAAAGAGAACAAGCCGGTAGCGTCGGCTCGCAAGGCCAACAATCCCGTGGTGAAGAACACGAGTCCGGTGAAGGGAGGCAAGGTGCCGGCTGGTGGTGAATTTGGGGGTCGCCCCAGGAACGCGGCCACCAATGGGCCCAGCAACCAGGGCCGCTTTAACAATAATCAGCGCTACGGAAACAAGGAGTCATCGTCCGGGGAATTTGGAAACGAGCTGCCGCAGCGCCAGTTCAACAATCGTGATAACAGGGGACCACCACGCGTCCGCGCCGGCGAGAAGTTCGGAAAACGCGAGTTCGATCGCCAGTCTGGATCTGATAAAACCGGTAATTACTTCTCATAGATCTTGCTTCTTTGTTCTTCTGTTTACTATTTATAAGTTGGAAAAAAAAAGTCGGCGTTTTTCTTGATTCCATCAAGTAAAACGCTAATCTCCAATGGCGACATGCTGCGAAATAGAGCAAAACCCTTGGCAACAAGATTACATATCGCTTACTACAGCAAACATTTCTCACGTGATTTCTAATTTTGTGAGGCACAAATATTCGTAAACGGAGTTTATTAATTCAGTTCGGATTAGTAATACGAAAAATATTCCAAAACGTGTTTGTAAATATTTATATATTCTTTTTTGTGTTCTAATATCTATATTTTTCAACTCTCTTTCACACCGACTTTTGTAAACACATGTTTTGCCTACAACAACGCAATAACGCGTTCATTTGTAAATTACAATCATTTAATACATTACTCTGTGTGAGTAATTTCAAGATTATTAGGCTTCTGAATATGCTTTATAATCAGTAATATTTTTGTGACTTGAGAATTTCATTTCTGTTTATGCAAATGGTATTACGCGTTTTCTTATGAAATGCGTATACTTTCTTCTTATAAATTTATTTTCTTTATGAAATTCTTGTATTTTAAACTTTATACGAGCAAACCCCTTATACCATAGCAAAACTAATTTTTATCATTACCACCCACAGGCGTCAAGTCAATTGACAAGCGCGAAGGCGGCGGTGCCCACAACTGGGGGTCCCCAAAGCAGGACATTGAGGACGTGAAGACCGGGGAATCGTCACCGCAGGCGGACAAAGAGGACTCAGCCAACGAACAGTCGGCTGATCCAGCGGCCGTCGCCGAGGAGGATGAGTCCAAGCAGATGACCCTCGACGAGTATAAGGCCCTTAGGGATCAGCGTGCCAAGCCCAACTACAACTTGCGCAAGGCTGGCGAAGGAGCCGTGGACAATGCCGAGTGGAAGAAGATGGTGGTGTTGAGCAAGAAGAAGGAGAGTAACAGCGAGGACGAGTTGGAGTACGATCCTTCACTGTATCCTCAGCGAGTGGGGCGCCTCCAGCGCATCGTGGACATCCAGTTTAACTTCAATGATGGACGCAAGGGTGGATTCCGAAAGGGACCGCGTCCAGGAGCAGGTCCTCGTGGCGAAGGATTCCGCGGCGAGGGTGGTTACCGCAACGATGGACCCCGTGGAGAAGGTGGCTATCGCAACGATGGACCTCGCGGAGAGGGTGGTAACCGTGGAGAAGGTTACCGCAACGATGGACCTCGTGGAGAAGGAGGCTATCGCAATGACGGACCTCGCGGAGAAGGCAACCGTAATGAGGGACCACGTGGAGAGGGCTACCGCAACGACGGACCTCGTGGAGAGGGTGGCTATCGCAACGAGGGTCCTCGCGGCGAGGGCTTCCGTGGCCCGCGCTTTAATTCCGGAGCCACCAACGGGTTTGACAACAGACAGGAAAACAACAGATTCGGGGAGAAACGCCGCTCCGCCCAGAAGCCCCTGAAGGTCGACGATGAAGCTCAATTCCCCACTCTGTGCTAGGATCAGCGAACAATAAGGTTTAACAATTTCACGTATTACATAATTAGTAAGCAGCTCCTTTGGTTAACGAATAACCATTAGATTTTCGGCCGTAATCTATGAAGCTTGACGACCGGTTAACAAACAAACAAATCAGCCACGCTTATCCATATTCCTTAGTTGTAAACAAAAATTTTTGAATTTTTTCACTCTCATCATTTACGCATTTAAAATAACTATTACAAATAGTTGGAATGTTGAAATAAATTTACTTCATTTATAAACCAAGGAATTATAAAATGGAAATTATTATTTTATATGTCAAACCGGCTTTATTATTCGTTAATTTCGCGGCCATCTTTTATCTTTTGAATGAACACACTTAGTTCGTGGGCAGAATAGGATTTCTTTTTGATTCTTTTCGGCAGTGGGGGTTCCCTAGAAGACGGCTCTAGATTCGTCTGGAAAATACATATAATGTTTAAGGGATTACAGTATTTAAAAGTATATTGCACCTACAAAATGTCTGTATTCTGGCGAAATGGACTCCAACTGCAGCATTCTATTCTCAACCTTTTTGATTCTACTAAAAATGTTTTCCTCATTATCGGTGGTTAGGCCCATGTATAATTCAATAGCCTGCAAACGTGAATTAGGCAGCGATTTTCTAATTTCTTTGGATGGGTCAGTTACACCGTCACGCGATCCCATTAGTTTGTTGAGTTCAAATTCGTAGTTGGGCCGCAACTCCATTTGCTGGGGACCACAGCGATTGTTTACCCGTCGAACTGTCGTTAGTTGTTTGTAAAATAAATAGTTTATATTTGAAATGCGATTACCCACCTTTTAAATGGCAATTCGACTGCTCCTGTTTTATAATTGTGCTTTGCGTTCGAGCGCAGGAATCGCTGAAGTCTTTGTCTGAGTCAACCAAAGGTGATTTGAAGTCAATTACGTTTTGCGAGTTGATTTCGGCTCGCTTTTTGTTGACAAAACATTCTAAACGCTTGGTTAGCTCGGCGTCATTAACTCTAATTTGCACCAGAGATCGTGGTACGTCATGTGACTCCTCGACTTTGCAGGGGCAAGCTGCGTAGTTAAAGGCACTAAGAGACTTCTCTGCAAAGTATGCGAAGAGGAAAAACAAGTAAAATCGTTATTGCTTGATTGTTAATTGTATTTACAAGAGTACAAATTAAAAGAATACATGTCACGGTTGGATCTTACTGGGCCTGAAGGACTCCTTGTTTTCTTTCCACTCGCTGATGTTATCGCCCTCGTATATTTCCTTTTTCCAGATGGGAACCCGAGTCTTAAGCTGGTCTATTGCAAATGATACTGATTCTAGGGCCTCCGAACGATGAGGCGATGAAGCGGCTATAACTACACTGGCCTCGCAAACGGGCACATTTCCTAATCGGTGATATATAACTATGTGCTTTAAGTCGGGCCACTTTTCTCGCAGATCTGAGCAGATTTTATTCATTTCCTTAACTGCCATGTTATCGTATGCCTCGTACGCCAATGACACCACCTGGAAGGTCAAAAAGTAGACATGTATCAATTCAATTAATTGATTAAGATAGCAAACCCACCGTTTTGCCCTGAAAATTATTGCGCGTGGTGCCCACAAAAACCGATGAGGCACCACATCCTTCATCAGCTAGCAATTGATGGATGTGGGTGATGTCAATGGGAACCTGAACTAACTTTACGTGATCCATGATTAGTTATCCTCCACTGAGTGGCGGAATGATGGCCAGTTCGTCTCCCTCTTTAAGCAGAATCTTATCACTCAGGTTCTCAATGTACGATTCGTTGTGGGCCAAAATCAGGCTGTTCTGAATGGATGTTAGGCCAAATCTGGATACCAGTTGGTCCAGTAAATCGGAGGCAATAATTTCAACAGGCACATCCACTTTTGATCGGGGAGTATTGGCTAACTCTCGGGATTTAGCAAAGAACAACACGTGCACATTAACAACAGGTCCCTCAGTACTCATATTTACAAATGAAATATTGGGGATGGCAAAACCGTTTCATATTCCGACTACTTTCGCTTTCGATGTATCGATATTTTAAGTGGTTCTTTGTATTCAATAAGGTGGTACGAAATGGAATGGAACGATGTGCAGAGCAAGGAACAGCTGATTAAGAATGAAATGAATTGTTAATATTATTTAATACTTAAGGGATCTATTAAAAAAATTATTAATATATGTCAATATTAAAATTTAACGCACTTAAGTATTCTATAATTCTAATCATCGGCTTTACTATAACTAAACATCGATACATACTGCAAGGCAGTTCGCCCATCACTGTTTACACCGATATTTTATTTCGCAAGGGAATAAAATTTGTTTTTATTCATTTCTGTTTTGGGGTTTTTTTACTTATCTATCATAGATAGCGATCTAGTGAATATATAATTATAAGGTAGTTCGTTAAATACATCAATTTTCTTTCGATTTCCATGTTGACATCGTCAACTTTTGATTCGGAACCATGAAGACACGTTTCAATACTTTTGATATAATCTGCGGAGTGGCTGAACTGCAAAAGTACGTATTAAATATATTATTACCGATGTGGGGATAATGGCATAATAATTTGGACAATCCAGGTTGGTCGGTTGGCGAGTGAATCAGATCTATGACGTTGATAACAAGACTTATCTCTTCCGGATGCAAGGGACCGGAGCAGTGGAGAAGGTGACTCTCCTGATAGAGTCCGGCACCCGATTCCATACCACCCGCTTCGAATGGCCAAAAAATATGGCTCCATCAGGATTCAGCATGAAGCTCAGGAAGCACTTGAAGAACAAGCGCCTGGAGAAGATCCAACAATTGGGTGGCGATCGTATTGTGGACTTCCAGTTTGGTACCGGTGATGCCGCCTACCATGTAATCTTGGAGCTCTACGATCGCGGAAATGTAATTTTGACCGACTACGAGTTGACTACACTGTACATCCTGCGTCCCCATACGGAAGGTGAGAATCTGCGTTTCGCCATGCGAGAAAAATATCCCGTGGAACGGGCTAAACAGGCCACGGAGGAACTGCAGCCTGATGTCTTGGATAAACTGGTGGAGAATGCCAAGAACGGCGATTACTTGCGACAGATCTTGACGCCTAATTTGGACTGTGGTCCTGCAGTCATCGAGCATATTCTTCTTTCACACGGACTGGATAATTGTGTAATTAAAAAGGAAGGAGCAGAAGAAACTCCAGAAGCAGAGAATAAGCCAGAGAAAGGCGGTAAAAAACAACGTAAAAAGCAACAGAATAAAACGGAACATAAGCCATTTGATATGGTTAATGACCTGCCCATTCTTAAAAAGGCTGTAAAGGTGTGTATTTTTTTAATAGCAAACAAATTTTGGTGAAAAGAGTAAAAGGAAACAGAGAACACTCGAAGTCATTATTATTGAAGTTATATTTTACATTGTTTTGTTTAATCTTTTAGTGCGCTCATGATCTTATTGTTGAGGGAAACACCGGGAAAACTAAAGGCTATATAATTCAAGTGAAAGAGGAGAAACCCACGGAGAATGGAAAAGTGGAGTTTTTCTTTAGAAACATTGAATTCCATCCTTACCTATTTGCCCAATTCAATAACTTTGAAAAAGCCACGTTCGAGAGCTTTATGGAAGCTGTCGATGAGTTTTACTCGACGCAAGAATCGCAGAAGATCGACATGAAAACGCTGCACCAGGAACGCGAGGCGTTAAAAAAGCTGTCCAATGTTAAAAACGATCACGCCAAGCGTCTGGAGGAGTTAACTAAAGTCCAGGATGTGGACAGGAAGAAGGCAGAGCTTATAACGTCCAACCAAAGTCTGGTGGATAACGCCATCCGTGCAGTGCAGTCGGCTATTGCCAGTCAATTATCCTGGCCGGATATCCATGAGCTGGTGAAGGAGGCCCAGGCAAATGGCGACGCTGTAGCCGGTTCCATAAAGCAATTAAAGCTTGAAACGAATCATATATCCCTTATGCTTAGTGACCCTTATGATAACTATGAAGACGAGGATCTAAAGACTCCGGAAGTGACCGTTGTGGATGTCGATTTAGCCTTATCTGCTTGGGCCAATGCCCGTCGATACTACGACATGAAACGTTCGGCTGCTCAAAAGGAAAAAAAAACTGTAGATGCTTCTCAAAAGGCGCTTAAATCCGCGGAGCGGAAAACACAGCAAACCCTCAAAGAAGTAAGGACCATTTCGAACATAGTAAAGGCTCGAAAAGTTTTCTGGTTCGAAAAGTTTTACTGGTTTATAAGCTCAGAGAATTATCTAGTCATCGGAGGAAGAGATGCGCAGCAAAATGAACTTATTGTCAAAAGGTAAGCGATTTTGATGACTAAATCACATACCATTTTTTCTTATACAAAATTATATTTCAGATATATGCGTCCGAAAGACATTTATGTGCACGCAGAGATTCAGGGTGCCTCGAGTGTTATTATACAGAATCCCACAGGAGAAGATATACCGCCCAAAACGTTGCTGGAAGCTGGATCCATGGCTATATCATACAGCGTTGCCTGGGATGCCAAGGTGGTAACCAATTCGTATTGGGTGACAAGCGACCAAGTCAGCAAAACTGCACCAACTGGAGAGTATTTGGCGACTGGAAGCTTTATGATCAGAGGAAAGAAGAACTTCCTACCCTCCTGCCACCTAACCATGGGTCTAAGTTTACTTTTTAAATTGGAGGACAGTTTTATAGAGCGTCATTTAGGAGAGCGAAAGGTCAGAAGCTTAGATGATGATCATATCGATCAAGATGTTAAGGAAACGGAGGTAGAGCATGATCTTTTATCCGAACCAAGTGATGATACCGAAACCAATCCTACTGCAAATTTATCGGAACATAGTTCTAATACCGAGATTACTAGTTTTCCCAATACGGAGGTAAAGATTGAACACGATACGGGACGCATAACCGTCCGATCCAACTCTCTAAATCCAAACAAGGAGGAGGCTGAGGAGAATGATGATGTTGTCCAAAGTCTTCCAAGTAAAACCGTGGATGAGGAAACGACCATTATTTTGGCTGGTCCAAGTCGAATAAAGCAAGTTAGTGCTAAAAAGACTAAAGTTGAGAAAGCTCGAGCTGCGAAACAGGAAGCTGCAAAACAGGAAGTCGCTCCAGTTGATACAGAGCCCAAAAATCCATCACAGATTAAGAGAGGTCAAAAGGGAAAACTAAAGAAAATGAAACAAAAATACAAGGATCAAGACGACGAAGAGCGTGAAATTCGTATGATGATTCTTAAGTCTTCTGGGAAAGAAAAGCCGCAAGTAAATACTGACAAAGTGGTGGAAAAGAGTGTGGCAATAAAAGAGTTTGTGAAACCAGAAAAAAGTTCAGTTCCCAAAAACCCAGTGGAATTGGACGATACTGAGGAAGTACCCGTCGGAGGAGATGTGGATGTTCTTAACAGTCTGACTGGGCAGCCCCTTGAAGGAGATGAGTTGCTCTTCGCGATTCCAGTGGTGGCTCCTTATCAGGCTTTGCAAAACTACAAGTAAGTCTTAATATTTATTTATATATTTATTCATTAGGAACATTTTATTGAAACAAGTGGAAAACAATCAAAAAGTTAAATGGATTTCGTTAGTTAAACGAAAGCTTGAAAGATCAACACTTGCATAGTTTTTGGGGAATTCATTAATTATATACCTTTTTTAAACAAAACTTAATTTGTCTTTAAGGTTCAAAGTGAAGCTTACCCCCGGCACCGGTAAAAGAGGAAAGGCTGCGAAATTAGCTCTTAACATATTTGCCAAGGAAAAGAGCTGCAGTACTCGTGAGAAGGATTTACTGAAAAGTATAAAGGAAGAGTCCCTGGCAAGAAATATACCAGGAAAGGTCAAGTTATCAGCCCCACAACTTCAAAAGTACCACAAATAAATGAAGAAATAAAATGTATACATAATGTTGGGCCATATTTATAAGAATTGTTTAAAATGCTTTAAAAATGCAAGTTGATTTAATAAAGAGAAGATTGTGTATACAGAACTCGAATAGGTTGTTGGTGATTTAAGTTTATGTTCTGAGTTCTTATCAAAAAGCGGTAGATATTGATTTTGTTAACGGTTGAAACGGAGGGTTATCGATATTCTTGTTGCTGGGCAAATTAAAAGCAGAGATTTTGGGGCGCATGCGCCTCATATGGAGCCCGAGTTTGCATGTGTTTGTTTACTTCGGTTGGCTGTGTTCAAAAGTGGTGTTGTATAAGTAGATATTTTGGTGCTAAGTCGCCTGTTTTGGCATTTTGTGTACTAAAAAGTTCGCGAACTTCTCGTCATCGTTCGATACATGAAGCGCTGGTGTAAAAAATATACATTCGCCATGCCAAAATAGAAATAAAATATAAATTCATCCGAAGCACGAAGCTTGCAAATCACGGAGCTCCCCGCAACAAAAGACAATACAGCGGAAAATGTATCTTTCGAGCGAAATCCGTGTAACACACTTTTTCCATGCCATCCGTTTATGTGCATTAGAGGCTTTTGCAGATATGTAGATACATTTAACCAGATTCGAAGTGCTTCCTAACCGAAAGAAATCATTCAAAAGGACTCAAATTAAATTGGCGAGGCTGTGGTTCGGTGAAAAACTATGGCCTTCAAAGTCCCACCCAGTTAGAAGGATATGTGCGTGTGTGTCTGTAAGTGTGTGTATGCATACATATGAAGGCATGTATTGATTAAGGACTGAGGACGTTTTTTTCTCAACCATGTGAACAAAATTAACATATAGTGTTTACGTGCCTCCAATTATAAAATTAAAGTTATGCCCGTGCTGACATACTTCCCTGCACTAAAATTAGCATGACGTACAGAAAAGTAACTTTATTCGTGCGTACAGATGTTCGTGTAGGTATGTACGGACATGTGTGTATACAGCCATACCCTCTATTGCACCTGCTCGAAAAATCAAATATTATAGTTAAGAACCAGAAACCATTAAAACATTTGATTAAACTCCGCCTGAATACTGAAAAGTGTTGAACTCATTTACAGGTTTTTCTTTACCAGTAATATAGCTATACCCTTATCTCTCTGTTTAAATAATGTATTTATTAATCACTAGAGATGTTTTAAAGTTTCGATAGTTTAATAATATTAAAGAAGTTAGTGTAATTTACTAAATCAAAGATTAATAGCTTTAAGATGCTTTGGTTTTTGTTTTAATAAGAAAAAAACGATAAAGTTTATTAAGATCTATTTGAATTTCAGAAAGGAAAATAGAAACCATAATGATGGAGCTTTGTGAACCAATCACAACTGCCAGATAAAATGGGGGCCATACTAATTGCTCAAAGGAACCCCGAAAAGGCGTGGACAGTAATTAATCATATTTGTTAGCGGCAGACCATTTTAAAAATACGGTAAGATTACATCAAATTGCAATAAATATTTAATATTGTTTAACTGATAAGAAGATCGTAACGAAAAATAAATCTAAATTTAAATCATTTGGCTTTAGAAAAGTACCACTAAGTTTTAAGGAAGCTAATTTAAACAAATAATATTTGTTTTTCATATTTTAAGAACATGGAGCCAAATCATTATTACTGCCGGAGCGCCATGCAGCAGACTTCCTCGACATCAATTCCACAACATTCGTCGAACAAACTCAATTATGGGATGAACGCGGGGCAGGAATATGTGGCATGTAGCTCCGGTCAACCGCAGTCGGGGTACAACTCCAAGGATTTGGTTCCGCGCAATGGGAACAACAAGTCGCTCAGTGGAAACGGCAATATGGGAAGCCCGTATGGAGGATCGGCCTGCAGCAACAGTGGCCAATGCAGCAAAACTACCGCCAACGCTGGGAACTATATCAACATAATGACTGTTCCATTGGGAACTTTGCAGTATAATCGAAAGAAGTTATCTACGCAAGACTACGAGTGAGTGTGATGGGATACAATTTTCAGAATACTTGTACTCACCTGTACATAAATTGTTTCAGATCGCATTTATATTACAACACCACGGACGTCAAGTGTCGCGATGATTACTATATAGCCAATAATGCCGCAGCACCAATACCGCAACACCAAGCACACCAATCGCAACAGCAGCACCTGCATCAGCAGCAACATCAGCACCAACAGCAGCAACTTCAACAGCACCAACAGCATCATCAGCAACACCAGCAACATCAGCAACAACAGCAACATCAGCAGCAACAACAGCAACATCAGCAGCAACAACAGCAACACCAGCAACATCAGCAACACCAGCAACATCTACACCACCAACAGCAACAGGCCAACTTTCTCCACATCCAACAATCTCTGCAGCATAACCATCAGCTGAACCACCCAGAACCAATCCATCAGTTGCCCCAATTACAGAGCTCGGTGGTCGATCCACCAGATGCTTTCGACAACTGTGCGATCTTCCCGAGCGCCGGAGGCAGTGCAACCGGAAGTGGTCGCGTGGCAGCCACCCAAACGCATCAGAATAGCTCCAGTGTGGTCACGTGTGACCAGCAGGTGCCCGTCTCCTTGGGCTCCGTGAACATGCCCGTGCCACCGATCATGTACACCGTGCACCGGGTGGTAACCACGGCCCAGATCCAAACGGCCGTGGGCAGCACCTTCGCCTCGTCGGCCAGTGTGTCCAGTGTGGTCAGCACGGGTCAGAATGAGGGCGACTGCCTGTCGCCGGTGCAGGTGTCCTCCGCCATGGCCGCCTCCGGGAATGCCGCCTGCCTCGGAGGCATCTCAGACATGGGCGCCAATATGATGAACAACGCAAGTGCACTTTGTCCCCTTTCCGACCTGAGAAGCCCTTCAGGTAAGAATTTTAATGAAGTCCTAACTTTCTTACTTAGAAAATTCAATTCAATTTCCCATAAATGTTGATATTAACGTTATGATTGTTTATATTTTTTCAGGAGTGCTCGCCAATTCCTCATTCATGCCACAACATCACAAGTGCAACAATGGCAACGATGGCCAATCCAACCCTGCAATCCAAAAACGCATTATGGCGACAAGCTCAACTTCGAATTTCGCAAATGCTGGGAAAGCTGCTTCCAACCTAACCCGTGCTCTCCAAAATGTAAGAAACCATGTTAACTGTTATATTTTCCCAATTTTTAAAGAGTTATTTCTTTAATAGGTAATCCCCACTTGCGTGTATCTTATGTCTCGGGTGGCAGTTCACATGGAGATTGAGGGAACCGCCCAGTGTCCATCCCAAGTGATGTTGGCAGCTGCTTTGGGATGCGAGGAACTGGGAATATCCAATAAACTGCTGGCACAGAGCGTTTTCGGATTGTGGATGACAAGTGCTTTACTGGAGATGCAGCTGAAGGCCCATCACTGCCCCTATATAGTGCGAGTTGCGTGGCCCAGTTTGCTACAGAAGTTCAGCAATAGCAGTCCCAGCGATCGCAAGTTTGATGAACCAATGGTGGTATTAAAGCGAAACGTTTTCTTCTCCAAAAGAGATGAAGAAAAAATAAAGTAATTGTTTTAACATGGCTTGAAATTTAACAGAAGATATATACTAAGCTGCTTAAACTGTTTTCAGGGATCATCGGATCTTAGAGCTGCTTTACGAGGAGGCCAGAAATAATGTGCTGACAGGAAGATATATTATGGAGCCTGTGCATTCGCTCATGTTGGGTGGCATTCAAGCTCGCATCGAACTGGGACCGTATAACTCCCACACCCACACAATAGGATTTTTTAGGTAAATATATTATGGTTTAGAAATACATATAGTACATAATTATAAATTTTAATTTTATGTACACCCTTTAGGGAAAACCAAGCTCGGTTTTTGCCACCACACGTTGCCAAGAGCTCGACTTGGTTGTGGCTACCCATAAGCCAGAAGAATTCTGCGGAGGTTAAGCTCTTGGAACAGTTTAAAAGAGTCCCACAGACGGCTACCACCCGAAAGTTGATGAGAAAATATCTGGAATTTTGCTGGGCACTGCCATTCTATGGGTAAGTTTACCGCTAAAGTTGGTTTTGATTATAGGTATTTATTTCATTTTAAAAAAAATATTATTATATTTTGTAAAAATCATATTGTTTCAATATTTTTACACAGTGCCGCATATTTCCATGGACAAATAGAACAACCTGTTAGGGGAATTATGGCTTTGGTAAACCAAAAGGATATGGAGGTTTTAGTCGCAGTTAATGAAAAAGGAGTATTTATAATAGATCCGTATGAATGCGTAAGTATTGTTAAATATGTGAGTGCTTCTTAGAATACCTTGATAACATTTTTTCCTTAGACTCTCTTGCTGGGTTTGCGATACGAAGATTTGTCTTGGGATTATGCAAAGCCAAGTGCAAGTGATGATCCCGAATGCCTCACTTGTATATTTCTACAGGTAATTGTGTTTTTATCCCTTAAGAAAACAAATACATAGAATTATTTATTTTACAGTTCGATGCTGTCGAGAATGGAATACAAGTTTCAAAACTAATGCAAATATTTTCAAAGCAAGCTGCCATGATAGACGCACTTATATCACATTTTACGGATCAAATAAGAAACAAAAAACAGGAGGGTAACACTCAAGAACCTTTTCACGATGGTAAGCCGTCTTTATATGGAAAATAAAGTGTTCTCGTTTTTCCTTTATTATTTGTAAGTAAAATAAAACTTCTTGCTACATTTCCATTCTTTATTCAGAGCCAAATCCTATTCAAAATAATGGAAATGGAGTGTTATGCAATAAGCTGTCTCGATTGACTTTGGCCACCTTCGATGAAGAGGGAGGTCGTTGCATTGGGCAAATGGGATCATTATCTATAAGCTATTAACATTTGTTACTAACGATAAAATAAATTTAAGTTAAGGGGTGTTAAATAAAAGTTCACGCATGTATTCACGATTGTTGATAAATTCCCATAAATATACTCACAAATAAATTTTTAGCAAACGGAATCTACATATTCACAGTCATCGATATAATGCATTCCTTTACATTCAAATGTTTTTTAATTTTACTTAATCGCAATATCAGTGATCACATCCCGAATTACGATGATATGTACAATTAGTTTTAGATCTACACTTGATTTCTTTTTTATTGAAGGCACTTAGATGACAACCCATCTGAAATTTATGTTCTTGCTCAGATACATGAAAAAGCATTTGTATTGGCATGATTGCTTTAGAAAATTTAATATTATTGTACCTCGAGAAATTTTTATTTTTTTTACACTCCTCGATCGAAACATCATCACTCACATTTGTTCGAATTCAATTGTTTACAATTAATGCAAGTTTACCAAATAATGCCCCCAAATAGTTATCTCTTTTTATTTACCTTTAAAGTAAGACAAGTAGTAAATATTAAGATATATAAAATATCGATATGTGCATTTGACGTATGCGTTCAGAATTAGTTTAATAAGCCTTCGACTGAAACAAATTATGTATATAATAACAATAAAATGTATGTACAAAATGTAAGGGCTAACTGCCAACATAGGTTATGTATATATTTAAATTTGTATGTATGTATAAATTGAGACTTAAAATAAATACCGTTTCCTCATATTTATACAGAAAGTACTTATAAAATTACAGAAATTTTATTTTCGATTTTAAAATGGCACTAACTGTTCTTTTTAATTTTCGATATTCATTAAAGTTAAAGAATGTTTTAAGCCGGTAATTTTTTAAATCCTCCAAGCCTAAATATTCAATAGATTGCATTTTAATCCGCTTGCAAAATTTTAGTTATTTTTAATTTAATGAGTAGTTCTCTTTTTGTTAACTTACAGTAAATACATTTAATTTTTAAATAATTTTTGGTGACAAATAAAAATGAAATAAAAATTGTTTAATAATACATAATGGTATAGTTATAATATGCAGCAACACGGAAATTAATCAATACATGTAGGTGTAATCTAATAAATTATAGTTAATAGAAAATTTATTTAAATATGTGTAAATCAAACATAAATACTAAAGGCTACTTACTTTCTAAAATGTGTCTTTTAATAACACAATAAAAAAAGTATTAAAAAATAAGGTAAATGTGTTTTGTTCTTGGATTTATTAAAGGACCAATTTTCCACAAAAAATCATCCTCGAATTTGCAGTCCAATATTATGCGCCATGGTGCATGTTATGCGCCAAAAAGAAGGCAATGATTTTTTTTTATTTTTTTTTTTTATAAAAGTAAAAAATTGTATATCTATTGCAGAACTTAACAGGTATACTGCTACCTATATGGCAGCTTGAGCAGGTTGTAAATATAGGGAATATAAAAAAGATTTCTTTTAAATATAAAAGGAGAAAGTATTTACTTTCGTTTTAGCTGCTTCTTTTTGCTGTAAGATCTTTTCAGAATCCCCTGATTGGGTTTTCCCGATAATGTGGTTTGATTTGCTTGTACTACATAAAACAAAAATTTTCAAACTGGTGCGTTTGCTTAGACCGTTTTCATTTGATCAATAGATGTTTCTGTATATTTTTTGGGAGAGAGCTTTCACTAGAGTTCTTCTGTTTGGCCCATTGATTTTCTCAAACTATATAAAACATAATTTTTTCAACTAGTGCATTTTCTCAGACCGTTTTTTTATGATCAATAGATATTTCGCTATATTTTTTGGGAGAGAGCTTTCACTAGAGTTCTTCTGTTTGGCCCATTGATTTTCTCAAACTATATAAAACATCATTTTTTCAACTAGTGCATTTTCTCAGACCGTTTTTTTATGATCAATAGATATTTCGCTATATTTTTTGGGAGAGAGCTTTCACTATAGTACATCTGTTTGGCCGTCAGCTGTTGCATTCTTTCTTCCGAAGCTGAAAGCTTTTAGTTTTGGCTATACAAAAACTGACCACGGAAAACAAATTAAAATTTATTTGTTATAATTTGACATGGTTGCCCGATAAAACGACGAAAATCTTCAAAATACTTTTGTAGTGCAATGCAATATAAAACCTAGTGATAAAGGTTGTGTTGTAAGCTAAAAATTAAAACCAAATCAATTTACGTGTGATGTATTCTCTTTTACCCTCAGTTCGGTCAACATAATACGAAAGAATAAAAAAGATTTCTGAAATGGCTTTTAAGCTGTCTGTTTGCATTTATTATTAAATCGTCCAAATACAACTTTTATTATAAATTAAGCGAATTACATATGTATGTACATATCTACAATCTTCAATTTTTCTTTTGTTTACTTTTGCTTACTGGTTTCTAAAAAATAAAAGCGGGAGAAAAATGGTAAGTGATTTTATAATTAATTCGTACTTAATTTATTTACTACGAATGTTAAAGTAATTTAATTACATATTAATTTAATTACATAATTTTAATAGAGTTTGATGTGATGCATAAGTTAATAAATATCTTAAATAAATAGGATCAATACACAGATGAATATTTCAGATAACACAGAGTGAAATTGTTTTGTATGGTTGTGGTGTATTCCCGATTCAACAGATCATTTAATATTAAATAATTTCAACAAATTTCAAGTTTTTTATTATCTTGAGTTTATTTTATTAGAATTTGATGCCGAACATAAATAGTTTCTATAATTCTGACTAATATAACCACATAATATAGATAAAATCCAACAAGTCAATGTCAAAATGAGTGGAAATACACAGATGCTTAGAGCAAACAGTGCCGAGTGAAATTGAGTTATTGTTTGCGAAAATGTTATTAAAATTGTAAATATTTTAATAGTGTATTTGATCATAGCTTAATATAATACATTTAAAGGTGTTAGAATCGACTAAAATAAAAAAATTTGTATCATAAATAATGCCCAAAAAATAATAATGAAATGAGTGGAAATACACAGATGGTGAACATTGGCTATTGTTGGTATATTTGCAAAGTCCGATTATTAAATATTTTTATAGATATTTCAAAATACTATTCTTCTGACAGTTTGGTATGCTGGTAGATAGGCGATAAAATTCATTGATTTAAAATAACATTTACCATAAATAAGCCACACAAGTTATGATGAAATAAGTGCAGATGGCCAGTTCAAATAGTCCAGAGTGAAGTTCTGTTATTGTTGGTATATTCGCGACCCAAAAGTGCAACCAGGTCCACGTCCGTATCAGATCCGCTCACGCACAGGCGAGAAGGTTGGACAAACACACTCTCGCACCGGAGAATGTTTATGGGAGGTAAATAACTGGTTTTTATATAAACACAAGGAGACAATTTGGAAATGTGCATCGTGCATCGTGCACAGCGAAAGCTACCACTACACATGCAGTCCGCGAAGAGGGACGCGGAGGATGGCAAGGATAACGCGCTCTCTCCGTCTCGTTAAGAGAGCCACGACATCCCGCAGAGCACAGCGAATTTGGGAGAGACCAGGCGCGAGCGGGACATGAGTAACAAGTTGTTGCGCCGGTGGTGGTGATGGTGGTGGTGAGACAAAGAGAGGCGCCTTTCTCCATTGGCTGGAATACCAGTCCAGCTCTCTCTTCGCCGCAAAATCATCGGCTCATCTCGGCGGTCGCCGTCCGCCGTTCGCAGCTCGCCTTTCGCGGATTCGGATTCACAATCAAATCCTTTTGCGAGTTCGAGGAGTGCACACCGGTGGTCGCATCCGCATCCGATACGAGTTCGAATCCGAAATCCGCGCCTCAAGCCGACTAGTACCATGGATATCTCCGCCTACCAGCACATGAACATCCGGATGAGCACGCGCGGCAAGCGTCCGCTGAGGAACCTCACGCCCAACGATAAGGTGCGCGCCATACAGCGCATCCACAACGGTGAAACCAAGGCCAGTGTTTCGCGGGATATTGGAGTTCCGGAGTCCACGCTGCGGGGCTGGTGCAAGAACGAGCAGAAGCTGCGCTTCATGTGTCGCCAGCTGGGACCCGATCACCTGGGACTCGACACTCCTCCAGAGAAACGCGCCAAGTTCGAATTGCAGCTCCAACTGCCGCCAAAGTTCGTGGCCCTGCCTCCAAATTACGAGGAGCTGGGCTTCGGAGCACTGCCCTACTCCCCTGCTGATTATCCTGTGCAGGGGGACTCCTTGCTGGAAAAACTAAGCCTAGTGGAATTTGTCAAAAAGAATGGAGGACTGCATCCGGAGGCGATGCATCCAAGTCAGTCCGGCGTGGTGGATTACTCCAACAACATGCTGCACCAGCTGAATCTGCTCGCCTTGCTCAACTCCAAATTAACACCCCAAAATGCAGAAGTCCTTCCGGTGGATGCACCCAAATCTGAGGACAACAAGGCTGTTGACTCGCCCGCAGCCTCAGAGGATTACAGCAAAAACACTTATCCCCTGCTGAGTGTCAAGAACTGGGCAAAGGACCCTGCCAAACGAGTGACCCTTCCCAATCAGTCGGAGCAAGTCAATGATAAGAACAACAATGCTCTGGAGGCCAATGGTTCGGGACATCAAGTTCTGGCCACGGAACAGGCTAAGTCATCGATGTTCCCGGACACCACAATTCCCCTACTGCCAGCTCCGTTCCCGAATCCCGCGGATCTAGCGCCTGTGATAGCACCAGTGGGCAACGGTACGGGCAACTCCACACCCACTGGAACCGATAGCCAGGGAGCTGCTCTACTGGACTGGTGCAAACTCTTCAACGCCAGTCTGAATTTCCTGGCCTTTGCAGCGGCCGCAGCATCCATGCAACCCGGCGGCGGAGGAAGTGCACCCAACTACAACCCCAACCAACTGGCAACTGGGGGCTCGGAGCCGGACCTAGAGACATATCCTTTCAACGAGGGCCTGCTGAAACGCCTCAGTCCTTTGGCCCACAGTGAGGCCTCCAACGAAAGCTACTGTGACAGCGAGCCGGAGGATCTGTCCGTGCGATCCTGTGCTTCCAAGGCCTCCAGCAGATCCCACACACCCGACAAGAGCGTCGGGTCCAGCGATGCCGAACAGTAGACACCCTCATCCTAGTTTCTAGTTCATAGTGTAAATACCTCCATTTTTATTGTTAATAGCCACTTTAGTTAACCTTAGAATTTACGACAACACGAATCATTTAGCAATGCAAATGCCATTTGTACTTATCAATTAATGTATTAATATCAATGCAACAGGTATTAATAGATCAGCTTACTATAGCTAGTATTAACTAGAAATATCAACTGTGTGACTACTTGTTTGAAAACCAAATTCAATTCATCTACACTTATAATAACAAATACTAATTGTGTTAAGTAGCTTAATTATTTGGCACGTTCGTCAGCCATTCCAATCGATTTGTTTTCGTACTGCTGTAATCTCCGTAACTCTTAATAAGCATATAAACTAATTACTAACGAAACGAATAAATATTTATTAAAAAAACAAAAATAAAACTTAAAGTGTCAATCTTTCAAGATAAAAATATGCATTTGTTTATTTAATGGGATTTTAATTTGAACTAATTCAAATGGGAAAATTTTCTACACCTAGAAAAAAATTGGAAACAGAGGAAAAGTTATAAAAATCCGACAAAGTTTAATATAAATAGTCCTTCGACTATTAAGTTTATTTTTATAACCTTTTAGATGATATACAAATTTTAACCAGGAGTTTTTAACGATGGACCTTTCCGTAGAATATTTTTTTTAAGATGAATGAAATTCCTTTTTGGTCTATTGTTTTGGGTTTTTGTTTTTAAAATGTTTGCCTTATGATTGGGAACTTCATTTAATAAATTAAACAACATTTAAATATCATTCATTATTAATGGCACAATCTTGCGTCGCATATACGATCAAAAAACACTTTATAAACTTATTTTGACTAATTACACACTTTTGGTCTAAAACATTTTAGATATAACATTGAAAATAATAGTTAAGTCTCCAAATCAATTCCAAATCGATGCATATTGAACCGATTTTGTATTTTTTTTTTAATTTTGGCAAAAGGCCTTATTATAAACGCGAAAATACAAATTATTATATTTAAATGTCAATTAATTGGGAACTTAATAAAGAGTTCAAAGAGGTATGATATTCCATATTTCCTTTTTTTGTGAATTTTTTTTACCAGCCCAATCCCCTTAGTCTGTCTTAATGCGATTTACTTACTACAGTACAGAAAATATAAGTAATAAAGGATGCTTATTTAAAACTGTTCTTCATACAAACTAATAGATTCAATAAAAGACCATCAATCAATAATAAAAGGCAACCTGCGATCAAAGTAATAATATAATATTTTTTATGTAACCATTTCCATGAGCAGTGTAGTTATAGACATTTAAAATTAAAAGAAAATTGTTGTAACTTTTCCAGATCATCGACTATGCATATAAATTTGTATATGTATATCTCAATATGGTTGTATTATGTTAAAACACAAATAATATTTTGTAACATTTTCAAATCGAACTCGATCCCTTAACGTTGATACCAAATATAAACTTCCCTAAATAAATTGATTCATTAATATTCGTTTATTATAAAGACCAATTTGCTTTTTAGTCTTACATTTAAAATCGTAAATTTAAAAACTGTGAAATGAGAAAACATAACAATTCCTGACCATTTCTTTTTGACTTATCATGAGGCATGGTGAGGAGATGAGCAAGATCATTGTTAGTGGCGTAGATGGAGGTCAGCAGTCGGAGTTGGAGTCCTGGCATCAGGGCTATGCGTTAATGAGTCTCTCCTCCCTTCGGTGGCGATTGCCTGGAAAGCGTTTTCAGAGGCATCGGTCAAGCCGAACACGAAAAAATGGCACCAACAAACCAAACCAAACCGCCACGGCAGCGGCATGAAGACGAATTATTGGTTCGCCTTTTGGAAAAATTAAATATCGCGTGTTGGTAATTTCCGCTTGGCTTCCCATTGCCGCTGCCATCGGCTGAAGTTGAGGCGAATTATTACGATGATTAGGCGACTGACAGTGCTCCCAGGCATCGGCATCCATGTCGACCATCCGGCCTGCCAGCCGTGATCCGTATGCATGTTTCGCATTTCGCATTCGCATTTCGCATTGCATGTGTGGCTGTGGCCGTTTCTGCGGTGTTCTGGGCAGCGTTTTGTGGACATCTTCGTGGCACTCTGGTTCTGGTTCTGGGCGAGGATTAAATTACTTAAAACCAATCCCCTGGGCATATCGACGGATCCAGCCGCTGTCAATATTGTGTCGCCTCGTAGCCTCGTAACCCGCACGATCCCAGTCGCAGTTGATCGCGGTACTAAGAGCACACAACACAAGTGCCCAAAATAAGTGGCTATACCCATGCATACTCTTATGTTGTTTCCTCAGGAGGTGGAACGAACTGTACTTTATGCAGATAAATGCTAGCTTTTATAGAGTATCTTTTTATTGGTGTAACAATGTTGCATCCTTAAGTGAACACAATCATTAAGTTGTATAACTTTTTAAGTCCCCACTACAACATTTTCAATTGACCTATTTTCAGATCAAATGTTTTGAGGTTGGGGGAAACTCAAATATTGAAGTTCTTATTTAATTTCACCCATATATAATATATGCTGATATTTTTCTGATTAAAATATATTCATATTTTCAATGTGCGCAAGATAGTAAACTGTATAAAAAAAGCGTAATATTTTGGTGCCCCGAAAAACCAAATTTATACATTAAATTATACATAAAAGTTCAACGTACTTAAGTGCCCAGATGAAACGCAGAATGACTGACATTCTACCAGCATATGACTGACAATTGAAACGGCTTCGAAATTACCCGTCGAAATAAAGGATGGAGCTTCCAAGATCGATACCACATCCGCACCCGTGGCGGTTGGTTTGGGCGTTCATAAATGGCGAGGAATTTGCGTGAGTTTAATGCGGATCTTCAACATTTTTGGAAGAGCCGCAGTTAATGTAAAGATAAACTCTATATTTTAACCTTTACAGCAGAAGAGCGATCTGCATACGACGGGTAGTGCATATGCATTTTTGATTCCCGCCTAAAGCCCATGTAGGTTGAAGTCAATTTATTTGCTTTCTTATCCTCGCGTTTGAATAATTGGCTACCAAGTTACCTTTACGAGATCGAAGCGAACCTTCTGCATTTTGCGTGTTCAGGCTCCTTCGAATTCGCATTCTCGTACTCTAGCATGCCTCAATTACAATCAGATTAGTTGCATGTGAGCAGGAACCCTTTGATGGAAAACGATCGCGCAAGATTAAGTCGCGAACTGAACGGAGGACGGAGGACTGGCCATTCTTCTCTGCCATCCGGCTGCACTCTCTCGCACGAATCTCGGCGGCCAGGAACTGTGGATCACTTGAGGTGAGCAGTCTGGACATGGGACATGGGACCCACTGTGTATTGGAGATCCATTAAACGTATGCCCCCAATTCGACAAGCCAAAAAGCCTGCAGCTTTGTTCCAAAACATTCACGGACTTATCGATTTCTGGGGATCCTAGCAAAATATTTTATAATTGGAATAAAGAGGATATGCTCTCTATTCAAATTGACAATGAGCAGTAGTGAATTCGGTGTACTTTTTATATAACAGCTTTCATTAAAATAATTACAAGATAAAAAAAAAACGAAATTCATTTTATTTCCTATTGATATAGATCTTAAACTAAATAAGTTTGTTATAAAAGTTTTGTGGCAATGCATCTTGTCACAGTTAAGTTATTAAGAATATAAAAAGCATTGAATTTTAATTTCTTTTATACCAACCAACTTATTTTAAATTCTTCTATAAGTTTTAAAATGCAGCGCCATAAAAAAATCGCTTAGTAAATTGTAATTTCTTACAGTCTCTTATATGTATGTTATCCTATTTGGATCCTATTATTAAAATCAAATAACTATTTTAAGGTAGTTTTATTTATTATTAATGATTTAACCCTATCAAATCATCCATTTAAATTCAAAGTCCATTCAAATTTTGGTCTTCAAGCTTCTATGCCCTTAATATAAGTTGCACAATAAAAATGTAGGCTCTGCAGCGTAAATTACTTTTGTCTTTTCATTCCGATGAATTGTATATGAAAGCCTAGTAAATAAGTAAGAAAGATTTGTGTGCCTTTTATGTAAGTATTGCGCTTCACAGATACTGCATAATTTTGGCTTGGGATGATGATGAACACAACTTTTGATATAAATTGCAATTTATTGTGTCTTTTGGTGAAAAAAGTGTTTTTGTTTCAATAGTTATTTTTTGCTCCCTTTACTGTGCATTGTTTTTCTTTTGTCCTTGTGAACATCAAAGCTGAACCAGAGACTTTGTCATCAGCCTTCTCTTTGCCTTTTTGTTTTACTAACCGGTTTGCAGCCAGGCGATATTCTTGAAAAATTATGGCTTAAAAGTTAACGTAGTCGAACTTAGAAAAGGGCAATATTAGGATTTTGATATTTTAATTTAAAACTTAAATCCAGAATTAAATACATAATAATTTTTAATGCAAACAATTACAAATGTTCCCCCTGTTAATAATATCAATATAAATAGGCATACTTTGTTTATGAATTCGAACATTAATGAACATCAATTTGGTTACCAAATCAACTATTAAATCTTGTTTAATTGCAAAGAAATTTCAGTTTATTTATTGTATTTCTGGCCCATGCCAACGATTAGGAATAAAGTGCTATCTTAGTCCCCAAGCATTTAATTTAATCGAAAATCTTGATTTTATTGGTCAACTGTGAAATTCTAAATGAGGCAAAAGTTGGCTGTCTCGTTTGTTCAAGAAATTATCATGATTAATACAATATTTTGATTGCTACCTGAAGGATGTTGTGAAAGCATTCTCAGAAATGCCACTGCATCTACCACAGCAACTTATCCCAACCACGATTTGAACAGCCGGAAGGGTATTTATATTTATATTTATATGTATATTCATCCCCTTGATTAGCGCGTGCAAGTCAGAAAGGCTGTTCTGTGGACCGATGTCATCCTGAGAAAGGACATCCTAATGAATATGTCATTGTGCGCGATAAAGTTTTCACTTTATTGTCAGAATTGTCTCGTTATTAACACGAGTGGAGTTGATCAAACGTGGAAAGTGCGGTGATAAGAGGCTTAGGTTTTGGGCCAAGGGACTCCCAAGAAAAGCGAATTGGCATTCGCATTGTTTTCAAGGGACATACCGCTACTTGATTTCAAAAATTCAAACCGGATTCAAGTTGGCTTTCAGGGCTTATTATGTTGCACACATTCTGACACGCAAATGGTTTTTTTCATGAACATCTAAAAACGAACTGTGACCGCAAAAACAGCTCTTGCGAAATTATTTTTAGCTCGAATGGTTTTTATTGAAAAACATTCTTAAGTTAAAAATGTGTGTGACTTTCACTTTGGGTTTTGATTTAAAGAACTCAATTGTCTTAATTCATTTAACTAGTTATTATAAGGAGAAA